GATAACCATAGAGGGATTAGTCTGACCAACATAGCATCTAAAATACTAGCCTCAATAATTATCGGGCGCTTAACTAAGACTCGTGAACTGCAAACACGAGAAAATCAGGCTGGCTTCAGACCTGGTCGTGGCTGTATCGACCACATATTCACCATTCGTCAAGTTTTAGAGCACAGACACGCTTATTGGCGTCCGACAATGATAGTTTTTCTTGACTTGAAAGCAGCATTTGACTCTGTAGACCGAGAGGTTCTGTGGCAGTGTCTGTCATTGGAAGGTGTACCTGAGAAGTACATAAACCTTGTGAAGGCTCTTTACTCGAACACTACCAGTCGAGTGAGAGCTTATGGCGAACTGTCATATGATTTTACAACCTCAAGTGGTGTCCGTCAAGGCTGTCCACTATCCCCATTTTTGTTTAACTTCATTATAGACCTGTTGCTGGAAATAACACTCTCTTCGACTGAATTTTCAGGAATTGACCTTCTACCAGGAGGTCCAATTATCGACTTAGAATACGCAGATGACATAGTCTTGTTTGGTGAAGACGCTGACAAAATGCAGTCTTCTGTTAGAACTAAGTAATAATGCCAGGATGTTTGGGATGCGTTTCTCCCCATCTAAATGTAAATTGTTATTCCAGGACTGGTCTGCGTCAATACCTGAACTAAGGATAGAGAGTGAAGTAGTCGAACGCGTCGACAACTTCACTTATCTTGGAAGTCTGATCAGCCCTAATGGGTTGGTGTCAGACGAAATCTCAGCACGGATTCAAAAAGCTCGTTTGGCTTTTGCCAACTCATGTCACTTATGGCGAAGACGAGATATCCGTCTATCAATTAAGGGACGAGTATACTGCACAGCAGTTCGTTCTGTTCTACTTTATGGCTGTGAAACGTGGCCATTAAGAGTAGAAGGTACTCGTAGGTTACTAGTATTTGACCACAGATGCCTTAGAAATATTGCTCGCTGCTGAAATCACCGGGTAAGTAATAGTGAGGTTAGACATAGGGTATCAGGAAATGATGGTAAATCAGTTGATGAGGTCATGAATCTTAATTCACTGAGATAGTCGGGTCGCGTGTTACTTATGCCTGAACACTGATTACCACGACGCGCTATGCTGACTAGTGTTGGCGATGGTTGGAAGAGAGTTTGGGGCAGCCAAACCAAAACGTGGCATCAGTGCTTGAAGTCACAAACTTCTAGTATGAGCCATGTTGGTAGGTACAGACTAATTGGTTGTGGTCCGCGTGACTATTGTAACCAATGATTGGAGACTCTAGGTGACATGGCTCAGAGTCAATCACAATGGCGTGGGTGTATACACTCTTTATCTTCCCTTAAACCTTGAGATTAAAATTGCTTCATATTTGTCTTTTTTCCTGTACTATATCCTTATATACAACCTTTCTTTTATATATTAACACCACTAAATTAACTACTATGAATTCGGCTGTCATCTTATTGTGCTAACGAGGTATGGCAACTTGAACCGATGCATATATGTGCCTGGTCCTACGTTTTAGCTGACTGACTGACTACATTTTTCTTCCTAAAAGACATTTCTCGTAGTATCATTTTATCAAAAATTTGTCTTCGCTCGTATGACAGGTGGCGCCCGACCGTAGCTGCTACCTTGACGTCGTGGTCAGGCTCGCCTATCGTGATGAGAGAGATATGTTCCTGTAGTTTCTACCGTGTCAGGAAGGTCGATTGGAGAACAGTGAGACTCAAAGCAGCAACTCAAGGTCTGAGGGCGAAGTTATACTTCTGACTGTGGAGGGGTGTGATTTGAACCGACAGCTGCATCTGTGTTAATGTGGTATGGCAACTCGAACTGATGTACGTATGTACGAAGTTCTACGTGACTGACTGATAGGTGGCGAGGAGGTGGTTTGTGTTTTCACAAATAAGTTGTTTCTGTAGTGCACAGCGCTCATCAAGAATTATTGCACTAGTAGTAGTCTGTATTAAAGAATCCTTGCCTTTGTTATTTGTAATGTCATTTCGTGATATGGTACTTTAACTAACAGTGTACTCAGCTAATTAGGGTTTAGTTCATATGTATTGATTGGTTTGTTGTTTAATCCTGATTATACTAATAATTGTTCCATGATTACCTTTTAAACTCTCGACATGTTCTCATCAAATGAGTCAGTGTATCGCCCATGTATCTTACTTAGGGGAAAACTGATTGCACTCTTATCCACCTGATGCACAAAGGATTTTACTTTTATTCTTGTGTTTCTAACTAAAATTTTCAAAACTGCGTCATTATTAGCTATCAGTTATCATGTTTCGAGCACACTGCCCATGAGATATACGGAATTTAAGTATATCTAGAGCTCTCAATGTAGCTTAAAACTCGTGATGATCTTGCGTTTAGTCATAGTAGGAGTTCTAAACATGGACATGCTTTTTTTGCTTTATTTCAAGATATGACGTGACCATAATCACGCTTGTTTTATTGTCTTAATATGTTAGTACTGGAAATTAAAGTTACTGCCTATTTCCATCAGTAGTTTTTGCAATTTTATCGAAAAATTCATGATTGTCGATCGAAATCTTAAAAAACTGTACTCAGGATTTGACACTTAAATAGACGACGATGAGGATAATCAAAATCAAAGCATTTTTTGAAGGAGTTAGCTTTCTGTTGGGATAATTTAACTGAAAAACTTTAGTCTGATTGCAGTTCACGGGCTACATAATTATTTAATCCTTTTGACTTTATTTAAACCTGCTACGACATCCTGATATATGTTCTTAATCATTCCTCGTCAGATTCATTTGAAATTCCGCTTTTCAAATATTTTCAGGTAAATAAATAGCTGACAAAAACCTAACAAGGTAAAATAAACCCATGTTTTTCTACTTAACCTTCATTTGTTTTTCTTTGTGGATACTAATTCGTAATTCATCGAATGTGACAAGAGATATCTTTTAACTAATAACTTGTGACAATTCATTTAGTATTGTATGTTTGAATCTTCCCATCGATGTATTAGGACTGAAACTGGTAAGTCTTTAATTGGCATATGTGCATACTGTGCTTATTGCCTCAATATAGCCTTAATTCACAAGCACGGTAAACAGAGTCCCAAATAGGACGAAACGCGCGTCCTGGATTCCACTGTTAGCCACTATCTATCTCTGCTTAATTTGTGACAATGTTTGAAGTGAAGAAGATACTCACTATAATGTTAATCTCTAATACAAATTTCGTCGTAGTAATGATTACTTTGATGTTGAGTTCTTTATATTTGAATAATGAAGATAATTGTTTTGTAGCGCCAGTGAAATGTCACTAAACCCTAGCCAAATCATCCGGCAGTTGGGTCACTAAATATCGAACAGATCATCGTCAAGGTCAGGGACAATCAGCGAGCATCAGTTAATCATATACCATGGACTGGCCCATGCGGCAGTGGTTCTACTTTCGTTTGTATCTACTTTAACTAATATATTCCTGTATTAACGTCCTTTGTGTTGTACAGTCTTCAGAGAATCCATGGTCCCTTGATACGTCGATTGGGCAATCCACCTAAGGTGCTGGTCGCGGAGTGTGACTTCGAAGTTAGCTTGTTCGTTACACCATTCCCATCTTACTCCAGTAGGCCTCCATTCATTCGACATAGATCATCAACGTTGATGGTCTATACTGGTGAGCCCGACGTTATACGAATACGCAGCCTTCTGATGGTTTACAGTTTCTTCTTATGTATAACCACCCTGAATACTTAAATGATCTATGTGATAATCTTTTCATATAAGATAATAGATTTAGTCTTTATGAATTATATTAATACAGAAGATTGATGTGGTAGATATTTCTCAATGATGTTCGTAATGTTTTTTTTCAATACATAGGTGATCGCTTGAATGTGATTTGAATGGTATTTGGATTTTTGTATTAAGTATGTAACTCGAACTTTGTCTCCGTCATGGGGAATTATACATCCTATATTGTGATGGATATAACCAATGGGTTGGTATCTAAAAGTTAGCTTTACTACCAGCTTTTAGCACTGGAGGCGGATGGATTAGATTTGAAAATAGTATTTGTACAATTGATGGTAAACCACTCAAAAATATTACGTAGGAGATTTATTGAGGTAGGATTATTAACAAAATAAGTTATATTTGACTGCGAGAGCTCGCTCTCCATATGTGTTTGAAGTCTTTTATGAAGTCGAACTATTTAATCAACAGGTGTCAGTTCATGTATTGTGTTGTCAACAGTTAGTGTGAATGTAGATGAGGATGTGTACCCTACCATAGCTGGTACTTCGATGCGGTAGTTGAGATTGGCTATCCTGACGATGCAGCAGAGCTATAGTAGTTGAGAGGCCTATTTGTCCCAGTAGCACTCGTTCACCATCCCCTTCTAACTTGCTATTCCGCATGTGCGGCTAGTTTTTACGTTATAAATATTACGCCTGTAACCAAACTGTAAAGTACGTGTTGATGTTCTCAGTGTCTGACTTCACTCCCCAAGTCTACAATTTTGTGGTATTAGCTTATGCTATATTTGAAACGTAGGTGTGGTTATTTAACTAGCCATAATGTGCTTTGAAAACTAGTTCAACTGATTCTCAATTACTCAGTTTCTTCACGATCCATCAATATTGTGAAAGGTAGGTTATGATCAAGCCTCCAAGACGTACTTAAGTTAGTATTATTTGGTCAAAAATATTTTCTGAACATTACTAGCGGATGGTGATAGCTTGATTTTTAGTGTTTACATCAAGCGTTGTATAATAGGTAAGTACGAGTCAGCTAACGAAATTTTAAACTTTGATCAACTAACGTAGTTGGGACAGGTGTTATCTACAGCTAACCACAACCTTCCTTCTTATACTATATCCTTACATACAGCCTATCTTTTATAAACCACCACCATCACCACCACTAAATTAACTACTTCTACGAATCCGGTGTTCATCTTGTTGTGCTAACGAGGTATAGCAACTTGGACCGATGCATAAATGTGCCTGGTCCTACGTTGTAGCTGACTGACTCTGTTTTATACTGGCTAACATGACAGTAAATGAGGAGGAAGCTGTAGGTGACCAAATAAACACATGACATCAGTCCATAACACCGTTGACTGTTCATTTGAATCGTATGAACAGATGGAATCTGCAAAATAATCATATTGTATAATTGAAGATGATAAGTAAAATAACATTAAACAGGATCATATTAGAACTTCACGTAGTTATTAAATAAAAGTGGAATATCAGATTAAATACATCAAACATAGGTTGGTGATTTTATAACTGATCCGTATGGTTTGCTGTACGGTGAATGGAACGAAACTCAATGAGTCATGTAATTTATTGTATTCTGTAAGATGGAGTGCGAAGAAAGTAAAATCGTAATCAATTATTCCTATATTTGCCAAATTGAAGATGGTTTCACTTAGGGATTCACACATTCACATAGTAAACATGAACCCATCTCAATCCAATACGCTTGAGGTTTATTTGTTTTCAAGGGGACAGCAACTATGAAATTTGTTGACATACCTTAAAGTGAAGCAAAATAACATTGATAAACATAATGTGATAAATGGATAGATATCATGTTATAAAAATTAATTATGATAATGATATTAGATGTTTGTAAGAAAATTGGTAGGAATAGGCTCAACCATTTGAAGCTATAAACAATGGAGTTCAAACGTACCGGGTTTGAGGCCGTTGCCTGATTGCCGAATATCGCAGTTTGGTTGAAGCTAGACGTGTAAACAAACCACTGGGTACCAGTCTAACCATCTAAAGGATAGGCGCTAGCTGCGGCACATAGAGGGCTGTGGGTTTCATTCTCAGTGTGACTGTGAATGCACAATGCTATGAAGTCTTACTCTAGAATTAAATGGTTTTCCATTGCTACAAGATTTCCAAAAATTGTCATGTAAACTATAAATTGTTGTCATCACTAATAGGTAACAAAACATAGCTTTTTTAATCCAGCCAAATAATAGAGTTATTACTTGATAGTTGAAACCATGAGTCAATTGAATGTAGACCACTATGAAAAGCTTGAAAGCACTGGACGGTCGTTTCGTCCTATTATGGGACTCCTCAGCAGTGCGCATCCATGATATAGCAACTCAACTGAATTCCACATTGTAACATCGGACACCTGGCTGGCGCTTGTAGCAATTAGAGTTAGCGGAGAGAGCTGATAGCCCTGAGTTCCATATCCAACTGGGTCGTGTTTATGTACCTCTGAAGAGTTATCTACTAAGATGAAACAACCTACCGATTCTCCCCGCTTTTCATTAATACCTCAGATGCAATCAATCTACTACAAATACTATCTACAAATGAAATTGTCCTTAAATAGTGACAATTAAATGAAAAACAAAAAAGAAAATACTTGAACATCAAAAACTCACCTGTTGTTGATAATACACCAGCTCTGGCTGCAGTTTTATATAATGGTGCAATATAATCATTTGAATCAGGTACATAATCCATTTCTGGTTTCATATGTATCATTGGCATTCTAGATAACATTTCACCTAGTATAGAATCAGTCACTTGCATTGTTTTATCATCCCATCTTAAATAAAAATAAATTAAAATAAAAAGGAATAAAGGAAGGTTATGTAAAGAATATAAAAATGATATGAAACTCCGCCTGTAGCTCCTCTGGGGGCTACTGCCGGTCCCAAGCCCGGTTAAAGGAGGAGGGTTAGGCATGGGGTTAGCGACCTCATCCCATAGAAAACCAACTCGCTAAAAAAACGCTAACCAGAAAAATTATTCAAACCATTTAAGCTCTGCCCTGGGAGTAGAAGGAATAATTATGACGTCTCATGATGAAAGCCGAATTCTTTCTGAAGTTATGAGGCCGATGCACCTGATAAGAGCCAGAGCGACAATTTTATAGGTACACGGAAATTGTATTTTCTGACCTTAATAACACTCATAGCATTGACACCATCAGTAGAAGAACAATTTTCAAATGGAAATGAGATATATCTCTCAACAGACCTGGTTGAACTCCACTGGTTACCGCTTCTCACTAGAAATCCAGGAAATACATTAACACCGTTGGATGCTGGTCGGCTCAGTGGTCTAGTGGTTAAGCGCTCGTGTGCGAGACTGACAGGGCCTGGGTTCGAATGCCGCGAGGCAGGATCGTGGATGCGCACTGCTTAGGAGTCCTACGGTGGGACGAAACGGCCGTTCAGTGCTTCCAGGTTTTCTATGATGGTCTATCTTCAATTGACTCATGATTTCAACTATATAAAATAACTTAAATCTCCACGAAACTCCCTTCTGGAAATGAAATATCTTTGAATATGTCTACATGAACATCAACTTGCTTTCAAATGGTACAAGATAAGCTTGATCATATCATAATATATCACTCTTTTCGTTGAGTTTAGTGTTGCACTTTCCTATTTCTGTTAGATTATCTTCTCTATAAAATTAAAAATGAGGAAGATGATGTTCTAAATTACGATCAAACAATTATTCATTGTTTTGTAATTTTCAATGTTTCTCTTTAATTAAATTACTGCCTTTGATAGAGATCATGAATGGATCAATGTTAGGCGACCATTGAAAACTTGGAAGTACTGGATGACTGTTTCGTCCTAGTATGGGACTTCTCAGCAGTGCGCATCCACGGTCCCACCTCGCGAGATTCGAACCCAGGACCTACCAGTCTCGCGCCAGAGCACTTAACCTCTAGACCACTGAACCGGCATCCGATGGTGTTTATGTCTGTGGATGCGCATGTTATGCTTGAACTGAATCGATTACGCGGTAACGAACGAAAGCCAATGACACAATGACACGATAAGCTATTCTAATCTGTTGTCCCAGGCCCCGCTAACTAGATGAAGAAGTCCAAGGCAAGTAGGGGAGTATATATGTATTCCGTAAGCAGCCGAGTACAAGCAATCAAATAAGGGAAAAAGTCAAGCGTATTTATACAGCAACGAAATGTCCTTGGGCATCGTTAATAATTAGCACACACAAAGAAACAATGGACCAATAGCGTTTAAGATAGTTACAAGTGGGAAATATGATGTGAAGGTAATAAGAGCACGTTTTGGCGCGAAAACAGCTAAATTCAAATTTCCAAAATAAAATTACAAAATTGAGCCACTTATCAAGTAAGTTCTGGGGATTTGATATCCCCAATACCTCCCCTTAACCGATAGGAGCTCTAGTGAGAAGCAGTGACCAGTGGAGTTCAAAACCACGTCTGTTGTGAGATAGGAACTGACTGAAGACAATTGGTGAATGGTTGCTCAACTTCGTGGATCAGTTGAAGTTAGACATTAACACCGTTGGATGCCAGCTCAGTGGTCTATCGGTTAAGGGCTTCGGCTCGAGTCTGGTAGGTCCTGGGTTCGGATCTCGCTCGCGAGAGCGGGTTCGTGGATGCGCACTGCTGAGGAGTCCCACAATAGGACGAAACGGTCGTCCAGTGCTTCCAGTTTTTTCCTGGTAGTCTAGCTTCAATTAACTCACGCTTTCAACTATGAAAATACTAAATCTCCACAAAAAACACCTTCTGATAGATTATTTCCTGTTAATCAAAGTAGTACTTTTACATAGCTGTCTTTTTATGTTAATAAAAATATCAAAATGGACATTGATCTAGTGATCACTTAGTGAATTGAATCAAATAAAGAGATATTGCAATTAATTGGATATCATTAGACAAATTTATGATATCAATCTACTATGGATAACTACACAATTAAGATGAAATCGTTAGAAGGATGGATAGTGGCTAGCAGTGGAATCCAGAAAGCGTGTTACATCCTACTTGGGACTCACCAGCTGGATGAACCTGTATTCCAGAGATGATGTCGATTCCGAGACTCGAACTCAGTACCTTTCGTTTTAAACGCTATCACGTTATCCACTCAGCTACCGACCCCTGATAGTCACTTGTTTGTGTAATGGGAAGATCCAAACAAACAATACAAAACGAAGTTAAAAAGATGCTTTTATAAGTTTCTCAGTTATAATTACCTGAAACCATCCATAAATAATCCATGTACAAGTACACCATCTTTTGGTTTATCTATCATTTTATCAATATCTAATATTTCACCAAGACGTAGTTTTGATGTAGCAATAGAAATTTCTTCTTGATTACGATAATATGGTAAAACATTAAACTTAAATGTTAAATGATCAATTGGATAATCATATTTTCGTGCATAATTTTGTAAAATCCCAGTTAGAAAACCTAAAACAAAAAAAACATGATATAGACAGATATAAGTAGTATATATCATCAGTCAAAAGTAAAATGTCTCGAGTCAGAAGGTTAAGAAGATCATAGTGTAGTGCCGCGCTTCAATAATAGTTCACTTCGATAACCGTTATAATACAATTCTTAAAGGTGCATAATATCAGAAGACAAAGGGAAGCGGCAACTACATTTTTATTCATGAATGATGCAGACCAGAAAGCTGTGGGCACATGAGCAAGTGTAAGCGAGCAAAGCATACATGACACGTACTGGAGATGGCTCGGAAGCCAACTCTACAGCGAAGCGATAATAATGCGTACTGGAGATGACTGGGAAGTCAACTCGCTATGAGAAAGCATTACTCAATGTTTATAATCAGACAAAAATGAATGACAGACATATGATCAATAGGATACGAAGGGTGCATACACATGCGCTCATATAAAAAGGTAGTCAAGGTTAATAAGCGAATAATTAACAAGATCAAAATATGACACATAATGGATAGGCGAATTGGCTTGGCCAGCAACTAGAATAAAGTATATGGGCTTAACATATAAACTGATACTACAATACAAAAGAGAATGAGAACAGAGAATGATTGCTATGGTAACGAAAGAATAATTGATTGACATTTTGTAAATGAAGTATTTACTGTATGGATCTTATATTTTACTAAGATGTTCTCTTATTTTGTATTCAAATACATTCGGTTGTCCTGACCGGTGTTCACATTCACTACACTACTACTGTACAGGTTACTTTATATGTAAATACTCAGTGTTACTTTGTGAAACAGCTCCAGTAAAGTACAATAACTGAAATCTTGTACATGTGTACTGAATGATAAATGTATGAAGAGACACTAGACATGAATGTTTATGAGATGGTGGAGAAGATTTATAGCTCAGGTGAGTGATTTTGATGTAGGTTTGTTCTTCAGCTCAGAGAACATACCTACATCAAAAATGAATGCTTATTTCATTCATGATTTCCATCTTCAATGATTATTCTATTGTATTCAATAGTGAAGTTGTCATTTAAAGATAGATTCCGTATCAGTACTATCAGCAAATTGTAGCTAGTTACTATGTTTGAAGGCATCACGAGTTCATCTTATCTGCAAACGGAACGAAGATTCTGTGACGCAATAACCAAATAAGATAACTATTCCAATACATCCCAGCCCCACTAATTAGAGAGAGAGAAGTCTAGGTTCCGAAGAGGGAAAATGTATTCCATAACCAGTCAGAAGCACGAATCAAGAGTATATATACAAGGATACTTAAATTTTATACAGACAGTTCCCTTGATCATCATGATAAGAGCAAGAACAAATACCATAACATATTTTCTACTTTAATTTTGTATAATTTATAAACTTTTGAAGTTGTTAGTAAGTGTTTCCTGTTGGAGGTCGAAATAAGTTCCATATCACTAAAACATCATTTTAACATAATAGGAATGGCGGAAATAGATATTCAGTAAAGTACCCCCCCCTACATTATTTCATAATGTAGAGATCAGTAGTTTGCTTCATAAAATACTGTTAACATAAAATCGTATGAAAATCCCATTAATATCTATAACAGCAATATCTATATTATTATCAGAAGGGGATTTCGTGGAGTTTTTTAGTAATTTTATATAGTTGAAATCATGAGTCAATTAAAGCTAGACCATCATGGAAAACCTGGAAGCACTGGACGGCCGTTTCGTCTCGTTGTGGGACTCCTCAGCTGGCTCGGTGGTTTAGTGGTTAAGCAGTCGAACTGAAGACTGATAAGTCCTGAGTTCGATTCCCACGAAGTGTCATCGTGAGTGCGCACTGCTGAGGAGTCCCACAATGGGACGAAACGTCCGTTCAGTGCTTCGAGGTTTTCTATGATGGTCTAGCTCCAATTGACTCATGATTTCAACCATATAGAAATATCTATATTAGTCAATGTATAAAGTATCATTTGATTAATAAATGCTTTCATATGATAGATATTGATAGGTTCTCCTTACTGTCTAGTACGCTGTCAAGTTGTCTTTTTAAATGTTGAAAATCTGAACAAATTAATCCTGTACGAAATACTACTTATGCGTTACATACTCACCGTCTTTTTTTGATGTGACATTCAAACAAAAGGAGATTACTGAAGATGGATTCATGTTATGCTAGTGATTGTTAAGGTTATAGTTAAAATCATGAGTCGATTAAAACTTGACCTCTATGGAAAACCTGATAGCACTGGACGGCCATTTCGTCCTATTGTGGGACTCCTCATCAGTGCGAACCCACGATTCCACCTCGCGACATTCAAACCCAGGACTTATCAGTCTCGCGCATGAGCGCCTTATCTCTATTCACAACATGTAAAGACGATTTCACTGATTTTAAAAGTGATTAATTTAAGTTGAAACATATTGTACACTAGCATAAGAGGAAATTAACTAAATGGAATGCTAAAGGAAAGGATGCGGGAAAATAACTGTAATATAGATGATGATAGAAATCATTCAAAACATGAAGCTGATACTTCTAAGATAATATTAAAATTCAAAAATGGATAGGAAAACAGAAATAAACATAATCATATGTATATAGTTGTGAAAGAGTTCAAGTCATATTACTTAAGATCACCAAATATATTGACTCAATTTATTCATGTGAACCCCCTAATTAAGAGTTTAATCTCTTGACTACCAAAAATTTTGATATAGTTTGAGTTAAATTTTTCAGACAAAAGATTGAAACATAAATTTTCAAAAGTTGTTATATCTTGTAGCTGAGTGGATGCCCAGTTAATGTATGACTTGATAAGACCGCCAATCAGAGAGCAGAGAATTATCAATTGGAACAGTGCCACACGAAAACTTTACGAGTAGTCTAGAGTGCTTATCAATCCTGTTTCTGCCTAACCCAGCCAGTTAAGTCCTAAACACTAATAACAACCTCTGTGGTATGAATGTTTGTATTTCAAACATACTGAGTTTATATACCGAACAGACTGACCACATTACACCATGAAATAGAAAATAACATTTGTACAAGAGTTAGCCAAATGTGGCTGTGAATAGTGGGAGCAGTAATTAATAGACTGGGTATAACTCAGGAATGGTAAATCGTACAATCATAGTCCAAGGGTCAAAATAAAGCTCACAATGAAAGGAACATGAATATGAATAGTTTAATTATTTAGCAAATATACGATAAAAATTATATGCATAATATTGGTTCATAAATGGATCCCAAAGTTACCATTCACTATTGTTATCGGGGCATAACAGAAGTGTTTTTAAATAGTTGCACTACACTTAATATTTCTAGTCAGTGTAAGTCGATCTGTAGTATACAAAAACTAGAATGGGGATAATTGAATGTATTTGAGTACAAAATTACAGAATATCTCAGTAAAATATGAGGACCATATTGTAAATAGACAATTTGCAAACTATTAATCAATCGTCTCAATTTTGACTGTTCCTTCTGAAACCAATGGTTAGAGACCTTGAATGACATGACTCAAAATCGTTTGCAATGGCGAAGGTGTGTCCACTCTTTGTGTTCTACTAAATTCTATTCTTCTGAATTCTTCATGTCTCTATCTCTTTTCTCTTTCTAAATTTATTTCATTGGATTATACTCTTTTAATAACATCTTCAAACCCTAATCTTTCAGATTACTGCTTATACTCTTACTATTTCTATTACTACTATGGGATTTGAATCGATAACTGCATCTCTGTGTTAATGTGGTATGGCAACTCGAACTGATGTACGTACGTACGTACGTAGTTCTACGTTATGACTGACTGACTGACCTTCTGCAAATATCAGTTCATCATCTCCGATTATTATAGTTCATGCATTTTCATACCGATCGCACTTCGTTCCCGTTCTTTCCTTATCGATCTTCTACTGAAATATATTCAATGCCCGACTATCGTAATATACTACTTATGCGGATATAAGTAACCCACACCACAAATCTAGTATACATTCTTATGATTCATATATATTCTATTCTTTAGTTTCACATACATATACAACAAAAATTGAAATAGAAAAAACGAAAATATATTTACCTTGAGGAAAATAGAATCCAGATATCCAAAATGAAAGAGGTTTTCCTCTAATCATCCATGTATTAATAAAATCACAACGTAGTACTAAATCATTTATCCAACTACCTAATGGTTTTAAACTTGGATATGATTTAGATGACCAAATATTTGGTACAGAATTTTGTAAAATTGCCGTATATACACCTTCTAAATCTTCTGACATAACAATAAATCCTTTAATTGCTTTTTTAAGTTGTTTCAAAGAATTCTAAAGAATAAAAAAAAAAACTATCAGTATAGGATTGTAAAGAGATTGTTAAGTTTAGATTAATATCATGAATGGATCAATGTTAGACTACCATTAAAAACCTTGAAGCACGGGACAGTCATTTCATCCTAGTATGGAACTCCTCAGCAGTGCTCATCTATGATCCCATATACTGGACTCAAATCACAGACCTTCGGTCTTACAGGTTCACAATGATGACCTAACATTGATCCATTCATGATATTAATTTAAAATAATAAAAAAAACTAATCTCAATGATGTTCAAAAAGATTATTATCAATGAATAAAATATGAAACAATAGTCACAATCATATGTTTATAGATTGGAACGGATTAGTACCATCTAACTAACAGTCAACAACTTGATAACTAAGTACATCATCATGTACTAAAAAAACTTGAACCATACTTTGTAAGTATATGTGTTTGTGAGCGACTGTTCATACAGAATTAGTTGAAGTGAATTTTGAACAATATAGATCACTAATGGAAAGTTGAATGATATAATTATTATACTTTTATTGTAATTCATTTAGTTCCATTATGATATTTCTGTGTGATCAAATATATCTTGTTATTTAATGAGACAGTTTGTAATTTGTGCTTAAATACATTCGATTGTCCCCACTCATGTTCTTGTTCATTACATTTGTTGTCGCTGCCAACCAGGAGAAGGAAGGGTGCTATTCTGCAGACGCCGCTGTGGGCTTGGAGTTGAGGTGCTGGTTGGGGCAGTCTGGTGAGGATAGGTGACGTCGATTGGAGTGTTCTGGCGGGGCGGCGTTGGCTGTAGCAGGTGCTGTTGACGTAGAGGAGCAGTGGGACGTGCGGCTGCTGGGCGGACATCGGATGTAGATGGTTCAGCAGGCCGGTAGAGTACGCATGTTGAACGTCCCAGGTGTCGGGTGGATGTCGGATGTTGGTCCCCGGCAGGTCGACGGAGCTATGGAGGTCAGCGCGCCGCAGACTCAACATTTTGACGGGGAGCTTGGCACAGACTGCAATACAAGAAGAAGGTGAGCACGGCGAGCAGAACCACTGCATGAACGAATGCTTTAAAGGGGAGACGAGTGTAGTGTGGTCTACTTATATCCATACAAGTAGTATATGGCGACGGTCAGACATAGAATTTATTTTGGCAGAAGACAGATAAGGAAAAAACTGAAATAAAGCGCAATTGGTAGGAAAATGCATGAACAATGAAATCAGATAAGACGGACTGATATTTGCAGAAAGAACAGTGAAGATTGAGACAATTGGCTGTTATCTTGCAAATTAACTGTTGTATGGTTATCAGAATTTAGTGAGATAGTCTGTAATTCGTGCTTAAATACATTCGATTGTCCCCAACAAGTATTCTATTCACTGCATTTGTTTGAAATTAACTGTTGGTGTGAAGGTAATGATGAGTGAGATCATGAAATCGGTCGATTCAATTTAACAGAAAAGCTTCATTAATTGAAACAGGGTATCAAATATATTCAAATTTGTAATTTTAAACTGTATTATTAGTTATTATGGTATGTAAGATTTTGATAACTTAAGTGAAAAATGTAAGAGTAATTAACCCGAATAAATTGATCTAATCTAGACAATATTTTGAGAATTATAAGCAAAGGTGGATAGTGGCTAGCAGTGGAATCCAGTTTCACGCGCGTTTCGTCCTACGTGGAATTCATCAGCTGAATTTGCCTGCATCTCAGAGTTGATGTTTACTGTGGGACTCGAATCCAGTACCCTTCGCTTCAAGAAAGTGGCTATCAGGACTCAGTAGCTAGGTGGATAACGCAATGGTATTTGAAGCGAAAGAATGAAACGCCCGCTATGGGTTCCACTGCTAGCTACCATCGATCTTTGTTTATAATGCTTGTGAATTAAGGTAATATCGAGGCAATATGCACAGTATGCCCATATGCCAATAAGAAAGAGACTGATTAATTGCAGTCCTAACATATCAATGGGAAGATTCAAACAAACAATAATAAGTGAATTTTGAGAAGCGTAAATAAGTAGCTATTTGCAAAATCATATAGTTCAAAAATTATCTTCAATTTATTCAAGTTCACATGATTACAACTAAAATGAATCAGTTACTGATGATTATTGTTTTATATCACGAATTCATTGAGTCTGGAAATATGAGACATTGAATTCTACTAAGTGATCAAAAGCAAATTAATTATATCCAATTCTAAATGTTCTAAATATGATCTATAGTGACATTGTAGTTGCTTACCACTGTAGAGTTTATACGAAGACAAAATAGAAGTACAATAAACTCTGGTTTACAATGAATTTTCAAATGATATTAGGAAATTATTATCAGATGAAATTGCTTACTAACTAAACTATGATATAAACAACTTAAAATACAATAAATACTAATATATACATATATTACTATTTACAACTTACTTACGCTTGTTACCCCTCGTGGAGAAGCATAGGCCGCCCACCAGCATTCTTCACCTAACTCTGTCCTGAGCAATCATTTCTAGTCATTTCCAGTTGTTATTCATCCTTTTCATATCTGCTTCTATTTCACGACGTAATGTGTTCTTTGGCATTCCTCTTTTCCGACTCCCTTCCGGATTCCAAGTTAGGGCTTGCGTCGTGATGCACATTGGTGATTTTCTTAATGTATGTCCTATCCACTTCCAACGTCTTTTCCTAATTTCCTATTCAGCTGGAAGCTGGTTTGTCCTCTCCCAAAGAAGGCTGTTGCTGTTAGTATCCAGCCAGTAAATGTTGATTACTTTGAGTAAACAACTGTTTATAAATACTTGTACCTTCTTGACGTTAGTTGTAGTAGTTCTTCAAGTTTCAGCTCCATACAGTAGACTGTGTTGACGTTTGAATTGAAGATTCTGACTTTGATATTGGTTGACAGTTGTTTTGAGTTCCATATGTTCTTCAATTGTAGGAATGTGGTCCTTGCTTTGCCAATCCTCGCCTTTACATCTGCATCCGATCCTTCTTGTTCATCAATGATACGTCCCAGATAAGTGAATGTTTCCACATCTTCCAGAGTTTCTCCATCAAATGTGATTGGCTTGGCGTTCTCTTTGTTGTATTTGAGAATCTTAATTTTTCCTTTGTTTATATTGAGGCCTATTGATGTAGAGGCTACTGTTACATTAGTTGTCTTCGTCTGTATTTGTTCATGTGTATGGAATAGGAAAGCTAGGCCATCTGCGAAGTCCAAATCGTCTAATTGATTCTAATATGTCCATTGTATTCTGTGCGTCCCCTCAGATGTTGAAGTTTTCATAATCCAGTCAATCATCAAAAGAAACAGGAAGGGGGAGAGTAGACAGCCTTGTCTGACTCCAGTCCTTACTTGCAATCCATTTGTCAGCTGTCCTCCATGCACGACTTTGCACTGTAGTTGGTATCTATCTATCTATCTATCTATAAATATATATATATATATATATATATATCATAGTAACCATATAAACTATAATGATTCCATTTATATCCATATACCTACCTTGATAATTGTTAATAACCTATTGAATCGATCAATTTCTTGTGTAAGTACAATAGTTAATGAATCTATTCGACCTTTATTATCTAAATTAAATAAATCTGGGCGGGCATTTTCTATTTGAATATTTTCTGGTAATTTTTTAAATATTAAATCTGATTGTTCATAAATTAATTCATCATTTGTTTTCCCTTTATTTAATGTACTCAATGTACGGGGTTGAATATTGAGGATTACAGATAATAGATTATTGGTTTCTTGGAGCTTTGATTATTAAAAAAGAAAACAGAAGAAAAACAAATAACAGAATTATAAATTTTTAATCAGAAGCGAGGGGGGGTTTGTGGAGATTTTGTAGTAATTTTATATCGTTGAAATCATGAGCCAATTGAAGTTAGACCACCATGGAAAACCTGGAAGCATTGGACGGTCACTTCGTCCTATTGTGGGACTCCTCAACTTCAAGAGGTATTTCCTAGAGTTCTAGTGAGAAGTAGTAACCAGTGGAGTTCAACCTGATCTGTTGGGAGATATCAAATCACTGAAGACATTGGTGAAATGATTGATCGATTTCGAGGATTGGTTGAAGTCAGACATTAACATCGTTGGATGCCGGCTCAGTGGTCTAGTGGTTAAGCGCTCGCATGCGAGACTGATATATCCTGTGTTCGAATTTCGCGAGTGCGGTATCGTGGATGCGCACTGCTGAGGAGTCCCACAATAGGATGAAACGGCCATCTAGTGTTTTCAGATTTTCCTTGGTGGTCTAGCTTCAATTGAATCATGATTTCAACTATCAAACTAATCAACGGTTGTCATAGGGTAGTTGTTAGCGTTCTAGTTTGTCTATGAATATACAAGCTTTCAATTGTTATTCATTCTTTATGGGTGCCAAAACCTTTATGAAGTATTTTCACCTAAATAAATTCACAATACAAAATTCTCTTCAGTAATAACTGAGTTCAGTTGAGGAATTCACACTTTGACTACAAACATATAAGATTTAACATTTCGCTTATTAGGTCGGGTAAAGTAGATTATCAGTAAATTCTACATGATCTAAGGTTCATACTGATTGGTAATCATTAATAAATCATCATTCTGTAATTCAGATAGAAGTTATAACTACGCCTGTAGTTCCTACGGGGGCTACTACCGGTCCCAAGCCCGGTTAAAGGAAGAGGGTTGGGCATAGGGTTAGCAACCCCATCCCGCAGAAAATCAACTCACTAAAAAGCACTAACCAGAAAAGAATATTCAAACCATTTAAACTCTGCCCTGGGAGTAGAAGGAATAATTATGACGTCTCATTATGAAAGCCGAGTTCCTTCGGAAGTCATGAGGCCGATGCACCTTCTTACAACCAGAGCGACAATATTTGTAGTTACATAGAATGTTCGGACAATGTGGGAGACCGGAAAAGTCTTCCAAATTGCAGATAGAAGTTATGCTTTGTATTGGATTTTAATATCTGTATTATACAGTATCCTCGTTAGTAACCACTTGTAGGACTGTAATATCAACATTTGTTGATCATTAGTGGTTGTTATAAAACAATTAATAATATTGTCAGCAAAGATGGATGGTGGCTAGCAGTGGAATCCAGTTTGACGCGCGTTTCGTCCTATTCGGAACTCGTCAACTGGATGCACCTGCATCTCAGAGTTGATGTTTGCTCTAGGACTCGAACCCAGTACCTTTCGCTCTACTCGGCCACTGAGTCCTGATAGCCAATTCCTTGTGCAATAGGGTGAAGTTTAAATTCACTTAGTATTGCTTGTTTGAATCTTCCCATTGGTGTTTAGGACTGCAATACGCTTAGTAACATATATGTCAATTAGAAACTGACCAGTTGCAGTTCTAACACATCGAGGGGAAGATTCAAACAAACAATACTAAATGAATTTAATTAATAATATACTAAATTACATTTATACTTCTGTATTAGAAGACTTATTACCTGATATACTAAATTAGCATTTTCATGCATACCAAATAATTCAGGTCCTGAACTAAATGGTAGACTAGATACATATTCCAAATATTCTGCTAAAGTTTCTTTAGTTGGTGGATAATAAATACCAGAAGATGAATAAACATAATTCGGTTTTAATGTAGATGGATGAAAGAAACGTTGAAGTATTGTACGTAAACATCTTTGATCCCAGAAATCAGTTACACGTCCACCATATGTGATCTAGAATAAGAAAGGAAAAATGATACTTTTTGAATGATATGATGAATTTTAAACGTATATTCTAAATTGTCAACACTGTATTTATTTTGTGAACTAACTTACTGACTTACGCCTGTTACTCTTAATGGAGCATAGGCCGCTGACCAGCATTCTCCAACCCACTCTGTTCTGGGCCTTCTTTTCTAGTTCTATCCAACTTTTGTTCATTCTTCTCATGTTTGTCTCCATTTCTTGGCGTCATGTGTTCTTTAGTCTTGCTCTTTTCCTTTGGCCTTTAGGATTCCATGTGAGGGCCTGTCTTGTGATGCAGTTGGGTGATTTCCTCAAAGTGTCTCCTATCCATTTCCAGCGCTTCTTCGTAATTTCGTCTTTCGCTGGAATCTGATTTGTTGTCTCCCACAGTAACTTGTTGTTGATAATGTCTGGCCAATGGATCCGAAGTATCTTGCGTAGACAGCTGTTAATAAACACCTGTATCTTCTGGATGATGGCTTTCGTAGTACTCCACGTCTTCGCCCTATACAGTAGAACTGTCTTGACATATGTATTGAAAATTTTGATCTTAGTGTTGGTTGACAATTGTTTTGAGTTTCAAATGTTCTTCAGTCGTAAATATGCTGCTCTTGCTTTGCCGATCCTCGCTTTCACATCTGAATTAGATCCATTTGTTTTGTGAAAGATAATATTAAAAGCTGTTTCTAGTAAGATTTCTGTTTGTTTATAGGTATTGGACAAGTTAATGTTTAAATTAACTCAGCATTTCAATGAATATCTCGTTGGTATTTGAAAGAAAACAGTACTGTATTCGAGTCTCAGTGTGAACAACACTATTCGGTTACAGGTGTATTCAAATGATGAGTTTCAAACAAGATGAAATTTACATTCTGGATTATAGTATTAGTCACAATTAAACTTTAACTAAAACTTGTGACTAAATGTCAATATCGGGTTAATTCGTTTAGAATGTACATCTACCAAAAAAAAGACTGATCGATTCCAATCATGAATGGCAACAAATGATATATAAAAATGTCAGAAGGGCTTTTCATGAGATTTAGTATCTTCATAGTTGCAAGCGTGAGTCAATTGAAGCTAGACCACTATGGAAATCCTGGAAGCACTGGATGGCCTTTTCGTCCTATTATCGGGCTCCTCAGCAGTGTGCATCCACGATCCCGCACTCGCGAGATTCAAACCCGCGCGCGAGCACTTAACCTCTAGACCACTGAGACAGCATCCAACGTTGTTAATGCCTAACTTCAACTGATCCACGATGTCCTGAAATAGGACGAAACGGCCGTCCGGTGCTTCCAGATTTTCCATAGTGGTCTAGCTTCAATTGACTCACGCTTTCAACTATGAAAATATAAAAATGTGACAAAGATATCAAAATTTTTTTAAAAAAAACAACGTTTTACTGACTTCAGCTGTAATATACGTTAAAGCATCCCATGGTATATAAGATTCATGACAGAACATTTCTAAATTTAATAAAGCACATTCTCTATCCGAATCATTAAAATCATAATTAATATTCCATCCAAGTGGTCCAAATTTTTTTCTTTCCAATACAATTGAATGAAAGAAACAAATGCCAAAAACTAATTTACGCCAATCATTTCTTAAAACTGTATAAATAATGGAAAAAAGAGAACATGATAGGTAAGTATTTTATAGAATTCAGTTATTTTCATAGTTGAAATCATGAGTCAATTGAAGCTAGACCATTAAGTAAAACCTGGAAGCACTGGACGACCATTTCGTCTTATTATGGGACTCGTCAGCAGTGCGCGTCCACGATCCCGCGTTGGCGAGATTCGAACCCAGGACCTACTAGTCTCGCGTCAGAGCACTTAACTACTAGACCACTGAGCCAACCGGCATTGAACTATGTTAATGTCTAACTTCAACTAATCCACGATTTTGAGCAACCATTTCATCAATTGTCTTCAGTGAGTTTATATCTCTACAACAGATCAGGTTGAACGCCACTGGTCACTGCTTCCCACTAGAACTCAAGGAAATATCTCTTGAAGTCAGTCACTAGTGATCATATTCAGTTATTGTCTAACATTTACTAATTTTAACAATCTATTCATTATTACATAATATAAAATCAATAAATGATGTAACATCACATAAAAACTCAAATTAGTATTAAAAAGTGACTGCTATTAATGTAGCGAATGAGAACTCAGGTGAGGAAGATCACTCTATTGTTCGATGCACAATTACAGTGAATAAAAACATATACTGTGAGGATGGTCTACAGGTGGAGTTGAGGAAGCTCTAAGAAGCCCAGAAGAAGCCGAACATATTCCATCCAATCAGTTTTGGGAAGAATATTCCAGAATCACTATGTGTAGCTTCCCTATTGAACAATGCTAATAACCTCCTGTGTGCGGATTGGATAACTATAATGATGATTTTGTTTTTACTAAAAACTATAAATACCTGGCAGTTTTGTACCATAATTGACACTGTTTGGAATAACATTCCTTCTACTTGTCTTGAAAGGGTTCTAGTGTTTGAGTGCTCAAGTATTGCTCGACGTACTAAGAATCTAACTTTAAGATATAACATATACCGAATGCATAATTTGCAAATCTTCAATCAGTTGTCCTGCACATGTTTCATAATTCTTTCAACTATGTTATTATTACAATTACTTTCTGTTTCCCTTTCTGTTCTATTCAACTGAATCTTCTCAATCTTCTGCTGAAATGCATTCCACTTTCGATTGGTGCTACATACTACTTATATCTGTCAACATAAGTAGCGTACACCATAATACTACGAGAACATGAATGGGGACAACTAATATATTTTAAGAAAAAAAAACTACAGAATATCTTAGTAAAATATGAGAACCATACACTGAATACTTCATCTGCAAATTTTTGATCAATTATCTTTCACATTCTGTATGATTTTTCTAGTTCACAATTTCTATTTTCTATTTTGTTCTCTTCAACTTAATCTTTTTATCACAAGGGGGGTTTTTGTGGAGATTTAGTAATTTTATAGTTAAGATCATGAGTCAATTGAGGCTAGACCACCATCGAAAACCTGGAAGCACTGGACGGCCGTTTCGTCCTATTATGGGACTCCTCATCAGTGCGCATCCACGAACCCGCTCTCGTGAGATTCGAACCCAGGACCTACCAGTCTCGAGCCGGAGCCCTTAACCGATAGACCACTGATCTTTTTAGCTTTCTTCTGCCAGGTTTTCTACTTCCGATTGGTATTATATACTACTTAAGTTAGCAAACATAAATAGCATGTATCACACAACTACTACTATTACTATCATTATTATTACAACTACTATAATTATGTTTGATGATTAAAGGTATTCCACCAGATTATGATCATATTTAACTTATCAAGAATAATAAAAATGTGAAGATGAAAGATGGTCATTACATTTCCATAATATAAAAAAACATACCATGTGTTTCAAATGATTCCGTTGAGATATCATTAAGTGCTCGTATAAGATTTGCTCTTAATCCTTTTGGTGGTTCATTAGTTACTTTTATTGAATTTTGTAATACAGAAATTGGAAATGATTTTGATGGCATTGAACTTAAAAATAAACGAAAATTTGAATGTATAGATTTAGGATTTTCAGCAAGTTGTTTTACTATTTCTTCTAATCTAATCATCCATGAAGCGGCTAAATGACAATTCTGAAGAAAAAAAAACAAACAAACAGAATAAAGTTAATGTTGAGGCGATCTTTTGAAAATTTCTCGTAATATACATAACTAGCTTAGGATATATTGAGAAACCTTTTATTCAATTAGCGTTTAATTAGAAGTTTTGCTAGAATCATCACGAAAATGAAAAGTTACATGTAGAGGTTCTGATTGACTGATTTACTACATTGCTAGTATGTTTAGTAGTATTATAGAATTTTTAGGAAAATCCAAGGACTTCTAAAATACTATAAAAAACCTAAATTTTCTGTACATAAATGAACCTTTGGAGTGAAATGCTTCTCGTCTATTTTGCGTATTTTCTCTCGTGTTCAAGTGGTTATGTCGATTTAACTTGAGGGTTAAGAGACTTGCTCAGGATCAGAGTTTAGCGTTCAGTCAGCAAGACTTATCAGCGGCGACTGGGATGGGATGGGAATATTTTTTACTATTTTGTTGAAAACGTAGGTTGATTGAAGTTAGACCACTATGGAAAACCTGGAAGCACTGAACGCCTGTTTCGTTCTATTGCGGGACTCTTCAGCAGTGCTCACCCACGATCCCTCCTCACGAGATTCGAACCGAGGACATATCAGTCTTGAGCGCGAACGCTTAACGACTAGACCACTGCGCTGGCATCCAATGATGTTAATGTCTAACTTCAACTAATTCACGAAATTGAGCGACACATCCATCATTGTTTCCAGTAAGTTATTATCTCACAACAGACCTGATTGAACTCCACTGGTCACTACTTCTCACTAGAACTTCAGGATATACTTCTTGAAGCCAGTCACTAGTGAGTCATAACGCATGATGATAATTAAATTAAAACTCGAAGAAAAATAATAATTTTTTTAAAATTTTTACCTGTAAAAATACTCAATCGCCTAATTTACATGCTTCATTAATTAATTTCTCAGCTATGATACCTTGTCCTTGTCCTAATGATATAATATGTACATGTTCTATTGAATAATATTCTTTAATAAACTTTTGAAATTGATTCATGGGATCTGAAACATTTGATCATGAGTCAAATGAAGTAAGACCACACTATGGAAAACCTGGAAGCACTTAACGACCGTTCCCTCCTATTATGGGACTCCTCATCAGTGCGCATTCACGATCCCGCCTCGCCAGATTTGAACTCAGGAAATATCAATCTCGCGCTTGAGCGCTTAACGACTAGACCACTGAACCTGTAGTGAACAGAACACTGGTTGGGGACAATCGAATATATTTAAATAAAAAATTACAGACTATCTCAGTAAATTCTGAAAACCATACAATGGACAGTTAATTTGCAAATTAACAATCAGCAGTCTCAGTCTTCACTGTTTATTCTCTAATTACATTGTTCGTGCATTTTCCTACTGATTGCGTTTCATTTCAGTTCTTCCCTCATCAGACTTCTGCCAAAAGACATTCTATGTTTGACCAACGCTATATACTACTTATATGGATATAAGTAGATCACACCAGAAGCCGGCCGGCATCCAGTGGTGTTAATGTCTAACTTCAACCAATCCACGAAATTAAGCGACTCATCCATCATTGTTTTCAGTGAGCTACTATCTCACAACAGATCCGGTTGTACTCCATTGATCACTATTTCTCACTAGAACTTCAAGAAATATCTCTTGAAGTTGAGGAGTCCCACAATAGGACGAAGTGGCCGTCTAGTGCTTCTAAGTTTTCCATGATAGTCTAGCTTCAATTGATTTATGATCTCAACTACTGAAGTGACTATAATATTCGCACAAAGAACTCCTTCTTGTTAACAAGTAATTCATGATGAAAATTAAAATGCCAAAAAAAAATTTTTTTTTATAAAATTTTTACCTGTAAAAATACCCAATCCCCTGATTTACATGATTCATGAATTAATTTCTCAGCTATGATACCTTGTCCTTGTCCTAATGATATAATATGTACATGTTCTATTGAATATGATTCTTTAATAAATTTTTGAAATTGATTCATTGGATCTGAACCATGTGATAATATAAATATTAATGGTATATAGGAATTCATTTCTTTATATAAATTAGATAAATTACTTATAGATGATGGTATTTCAGTAAACTCTTTACCAAGATTAATTGTTATGAAATATCGAATGACTTTCATCATTTTCTCTTTATATAGTGTGGAAATTAATAATAATTTTTGAAAAGATGTTAATTTTTTATTATAATCTATAGATGGTGATGTTCCATGACATTCAGGATTCAATTTATAAATACCTAATTCTTCAAGATCCATTTGTTGTTGTTGTTGTCCTTCATGATGTTGACCTTCTTCATGTTGACCTTCTTCATGTTGTTGACCTTCATCTTGATATTTTTTTTGAATATTTATTTGATTAAAATTAATAATAATTGAATATTGACATATATCATTAGGTAATGTATTAAATTGTTCTGGAAATTCTTCTGATAAATTAATAATATTATTCCATTGTTTTATATTAAACCAATTTTTAGTATGATTTGGTTGTTTTAATTGTTTATCATTATAATTAGATGAATTTAATAAAAAATATAACCATTCATTATAAGTAATATCATTCATTTGTTTTAATATTTCAATACATAATATAAATGAAAATAATAATTTATCATGTTCAAATAAACTACGTATAATATTATGATATGTTGCTATGGTAATTGAATATAGTAACATTTTTATATGTTCATCTATTGTAGATCCTTTTGGACTATTTTGTATAGTTGTATTGAATAACTAAATGTTATTTTAGAAGAAAAAAGAAAAAAGAAAAAAAGGGTTAGAAAAACATTTATCAATATTAAGATCCTGCCTCGTCAGATTCGAACCTAGGAACTACTAGTCTCGTGCTAGAGCACTTTACTGATAGATCAATAAGACGAAACGGCCATCTAGTGCTTTCAAATATTCCTTGGTTCTCTAGCTTCAATTGATTCATGATTTTAACTATAAAAATAGTGAAATCACCACAAAACCCCTTCTGATAACATTTAGTGTTAATTGTTGAATTCATAAATCGATCTAATTTAGATCATTATATGAAAACTTGGAAGATTGGAGTTTCTATCTGGGTTTGAGTCTCACCTGAGGAATCGTTCACTACTTTCAGCTTTTGTATAGTGATCTAACTTAGACTGACCTATTATTATTATTAGTAGTACTAGTAGTAATATTATGATATGTTGCTATGGTAATTGAATATAGTAACATTTTTATATGTTCATCTATTGTAGATCCTTTTGGACTATTTTGTATAGTTGTATTGAATAACTAAATGTTATTTTAGAAGAAAACAAAAAAAAGAAAAAAAAGGGTTAGAAAAACATTTATCAATATTAAGATCCTGCCTCGTGAGATTCGAACCTAGGAACTACTAGTCTCGTGCTAGAGCACTTTACTGATAGATCAATAAGACGAAACGGCCATCTAGTGCTTTCAAATATTCCTTGGTTCTCTAGCTTCAATTGATTCATGATTTTAACTATAAAAATAGTGAAATCTTCATAAAACCCCTTCTGATAATATTTAGTGTTCTGAAAAGCGAAGATATTTTCCTACTCTATAACAGATTTGACTACATTATGAGATCTATCATCCCAGTATATTTCGTTTCATCGATGTAAGTTAATTGAATCACAACTGATAGGAAGTTCTTCTTGATTTCAGTCTCATGCATCCCAATACTCATTGTCAAAGTGTATCCATAATCTTAAGACAATTGATAATCTTTTCATAGTTAAAATCATGAGTCAATTGAAGCTAGACCACTATCATGGAAAACCTGGAATCACTGGATGGCCGTTTCATCCTATTATGGAACTCTCTGTGATCTCTGTGAATCTCTGTGATGTTCGAATCTTTGTTGCTATTTAGTGTTCTACTGTCACATATTACTAATGAGTAATATTATTAAAATAGATAAAAATTCACTTACATTTTTAAAATATTTCAATGAAAATTGATACATTGGATCAATTTCAGCCAACATTGTAATGACAAAATACATCATAGAACCACGTGATGCAATAGGTAAATATTTGGAACGTGCTATTGTAATTTTTTGTTCTGTTATTGTTGCTTCTGTTAAACGTTTAGTGATTTCACTTGATTTAATTTTAGATTCATTTAATGTATTAATTAAATCTTCATTATCTAATATATTACCTTCGGATTCGAACAGTAATTTTAGTATTCGATTCTCTGTTTCCTAAAATATTTAAAACAGATTATTATGTATGTACATGTATAGGTTAGTAGAATGATTATTGATATTTATAGAAAAAACTGAGATATTTTTTTAAATTATGGAACACGTTATTATCATGTTGTCATGGTAATTTGGTAATATCAACTTTGTCTAATGTATATTGATTGTCAGATTCTTTGTTGAAGCTCAGGACAGAGTTGGATGGAAAATGCTGGTCAGCGGCCTATACTCCTCGACGAGGGGTAACAGGCGTAAATAAGTAAGTCTTTGTTGAAGATGTTTATTTGTCTGTTTGTTGAAATCTAATAATAAATTTCTGGAGTTAACGAGTATTTAATAAATGAACTGATGACCAATGAAATTCAGAGAACAGTGGATGTCTTTTTTTTCTATTAATATGAGATTTCACAGTAGTATTTAAGTTGAATTAGATCCTGAATATTGCCCCCATAATGCCCTGATACGGTTGAGAGTTTGGAGGGTTCACCATCTCTCTCGAAATGCTCTCACATGGCCACGCGTACACAACCTCTGCTAGGGAAGTCTTTCTCACTGCCTTATCATGGCATTACTGTTGTCGGGAGCTTTAAGGGGGTTGGTGGACACGGTGCATCTACCTAGGGGAGTTGGGAAACCCTGATTTCAAACCAATGGTGTACATCGGCTCCAGTACCCTGAGGGAACAAATGGCGTATGAACCAATTGCTGGTCAAAGCCTACCATGGGACTGAATCTCCTCACGATGCTCCACTGCCTTGTGGATCAGATCTTTAGGTCAAAGGTTCCGAGTGTGGCCTTCTACGGAAATCACCTGCTTCGGTTTAGGCACCCAGGCAGTATCATAGCCTTCACGCAATTAAAATGAAACGACCATTTTTTGCGCGGCGCATGTATATATGATGCCCCCTTGTACCAATATTTATGTGTTCAAATAAATAAACAATAAAACATCATGCAATGAGTGAGACTATCTAGTCCCTGAATCCGAATTCAATAATTTACAATTTTAAAGTCCGTGTTCAAGGAATATAAAGTGGAAATCATCTCAATTCATAGATGAATAACAGTTTTACTCTTGATTTAACTGGACAACAATAATATTTAGTTGAAAGTAATTTTAACTGATAAATATCTAATTGATAGGAAACATTCATCTTTGGTTTTATTGCTAACTCTTAAAGTTATAATCGAGCTATAAACACAGATAATAATGAAGCATCTGTAAGACAATAGAAACTGATCAGGTTTAGTCTTGATTATCAAAAATAAGTTAATACAAACCCCCTACAACCAATAAAACTGTCTACAAAACCTGACAGGGGCCATATGATCTGAATAGTCCGTCTAGTCTTTCTTTGAACAAAATTTACATCTTATTTTGCAAAAAGGAGTCTATATCAACAAATCACATTTGAAGTAAGTGAGCACTGGACTAACTATAAGTAATAATTTTTATAAAACTGAATAATATACATTAAAATATGACACTAAAATGATTGAAGTCCCATAAAATGTGCAGTACAGGATCATTGTTTCTTATCACGAATCATACGGAATACAGTATATCACAATGATGATTGAGAAAATTAATTATAATTGACTAAGTAGTAATTGCTAAATGGTTGAAAACAGTCATCAGGAAACCTCGGACCTAAGTTTCTTACAGGATTCTCCATAAACAGCTGGTCAGTCGTAGTGTGGTGTGGTTTACTTATATCCACACAAGTAGTGCATGGTGATGGTCAGGGATAGAATGCATTTTAGCAAGAGATCGATAAGGAAAGAACGGGAATGAAGTACATCGGTATGAAAATGTATGAACAATAAAATCTGAGAAGACAGACTGATATTTGCAGATGGAACAGTTAAGATTGAGACAATTGATTGTTATTTTGCAAATTAACTGTTTACTTTATGGTTATCAGATTTTAGTGAGGTAGTCTGTAATTTTATTGTTAGATATATTTGACTGTTCCTCGCCCATGTTCTTATTCACTACAGTAGCCCGAATTAATGTCTCAGGTCATCAGGATAGGTAATGTGGGCTCGAATCCCATGGAGAACATGGATTCCTTCAAAATTGTAAAAAATACCTTGTTGATTGGTGTCAACAAGCACAAAATGTAAATATATCACTTTCTGTCGACAGTAACTTCTACCATTTAACTGATAAAAAGACATATACTACTGACTAAATGAAGATTTAGCCAGCAAAGTTTAACTTTTACTTAACGAAATTCAAATGATCTCATCAGTTACACATTTGTTCCATAAAAATCTATATTAAGAATATCTTAATATGGTGTTAATGTTCTTTAGAGTTGACTAGAAAACTGTATAGTGTAAGCTTAAAATCATACTAAACGCTTACATAGCCAAATACAGACTCATTTCATTTATTACCATGTAAAAGACATAAACACATGGATCTACTCTGAAATAAGTTTTGATAATGAAAATGATTTACTTTCAGGTTGTACCCAATCGATAGTATATCTTAAAAAATCTCATGGATCATTTGAATTCACTATATATACTAAATTTTCACTTTTTGTTTTGGGGACTAATTCTTAAGACAAATGATTAACCTATTCATTAGCGAATAAAGAAGATGAAAATTAAAAAAAGTTTTTCTTGGAATTACTCAATGTCAACAGAATAGTTTTATTGATAATCACAGTGATATACAATTGAAGCGCAATTGGTTGGAAAATGCATGAACAATGGAATTAGAGGAGATGAACTGATATTTACAGAAGAAACAGTGAAGATTGAGACAACTGGTTGTTATTTTGCAAATTAACTGTTTGTTGTATGGTTATCAGAATTAAGTGAGATAGTCTGTAATTTATGTCTAAATACATTCGATTTTCCCCAACCGGTGTTTTTTTCACTATATTTGGTGTCTCTGACAACCAAGAGGAGGAAGGGTGCTGTTCTGCGGACGCCGCTGCTGGTCTGGATTTGAGGTGCTAATTGAGGCAGTCCGATGCGGAGAGGTGACGTCGAGTGGGGTGTTCTCGCGGGTCGGCGTTGGCTGTAGCAGGTACTGTCGACAGAGAGGAGCGGTGGGACGTGCGGCTGTTCGGCGGACATCGGATGTAGATGTCTCAGCAGAAATTGATTTTGTTTACCAACTAAGCTACTGAATGTACCTGCATCCCAAAGTCGAACCCGGTACCATTCACTTTAAATGCCATCACGCTATCCACTTAGCTAATGAGTCCTATTGATTTTATTTAGTCTTACCCTAAGTAAATTATTAAACTCTCGAACAATCCTATAATATACTTGTTCAAATCTTAGTGAAAACAGTCAAACAAAACTTACTGATGAGTACTACCAGATGTACCTGTATCACAGAGTGAATGTTCACTACGTGGACTCAAACCCGGTACCGTTCGCTTCAAAAGTTATTGTGGTATCCACTTAGCTTCTGAGTCCTATTGATTTTATTTAGTCTTCCCTAAATAAGTTAGTAGAATATACTTGTTCAAATCTTAGTGAAAACAGTCAAACTGATGAGTATCGTACACGTACACATACACACACACACACACATAAACAAGTAACACTTAAACATTCAACTTACTTTTAATTGATTTCTATCTGTATTAATTCGTACTATTAATTGATTACGTTGTTCTTCTAATTCTGGTCGTTCAATACCAGTTACATCACTTAATAATTGATCTTCTAAACCATTCAGTGTAACAGTAAAATTAATAATAGTTACTTTAATTGATATATCAGGTAAATAATGTGGATTAGATAATTTACTAGTTAAATATAAACGAAAATTTTTATTATATTCTATATCTGAATCACCAAATCGTATTAATAAACGACCACCAGATAGATAAATTTGTTTTAATAATATAGATTCTAATGAAGGATCTAATACTTCATTAATATCTTCTAATAATAATGGTAATCCAAGACGTATACAATTTTCTATGATTCTTAATAAGTTCGAATCTGTTAGCTTGATCACTTTTAAATTATTCTGTAATTCCATTGTACGTATCCAACGATTAGCTTGTTCTTGTGGATCAATCATTAATGGCCATCTTCTTGAATGTTTTACTAAAATTGCATTATCTATACTCATTTGATCTGGTGGTAAACCTTGTATATTCCATTGTCTTACTTCATATGAATCACCTAGAACATTGAATAATGTTAATTCTTTACTAACTGGTATATTTAATTGATGACATTGTTCTATCCATTGTTTCATTAAATATTCACGATAATTAGCTGTAAATGCACCATAATAAGCTATACAAGCAGCTGCTATGAAAACATCTCCAATGACATTATTCAATTGAAGATTATACTTTTCGATAGATGATTTCCAACGATCTTGTTCATCAGCTAATGCAGTGGTTAATTTACCGGCACGTTTTAATCTAGCTGATGTTAAAGCTAAATGATGTTCAAGTTTCTTTTTTTCACTAACAGATTGATCATATTCTTGTTGTAATGAAGCAATTTTTTGTTCAACATTTGATAATTCTGATTGTTTCTGTTGAAGTTTACGCATAACAATATCTAAATCGGCATTAGCTTCTTCCAAACTAAAAATGATGAGAGAATAGAAAATAATCGTAAGTATTGAAGATTAAATATTCTTTTTTTGTTTTACAATAGTTTGAAAGCGTGAGTCAATTGAAGCTAGACCATAAGGGAAAACCTGGAAGCACTGATAATAATAATCATATACTTACTAGTGACTGACTTCGAGAGGTAAATCCAGGAGTTCTAATGAGAAGCAGTGACCAGTGGAGTTCAAACTAAGTCTATTGTGAGATATCAACTCACTGAAGATAATAGGTGAACGGTTGCTCAACTTCATGGATTGGTTGGAGTTAGACATAAACACCGTTGTATAGCGGCTCAGTGGTCTATCGGTCAAGTGCTCTGGCTCCAGACTGGTAGGTCCTGGGTTTGATACTCGCGAGGCCGTATCGTGGATGGGCACTGCCACTGAGGAGTACCACAATAGGACGTAATGGCCGTTCAATGTTTCCAAGTTTTCCTTGGTTGTCTAACTTCAATTGACTCATGATTTCAACTATGAAACTACTGAAATCTCCACAAAACCCCTTCTGATAATAATGATAAACTCAAAAAGAGTAAGGAGGTTACAAGTGTATACAATTCTATTGCTATGACTCTTTTAGGGTTATTCCACATAATTTAATTAAAGACTGGATATATATATATATATATATATATATATATATATATATATATATATTGTTAACAATATAAAGAATTGTGATATGAAGAGTGATCAGAAATAGCCTAGTGAGAAAGTTGACCGATGGTAAGTAAAAGTGACCTAAAGGACAAGTGTATTTTATTGGATAAGTAATTGATCAATTTCTTAAGGATTAGCGTGGTATAAATATATATGAATAAGCATTTGTGCATTTTATTCGATAGACAAATACGCCCTACCACTCACTTTGATGTTCTCACTCAAGTAGTCGTTCGGAGGGTTAGCACGTAACACACTATATATCAGTGTCAGTTTTGGAACCCACCCATCACAACAATTTGAAAAAAAAAAGATGCATACATTATCTATTTGTTACAGATAAGTAATTTCTCTCATTACTAGTTACACAATCAAATATTCTTATTTCTATTCAGTACAAGAAGTAGAAAGTATAATTTTATGAATCAGAATAGAATTCAAAGTGATCACAATCTGAAAGTAAGAGAATGAGGTAGTCTTAAATAGGATATCAGAGTATATTAGACAGTTTAAGACCCTACATGGATACGTAATCACTAGGTCGGGAAAATTCAAAAAATGAGAAGGAATCTTCTAAAGCATAAGGTTCATGTCAATCTGTAATCACTATGCACATCGATGTAGATTCAATATAACAATGTGTGTCAGGAAGATCAATCAATTACAAAGTAGAAGGTCAACCTAAGAAAACATTTAATCGTAACATGAGAACAGACTAGATCAATTCTTGTGGAGTAATCAAAAAGCTCATTTCTTCATTGAATAAGCATGCCAATTAAAGCTTCAAAATTAAATCATTCAGTTCAAACAAACTCAATCCTACTAAAGAGATTCACCTAAGTTATAAACCTTCATTATTTCAATTTGTAGTTGTCTGAATTTTTAGGCTAGCATACTGATAATCAAGAACTTTTCATTTTATCAGACTTTATGGAGGATAATTTCTAGTACTTCACTAATTTCAAGTCAATACTTTTATAATTATTATTGATTAGTCCCAAGGTTTAAATTTTACCACTTTCAAGCCATAACTCCGCCTGTAGCTCCTCTGGGGGTTACTGCCGGTCCCAAGCCCGGGTAAAGGAGGAGGGTTGGGCATGGGGTTAGCAACCCCATCCCGTAGAAAATCAACTCGCTAAAAAAACGCTAACCAGAAAAAATCATTCAAACCTTTCAAACTCTGCCCTGGGAGTAGAAGGAATAATTATGACGTCTCATGATGAAAGCCGAGTTCCTTAGGAAGTCATGAGGCCGATGCACCTTCTTACAACCAGAGCGACAATTTTTATGGGTACATGGAATGTCCGAACAATGTGGGAGACTGGAAGAGTTTTCCAAATTGCTGCAGAAATGAAAAAATACAACCTGGAGGTTCTTGGAATCAGCGAAACACATTGGACACAGGTTGGACAACAACGACTATCTTCAGGAGAACTTCTGTTATACTCCGGTCATGAAGAAGAAAATGCCCCACATACACAAGGAGTTGTATTGATGCTGTCCAGAAAAGCACAAAATGCACTTATTGGATGGGAATCTCATGGACCAAGGATCATCAAAGCCTCCTTCAAAACAAAGAGAGAGGGCATTACAATGAACGTCATCCAATGCTATGCGCCTACCAATGACTACGATGAAGACGCTAAAGACCAATTCTACGATAGGCTGCAGTCGATCGTCGAGAAGTGCCCAACCAAGGACCTGACAATTCTGATGGGAGATCTCAATGCTAAGGTTGGAATGGACAACACTGGATACGAAGACGTCATGGGACAACATGGACTGGGAGGAAGGAACGAAAATGGTGAGAGATTTGCAAACCTATGTGCCTTCAATAAAATGGTCATAGGTGGCACCATATTCTCACACAAAAACATACACAAAGCCACTTGGATTTCACCGCGTCACACTACACAGAATCAAATTGACCATATCTGCATCAACAAAAAGTTCAGGAGGACGATGGAGGATGTGAGAACCAGAAGAGGAGCTGATATAGGATCCGATCATCACTTGCTGATCGCCAAGATGAAACTAAAACTCAAGAAGCATTGGACAACGGTGCGGACAACATCACAAAAGTTTAATACGGCCTTTCTTCGAGATGCTGACAAACTCAACAAATTCAACATAGACCTCAGCAACAGGTTCCAGGCCTTTCATGACCTACTCAATGGAGAGGGAACCACCATAGAGAGCAGCTGGAAAGATATCAAGGAGGCAATCGTTTCAACATGTCAGGAGGTTCTGGGCCAAAAGAAGCACCATCACAAGGAATGGATCACTGTTGGTACACTGGATAAAATTGAAGCAAGGAGGAACAAGAAGGTAGCAATCAATATCAGCCGAACAAGAGCAGAAAAAGCCAAGGCACAAGCCGAATACACAGAGGCAAACAAGCAAGTGAAGAGGAGCATCAGGACCGACAAACGTAAATATGTGGAAGATTTAGCGATGACAGCGGAAAAGGCTGTAAGAGAGGGAAACATGAGACAACTGTATGATACAACAAAGAAACTTGCTGGAAATTACCGTCAACCAGAAAGACCAGTGAAAAACAAGGAAGGCAAAGTAATCAACGATATTGAAGAACAACGAAACAGGTGGGTAGAACACTTCAAGGAACTCTTGAATCGACCAGCTCCACTGAACCCACCCAACATCGAAGCAGCACCCACAGACCTCCCGATCGATATTGGCACACCAACAATTGAAGAGATCAGCATGGCCATTAGACAAATCAAGAGTGGCAAAGCAGCGGGACCAGACAACATCCCGGCAGAGGCACTGAAAGCAAATGTAACAGCAACTGCCAAGATACTCCACATCCTCTTCAGTAAGATTTGGGACGAAGAACAAGTACCAACAGACTGGGAAAAAGGACTTCTGATCAAGATACCGAAGAAAGGCGATCTCAGCAAGTGCGACAACTACAGGGGCATCACTCTTCTCTCAATACCAGGAAAAGTCTTCAACAGAGTATTGTTAAACAGGATGAAGGATTCCGTGGACGCCCAACTTCCAGATCAACAATCTGGATTTCGTAAGGACAGATCGTGCACAGATCAAATCGCAACTCTGCGGATCATTGTGGAACAATCAATCGAATGGAACTCATCACTCTACATCAACTTCATCGACTAGGAGAAGGCATTTGATAGCGTGGACAGGACGACACTATGGAAGCTCCTTCGACAAGCAAGACTCTCCGATACAATACAATATGCACCAATCCAATTACACTTGACGGAGAAGCTTTGGAGGATGTGGAAACCTTTACATATCTGGGCAGCATCATTGATGAACACGGTGGATCAGATGCAGATGTGAGGGCGAGGATCGGCAAAGCAAGGGCAGCATACCTACAACTGAAAAGCATCTGGAGCTCAAAACAATTGTCAACCAACACCAAGGTTAGAATTTTCAATACAAATGTCAAGACAGTTCTACTGTATGGGGCGGAGACGTGGAGAACTACGAAAGCCATTATCCAGAAGATACAAGTGTTCATCAACAGCTGTCTACGCAAAATACTTCTGATCCGATGGCCAGACACTATCAGCAATAAGTTACTGTGGGAGAGAACAAACCAGATTCCAGCGGAGGAAGAAATCAGGAAGAAGCGCTGGAAGTGGATAGGACACACATTGAGGAAATCAGCTAATTGCGTCACAAGACAAGCCCTCACATGGAATCCTGAAGGTCAACGGAGAAGAGGAAGACCAAAGAACACATTACGCCGAGAAATAGAGACAGACATGAGAAGAATGAACAAGAACTGGATAGAATTAGAAAAGGAAGCCCAGGACAGAGTGGGTTGGAGAAAGCTGGTCGGCGGCCTATGCTCCATTGGGAGTAACAGGCGTAAAGTCAAAATTCAATTCAATTCACTTTCAAGCCATATCTTATCTAATGCTATTCCAAGAAGAATAATGGTATTAAAGTGTATGTCTAACTTTTAGGAATACTTCATAGAAGGAAGAAGAAGAAGGTAACATAATGAGACAAAATCAATGACTTATTCAATCAATCAATCAATGGGAAGATTCAAACAAGTAATACTAAATGAATTTAAAAACTTCACTCTATTGTACAAGCAAGTGGTTATCAGGACTCAGTAACGGAATGGATAACGCGATGGCGTTTGAAGCGAACGATCCTGAGTTCGAGTCTTACAGTGAACATCAACTCTGAGATGCAGTTACATCCAGATGAACAGTCCCAAATTGGACGAAACACTCGTCAAGCTGGATTTCACTGCTAGCCACTATCCATCTTTGCTTACAATCAATCAATTAGTTCAAAGATATATATATATATATATATGTTTCAAAGTTGAAATCATGAGTCAATTGAAGCTAAACCACCATGGAAAACCTGGAAGCACTGGACGCCCGTTGATGAATGGTCGCTCAAAATTCGTGGATCGGTTGAAGTTAGACATTAACACCGTTCGATGTCCTCTCAGCGGTCTATCGGTTAAAGGCTCTGGCTCGAGACTGGTAGGTTCGCGAGTGCGGGATCGTGGATGCGCACTGCCATTGAGGAGTCCCACAACAGAATGAAACAGCCGTTCAGTGCTTCCAGGTTCTTTTCCATGGTGGTCTAACTTCAACTGACTCATGATTTCAACTTGAAAAATACTGAAATCTCCACAAAACCCCTTCTGAATATATATATGTATAATAAATTAAAAAATCTAAGAACATATTCATTACCGTTTTCTTTTAGGTTCCACAGTACGATATATATGCGCATATAAATCTAATGCTCTAACCCACATACACATTGATTTACATGCTTTACTTGTTTTTTCAACAATTTCTGGTTGAAATTCTGGATTATCAATAAATTTTTTTAATTTTTTTAATTGTCCATCGGTGATCTCATCTTTTGGATATTCAACTAATTTTTTTAAAAAATTGGAATCATTTAATACCGTTTTAGCTGTTGCCCAATCTCCTCTAAATGAACATAAGAATAAGAATAATAAGAATAATGGGTGATTAGTTGAAATATAACAATGGTTAGATATGGTTATATATTCAACAGTTCAAAAAAGAAGTAACTATTCTGGAGATGATCTTCATGATAAAATGAAGAGTCCCATAATAGGACGAAATGGCCGTCCAGTATTTCCAGGTTTTCGATGGTGGTCTAGCTTCAATTGACTCATGATTTCAATAGTGAAAATACTAAATTTTCAACAAAACCCCCTCTGATCTATGATCATGTGCTTACTAGTGACTGACTTCAAGAGATATTTCCTTGAGTTCTAGTGGGAAGCAGTGGCCAGTGGAGTTCTGACAAGTCTGTTGTAGAGTTATCAGCTCATTGAAGACAATTGATGGACGGTCGCTCAAAATCGTCGATTGGTTGAAGTTAGACATTAACACCATTGGATGCCGGCTCAGTGGTCTATCGGTTAAGGGCTTCGGCTCGAGTCTGGTAGGTCCTGGGTTCGAGTCTCACGAGTGCGGGATCGTGGATACGCACTGATGAGGAGTCCCATAATAGGACGAAACGGTCGTCCAGTGCCTCCAGGTTTTCGATGGTGGTCTAGCTTCAATTGACTCATGATTTCAACAGTGAAAATGAATAACATTTGAAGAAGTATTGAAAGGTAAATGGTTATTTTTGGTTAAGTATAACTGGAAAGTATGGTACACCTGGTGGAGAAGATTTGTAGCCCAGATAGGTAATTTTGATGTAGGTTTATTCTCTGAGCTGGATGTTTTGATTGTGGAGCTTTCATCATTCTTCTGAACGACATCATTTGCACAAACTTATGGTAGAAGAGAAGTGTTTGAATTTCTCCACATGTAATATAGTACAGCACCCATTTAGAAATCTAAATGAGATATATCTTACTATCTAAAGTACTTGAGGTGAAAGCAATTCATTAAGTTATTATGATTCTGTTCACTTAGTTGACTAAATAGGTTATAACTTTCAATTTTAAATTGAAAAAAACTGATAGTTATTGCTTTATCCTGGTGAAGACGTCAGTACAGGTAACTTTCGGGACTTATTAGTGGACGATTATTATATATATATTCTTATGATTTAACTATTGAGCATTTAGATTGTGCATATCTATATTCATCTTATTATAAGCTTCATTTTGACTTGTGAATTATTATTATACGATTTACTGTCCCTAAATTATATTCAGTTTATTGATTATTGTCTCCCACGTTCACAGCCACATTTGACTTGATCCTGTACAAATATTATTTTCTATTTTATGGTGTAATGCCATCTGTCTGTCTGTTATATAAACCGAGTATACTTAAAATAAATAATTCACACAACTGAAACCGTAATTGATGTTCTGGACTCAATTGGAAGGGCTAGGCGGACAAGGGACCAATGGGGAAGCTACACTGTCTATACCAGTTGAACGTCATTGATTTGACACAGTGTCAAGATTAGAAAAGTCGTATTTCGTTTAGTGAATAAATCACGTGTTAAAATTGGGCATAAAATCACAACAAATTGGCGAAAGCCCTCTTTTATAGAGTCATAACAGTTATATCTCTTCGTAAAGAGTTCTTCGAATTTCTATAGTACTTTTTATTGAAAACCTATGTAAGTTGTATTTGTCTAATAGATATTTTATAATACTTTTTTAATTATTCAGTAGTATGTATCAATGAAAAATTCAAAAAAATGCAATAGAAAACATTCATTATGATATCCATTCTGTCCTATCTATTATTCAATCAATCCTCGATTTACTTCGAAACATCAGTTATAAGTTGGTTGCAACACAATCTTAGAGTATTAGGAAATGATTTCACAGTTAAACATAATAAGTCTTGCTAATTGAACGCTGTATTCGGATTCTAAGCTAGTCTTGTAAACTCCAAGCTAAATCTACACAGCGACTTAAACACGAGAAAAGGCGTAAAGTATGCGAGAAGCATTTTACTCTAAAGATTCATTTATGTACAGAAAATATAGGGTTTTTATAGTATTTCAGAAGTCCTTGGGTTTTCCCGAAAATTCTAGGATACTACTAAACATAGTAGTAATCTTGTATTCAGTCAATCAGAAACTCTACATGTGACTTTCCATTTTCATGATGCTTCTAGCAAAACCTCTAATCAAATGCTAATTGAATAAAGATGGTTCTTAATGTATCCTGAGCTTGTCATGTCTGTTGTGAGAAACTTTCAGTATCATCATTAACAAAACATGGTGTATTAATTTTGTTCAACAAATGACAAAAAGCAATATATTCATGATTTCTAGATTTATCTGAAGTTTACTGAATCTTTAGATTTATTTAAGGTTTATTTAATCTTCTGTGTAGTTTCCAGTGTTAATTATTTAGACTTCTGTTTTATTGGCGAAAGTAGACAGTCATTGGTGATTAGTTAGGTATATATGGCATGTTTTTGGTGGAGTTTCGTTCTCTGAGCTAAACGGTTTGGTCATGAAAGTTTCATTCCTCTTCTAAGAAACACCATCAGCACGAACTTCAATTAGGAATGAAGTATTCGAATTTCTATACATGACTCTCAGATCTTCCTGTCAATCTCGATCTTGATTGTCTTTTTGACCTATAACCTGTCATTATTCGCCTCTTTATTTTGATTATAACTCCTATTTATCTGATTCTTGATCCTATATTTGTCCATAGTTTTCCTAATTGGTTTATAGATTGGATCTATTTCGATATGCTTTTTGATTGCTGATTGACCTAAGTGCCAAGCTTCCGTAAATTCCCAGATGTTCCTAATATTCCCTCTACCTAAAATTCCAACACTTTTTTAAGTCGAATATGTGTCCATATGCGTTGATATAAGCAAAGATTTATCATGGTGTTTAACGGCTAATTGATGTTCATGTAGGCGAAATTGAAGGGGGTGTCCTCTTTGTCCGATGTAGGGTTTTTAGTAATCGTAACGGTTTATTGTGTAGATGGTTTTCAGCTCTTCTTCTTTTCTCTTTCTTTTCTCTTCCTTGAGTTGTGTCAATCTTTGATAGATCTGCTCTTAGCTAGATATCCAGTATCGATCGCATCAATTTTACACACATTAAACTTTCTATTATTAGTAATCGTGGAAAAAATATTCATACTCTTTTGATTATATTGTAGCTTTCTTTAATTAAAACACTTATATAACCCATTAGTAATTACAAGGATTTGTATTGTAAACATCAGGTTTTGTGATATGTGCTACTTATGCCAACATAAGTAGTATAAAAGACAAATCACAAATAGAATGCCTAGCATCAGATGATTGAGAAGATCAAATAAAAGAGGACGGGAACAGAGAGTAATCAAGGAGTAATGAAATCACGATTGATTGATCAAGTTCTTCTTAGTGCTGATCAAATGCTATTGTTCAAGTTGCAATGTGGTCACTAGTCTAGGTGGCTCGACACTGCATACACTGTGTTGAGATAATGAAGTCTGAGACAACTAATGAACATTTTGAAAGTATGGTTTTTACACTTTACCAAATAACTGTAATTTTGCGTTAATTCTCGAAAATAAATATAAAAAAGTTGTTTATTCAGTTGTTAGACAGAAATAGACTGGTAACTTTGATTTGGCATACGTTTCAAGTTTGGTGGGACTTTTCAGAATGATCTATTTATAATATTAGAAGATCTGATATTCCCTTATTTTACCCAGTTTCATAGTTCTGGATGTTACTGCTATGATATTTGGGTACTGATTCACTTTTCGTACAACCACACATTCAAATCAATCAATGTGTAAGTCGTACCCAGTATCATTTTAGTTTAATCTGTAACATATGCAATTTCTGGTCACTTAGATTAGTGGCTTAATGACAGAAAGAATTTAGTCAGTACTAAGAACTAGACAGGTCTAAAATTAATTACCGCTCAGTGAATAATCATAGTTGGATGGAGAATGCTGGTGAGAGGCCTATGCTCCTCGACGAGGGGTAACAGGCGTAAGTAAGTAAGTAAGTAAGTAAGAATAATCATAGTGATGTTTTTAAGCAGTTTATGAAAATGCATTTAATCTGAAGATAGTTATCACCAAAGACTAAGAACAGACAGTAGTAAACCTTTAACTCTTAGGTGCTATGATAAACTTTATGCTTTTAGATTATCAGATCAAAATCCAACTGTTCAAGTAGGAGAAATAAATACTGTGCAACTTGTTGACTGTTGCATTCTCTCCAAGTAAAACTGACAAAGTGGATTGATATGGTGAAGAAAGACCTAATGTATTACAGTGCAAACACCATATTTAAAGTTGTTTTTCATTGCTTAATAACATGGAATAACATCTTTTGAAGTAGTGATTATATAACCCGGTCACTTGGTTATATCTGTTGGTGTTATATGTTTAATTGTATGATATTGTAAATGTATTTACATGGTAAGTTATTTATTTCCCAGTGTTAAATACTACTCAGTTTATTATAAACAAATCATGTATAAGTAGTGGTGTATTGACGTAACATTTTGATTTATTTTGGAAGTTGGTTGAATCCTTATCTATTATCTTTCCATTTTTTACTTGATTTATCCAATTCAAAGTTCCATTGTAGTGTAGTCTACTTATATTCATATAAGTAGTATATGGCGATGATCAGACATAGAATATATTTTGGCAGAAAATCGATAAGGAAAGAACAGGAATGAAGCGTAATCAGTATGAAAATGTATGAACAATGGAACCAGAGAAGATGGACTAATATTTACAGAAGGAATGGTCAAGATTAAGACAATTGATTGATAGCTTGCAAATGAACTGTTAACTGTATGATTATCGGAATTCAGTGAGATAATCCTTAATTTGTGCTTAAATAGATTCGATTGTCCCCCAGCTCGTCTTCTTGTTCACTACACCAGTAGCAAGTATCATGTCAGTTAAGTATACCACAGATATTATATATGTATGTAAATATTCTTACTTTTGTCCAAACATAATACAAACAGCTTCCATAACAGTTTGTACTAATTGTGGTGGTTTAGTAAATACACGAATTTCAGATATATCATTTTTATCTAATGAATCAAGTGCTTTATTAGCTGCTTCTAATGCTGGTATTGCTTCGTCTAAATCCCGTTGTGCATCATCAGCTATAATTTGATTTTCAGCAGCTTTTTGTTTAGCTAATGCTTCATCTTCTTTAACTCGACTACGAACAATATCAGCCTGATAATGAAGGATTGAAAAAAAATGAAGTAAATTTGAAACTCGAGATTTAAGGATTGAAAAAAAGAGTGAGTACATCAGCACAATTGTAACTTGTCCTAGAGAGTTGTCTCGTTTTGTTTCGGTTCGTGTTACCTTCTTTCTAACCTACTTATACACCAGCAAACATCACGTGTCCAGGAGCCGGTGGTTGGACGTATGTAATATATCTCGCGAACACCTCAGCCGATGAAGATTCACTACTTCACTAATCGATTTGCCCACTTTTGAGCCTAGCCTCAATTTTTCTGACTCATTGGTTCCAACATATATATGAGCAATGTTACGAAGACATTTGATAATCTGAGACTATCCTATTTTTAAGGGCGGCGGTCCACATCCATAATAATGAAGAAAAGTAATACTGGGCAACAAACTAGTCATTCGTTTTGTAGATGGATAACTTTCATGCCCAACAAGTGACGGAAGTTGACAATAGTAAACCAAGATTTTTGAATCCATTCAGCAATTTCATCAGGCACCAACCCACAAGAGAGGATGGAACTTTTAAGTGAAGTGATTAACGCGCTCAACTACTTGACACTCTGCCATTAATTTAAGCATTGATTCTAATCAGTTAAGGAGAAGCATTTCTCATTTAAAGAGAGGAAAGTATATCCAAAGTATGCTTTCATTTGACTAATCAATTACTCCCATAGCTTCTATTGTTAATAAATCATGTTAATGGGATTATTTCTATCAGTGTAGACAGGAAACAACTACAGTTTAACTCAAATAACTGTATTGACTTAAAAAGTTGAACTACTGTTTTACTGTATTTCGTTTTGTGGTATGAAATTTTGTGATAATCCACGATGTTCGATTTAGCTACAAATACACGCATCACCTGTATGCTCTCTTAACCACCAACAATAGGAGCCAGTAGAACAAAATCAAAAGAGACAAAGCATCCCATGAACATCAAACCTACTGCCAGTGGTAGGCGTAACCAAGATTTCGTGATAAGAAAAATAGAATTATTTGTAAGATAGTGGCTGGAAGTAATCGATAGGAAATTCTGGACTTATTTTTCATCACTCATCAGTAAGGTGTACCTCTTCTCCTAAGAGAACTGATGTTCAGTAGAGGATTCGGTCCTGTGTTACTCAGTTCCATAGTCAAAAACATGTTACCATCAAGCGATTAGGGCTGCAACTGATATCCGATAGAGGTGAGAGATATTTAAAACTGAGTGATCACTGAGCATTCGATCAACACTAAGAAGATACTGATGAGTTCAGTTGAAAGTTGAAAGCTATAATAATGATAACCACCTGTAGACAAATCAAACGTTATGGTCATGTAATAGGTAATTAAATCAGATTTTTTGGAAGTACTTATACGAGGATATGTTTATACCTAATTGGCAAGTTTCAAGTTTTAACATGAAGTACAAGTTGTTCACTTAGTGTTGTTTACTTGTATCTTCCCACTGTTATTTAGGACTGCGATTAATCAGTCTCTTGTTGGCATATATGCATCCTGTGCGGACTGTCTCGATGTTGCCTGAAGTCTTTTTTTTCAATTGCTGTTATATCCCGAAGAGAATTATGTATGGTAACTTTTGAGGACTATTTATGGACCAATGTGATATGTATATTTCCTATTGTATAATTGTTAAGTAAATAAACTATTCATATTCATGTTACCCTTATTATAAGCTTTATTTTGACCCTTGGATTATTATTGTACGATTTACCATTCTTGAGTTATACACAATCTACTAAATACTGTTTCCCCTATTCACAGTCACATTTGACCAAATCTTGTACATATGTTATTTTCTATTTTATGGTACGATGTGGTCTGTTTAGTTGGTATATAAACCCAGTATGTTTGAGAATAATGATTCATATTGCAGAGGATGTTATTGGTGTTCTGGACTTAACTGGCTGGACTAGGCAGAAAGCAGGACTGACAAGTACTCTAGACGGCTCGTACGGGTTTCATGTGTCATTGGTTCGGTCAATGAAATCAATGCTCTCTAATTGGCGGCATCATCACGTTCATATATAAACAGGGCATGCACTCACTCGATATAACAATTGTATTTGATCATCTACTTACCTGTTCTTGATCTTCACTTAATTTGATCATTAATTTTTCTGTATCATGTTGTTTTACTTCAAGTGTTGGACGCATTGCAGTTAGTTCACTTTCCATTTTAGCAATTAAATCATTAGTTTCTAAAATTTTATTTAAACCATTACGAAATTTATCTCGTCCATCAGTCAATTCTCTAAACAACAACAAATAGAAAACGCATTGGACAGTGAGAAAAACACATTGAATCAACATTTGATTGTTAGATACTGTTATTCTGAAGGTTATACATTTGTATATATACGCCTAAATAACCCTAAAGAAAATAATTAAAGATGGATAGTGACTAGCAGTGGAATCCAGTTTGATACGCTTTTCTTCCTATTTGGGACTCGTCAGCTGTATGTACCTGTATCTTAGAGTTGATATTCACTCTGGGACTCGAACCCAGTAACATTCGCCCCAAACGCCATCGCGCTATCCACTCAGCTACTGAGTCCTCATAGCCATTTGCTTGTGCAATGGGGTGAAGTTTAAATCCACTTAGTATTGTTTGTTTGAATCTTCCTGTTGATGTTTTAGGACTGCAACTGGTCAGTCTCCGATTGGAATATGTGCAGACTGTGCATATTGCCTCGATATTGCCTTAAGGAAAATGTTGACTGGTTTAAAACAATCCGATGAAAACAAATATGAATGAATAATTAATATCACAAAATGATGAAATTCACAAATTGTTTATTTTCAGAAGGGGGGTTGGGGGAGATTTTAGTAATTTTATATAGTTAAAATCATGAGTCAATTGAAGCTAGACCATAATGGAAAACCTGGAAGCACTTGACGGCCGTTTTGGCCTATTGTGAAACTTCTCAGCAGTGCGCATCCACGATCCCGCCTCACGAGAATCGAATGCATGACCTATCAGTCTCGCGCGCCAGCATTTAGCCAATAGACCACTGAGCCGGCATCTGTCGGTGTTAATGTCTAATTTCAACCAATCCACGAAGTTGAGCGACACGTCCACCATTGTCTTCAGTGAGTTATTGTCTCACAACAGACGTGGTCTGAACTCCACTGGTCACTGCTTCTCACTAGAACTCCAGGAAGTACCTATTGAAGCCAGTCACTAGTGAGCATATGTTGATTAATATCAGAAGGGGTTTTTGTGGATATTATAGTGATTTTAATAGTTGAGATCATGAGTTCAACAACAGGATGAAACGGCCATCTACTGCTTCCAGGTTTTCCATGGTGGTCTAGCTTCAATTGACTTATGATCTCAACTAATGAAATTACTACAATATCCATAAAACCCCTTCTCATTTTGCATTGTTTATTTGAATCTTCCTATTAGTGTTTAGGACTGCAATACAAAATAAATTTAAACTTTATCTCATCACACAAGCTAGTGGTTATCGAGACTCATTAGCTAAGTGGATGGTACTGGGTTCAAGTCCTGGAGTGTACAACTCTGGGATGCAGGTACATCCAAATGACAAGTCCCAGATACAACGAGACACGCGTACTGGATTTCACTACTAGTTACCATCCATCTTGCCTTAGAAATAAACAACTGTTTGGTGACATTCGATGATAACTGTATGAAACAATATAAAATGTATATAAAATGCTTTAAAGAAATTTATGTCCAAGAGACAGTTTTAATGATCATTGACTTATTAATTAAGATGAACTAACTCACTTTATTTGTTTATTCAACATTGTCATATATAATCCAAGTAGTTCTAAATAACTTGTCGGTGTAGTATAATAATGACGTTTTAATTCATTATAAAAACGTATAGCTGCTTCTGAAACACTTAGATGAATATCGGTTGATAATTTTGATATAGATTCCTGTTAATAATAGAAATGAATAGAATTTGATTAGTATTAGAGACTTAGAATTATTATAGAAAACTGTACTTTACATATAGACTAACATTATGACAGAAATACTAGATGACATTTTCATTCTGGTATCCTCCTGCGAGAATCCTATCGGTAATCAAATATGTGACTTTCAAATCTCATAGTGAGCGTGTTCATTTGGTGGTTGTCTTTTAGGCTCAGGGAAACGAGATAAATGAAATTAGAACACTTAAAATAATCAATACACCGTGTATATTAGAGCCTAATGATTTTCATGGGATCCATATAATTCAATTGAGCCAAATGTTACTTTTTATGTTTTTGGAAACATTCTCCTTTAACATAATATGAAATAAAATTATATATCAGTTTAGAGTGATATCATGAATGGATCAACTTTAGACCAGTATTAAAAAACCTTGAAGCATTGGACGATAGTCTCGTCGTAGTATGGGAGTCATCAGCAGTGCGCATCTAGGGTCCCGAATGTGAGACTCGAACCCAGAACCTTTAATCTTGAGAGCAAACACTTAACCTTTAGACCACTGAGCTGTGATCCAACGGTGTTAATGTCTAATTTCAACCAATCCATAATATAACACGACCGTCCACCATTGTCTTTAGTGAGTACTGCTTCACAAGCGTTATCTTGCAAGACCGAAAGTTCTGGGTTCAAATCCCGTGAGCGGGATCATGGATGTGCACTGAATACTATTTTCTCATTGTAGAGAAATATCTAAAACTTTACCATTTATCATCTATGATAATGACAGATTCACTTTCTATATCGACTGAAAAAGAAAACGTTTAAACGAAACATTTTTTTCACCTTAAACACATTTCTCATCGCGTGGTTTGTGCTACTGATGCCGACAGATATGAGTAGCACATGTCATTGATTGAAAATGAAATGTCTAGAGGCATAAGGTTAAGAAGATCAAAGAGAAGAGAATGAGAACAGAGAGTGATTAGTGTGGAAATGAAGGAACAATGAAATCTGACACAACTGATGAATTAACATTTTATATAGCTGTAATCATGAGTCAATTGAAACTATACCACTATGGAAAACCTGGAAGCATTGGACTGCCGTTTCGTTCTATTGCGGGACTCCTCAGAAGTACGCATTCACGAGATTCCAACTCAAGACCTACCAGTCTTGCACGTGAGCACTTTACCGATAGACAACTGAGCAGGGCAGCATCCAACGGTGTTAATGTCCAGCCTCAACCAATCCACGAAATCGCGCGACCATCTTCCATTGTACTGAGGTAGATACATGTCTCTACCTGAATTGGATTAGGTCCACTGGTCATGACTTCGCGAGGCGGGATCGTGGATGCGCACTGTTGAGGAGACCCACACTAGTACGAAACAGCTGTTCAGTGCTTTCAGGTTTTCCATGATGATCTAGCTTTAATGGAATCATGAATCCAACTATTAAGTTAAACTATGAAGCGACTTTGAACAACTGAACATGGATTCATGTTTTCGCATTTCTTGATATTGTTATTTAATATTTTCTTAAAGAATTTGATGTTCTTCATATGGCTCGTGTCGGTCTGCAAGTCAGCTTATCTATCTTTGTGAATCATGTCTGGTCGTGGTAAAGGTGGTATCGGATTGGGTAAAGGAGGAGCTAAGAGACATCGCAAGGTCTTACGTGACAACATCCAGGGTATCACAAAGCCTGCAATCCATCGTCTGACTCGTCGTGGTGGTGTGAAGCGCATTTCAGGATTAATCTACTAGGAGACTCGTGGTGTACTAAAGATGTTTCTGGAGAACGTGATCTGTGATACAGTCTTCATATGGCTACATCAATAAAATAGCAGAGTAATTCAATTAATTTGAGAGAAATATATAAAATCAACTATTGAGTGTTATCGGTTGTTTTTGATTAGCTATTTAATCCAACCAATCAAATAATCTAGTTATTCAAATTACCCAATTAAGGTTACATATAATTAGAACTGACATTAATAATGGTTAACTTAAATTGATATTAATCACATTTAGGGACTTACTTTAAGTTCATTTGAACCAAAATCAGATTGTGCAAATGTATATTTTGCAACACTATATAATGCTTCTTCTGGCCATTCAATAAACCAATCAATATTACAACAATTAACTAATGATGGAAACATTCTACATCTTACACGAAAATTTGAACCAACTGGTGACATACATAATACAATATGCAGATTATTTCTTATACGATTAATACAAAATTCATAGATACCATCACGATTACCTTCAGCAATACCATATTCTTTAGCTGCTAAACGACAACCATTAATTAAACGTTCATATTCATCTGTTTCAAATAAATTTGGTAATTCACCAGAATTTAAAATATTATTAATATCTTCAAGGAATTCTTCAATAATAATTTGATTATCTGTAAATAAGAATACTGTTGGCTTATTTTCTATACCAGTTAAATAATATAGACTTTTTAAATCTTCATGAAATGATGTATAATCATAGCCACGACATAATTCAATTTGAAAGCATTTATAATCATTTATATGAGCTGCTAATCTATAAATAAATAAAAAAATTATTCAATTGTTGGAAACAAAAACAAACAAACTGACATTAAGTGATGTAGATTAATAAATTTGATAATTTAGATCACGAATTGACCAATATCGTGAATTGATTAATACTATTTCAATGGTCTGAAGATTAAGGTCTCACTATCAGATCTGAAGATCATCAGGTCAACATTCCACAGTGGGACTAAATTTTATGAACAAGTGTTCGAGGGTTTTCAAGGTCAAGGCGATAAGTTTCGGTACCTGATGCTTATGTAAGATCGGTTTACAGCGGATTTTAGAGAAGACGTGATAATTCAGCGTCTATAAGAGAAGGGATTATTAAGAAGTGTCTATACTAGTGACTGTGGTGCTCAAATGACTTTTTTTTGCTCGATCACGATTATGGTTAAGACCCTAACCTTAACATTTCCAACGAGTTAGGAACCGACAGGCACCAAAAATAAGAATTTTTGAGACCTTATCATGGCTGCAGAGGCCGACTACTATGGAGCTATATGGATGAGTTCCTGTACCGTATGCACTATGATTTTAGAACTTCTGAACCTATATCTGACCTTGAGAAGTTTTCGAGCCATGTAAAAGAACAGTATTCGCTCTAATTTTTTTAGTTTTGTATACTAACTGTCTTCTGATTGACTAATATTTCTCAAGGTCATTCAAGATTCGTTCAAAGGTCATCCATAAAGTTTAGTCTCGCCCATTCCTCTTCTCAGCACTTTGCTAATGAATAGAAATAATACGAAATTTACGAAATCTATTTATCTAGAAAACTGTGCATAGCCGATAAGTTACAGCTGGTGAGACTATAATTTTTAGACGACCTTTAATTGATGCTGAAGTAACCTTGAAAAGATTCACCTACTTATTTAGGTCAAAAGAGATTTATAGATTAGTGTAACAGATTAGGATTAGCATTTAGAGTGGCCAGTTAGAGTTAGAACTAGGGTTAGGGTTATTAACGTAAACTGACAACTTTCTGAGTTAGGTCTTAGTAATGGTGAGTCAAAATTACATTCATGCCACCATACACTTAGTTCTTTTGATTGTTTAAAGAATGAAATGTTTGTAAACGGATATCGTATTACTCTTTATCAAAGGAAATGCTAAATATAAAGACTATTTGAACACCATATGTTTTCTTTTAGACATAATAATGTCTATGTGTTGTGACATTGAAAACAGCATATTCCGTATTCAAGGGCTTGATAGTAGATGATAAGACGTGATATTAGAACACGATAGTCATATTTAGATAAGATGGTGGTTAGAGGTGGTCAACAGGAAACCCTGAACCCGGGTTTCGTGCTACTTGGCACTCGTCAGCAAGGTGTACCTGTAATCTTGAGGGAACTGGTGCTCTCTGACCGATTCGATCCCGTGTCACTCAGCTTCACAGTCAGAGACATTACCACTGAGCTACTCGGGCCGCGACCGACCTCCTGTAGGACTGAGATGCAATCACAATTGATTGGTTACTGGGTGGTGATCAATGTCATGCGTGTCAAGTCCGTCTTAGCGCTCATCGAATGCTATTGATCACGTCTCTGACTGTGAAGCTGAGTGACACGGGATCAAATCCGTCAGGGAGCACCAGTTCCCTCAAGATTACAGGTACACCTTGCTGACTAGTGCCAAGTAGCACGAAACCCGGGTTCAGGGTTTCCTGTTGACCACCTCCAACCACCATCTTATCTCAATATAGTGCACGCAGTGTCGAGCCACCTAGACTAGTGGCTACATTGCAACTTGACCGATAGCATTCGATCAGCACTAAAGAAGGACTTCACACGCGTGACATTGATCACGATAGTCATATTTATCAAAATATTTAGAAAATGAAACGAAGATGGAATCTAGTTGGATCTAAAATCTTATGACTCACTATTGATTGATCAACTGACCGAATAAAATAAAGTAGGACTTGTGAAATTAAACCGCCAGTTTTACGGTTATGGATATAATCATTTCCTTCCTTACGTCCTCACTATATTATTCTCTCCTTTCACTAAGCTGATATGAGCCATTGTGACTTAAACTATACATTGTTCATAAATGGATAACTAACTAGTCCAAGTTAACACACATCAAAACTACACTCAATTCGACATGTTTAACTTGACAGTGATTCAAGTTTACTGCCTAATCTTACGATCATTCAAGTTCAGGAAATAGCTTCAGTAATCAGTCAGTCAGTCATAATTTACTCTGAGCCTGGTACATACATGCATTGGTTTAAGTTATTATTCTCCATGAACATGAGATGATTTCGAAAAGATGAATGACAAAGGAATCAAAATATTGTAGCAACAATAATAATGAAAATGTTTGAACACTGATAATGTAGTTCTAAAATAAAATAAGGTACATTTGGAAGATTGCTGGAGCTCAAAATTTTGGGGAAGATAAGGATCGAATGCATTTGGACGTCTGTAGTCTTTTCTGAACCATACCATTCACTACCTTCAAGCACTGATCTCCATTGACACATAGACCTCATCAAATAAAAAGCAAATTAAATGAGTCATTTATATAACTAGAAGTAGCTATTATACAACTTAGTTTACACTACTACTATTATATACTATTGACTAATAGTATTTACCTAGTTAATGATTGTTTACCAGTACCACCGACACCAACTAATAAAGCATTTCCTCTATCTTGTCTAATCATTCGAGCAATACGACAAACATGTTCAATAGCATCCACAAAGAAGACAAGTTTCACATCCTTTGACATTGTCATATTGTAATCATCCAAGTACTGCAAAGAAATTATATATATTTAAAATGAGATCTTTACCAAAGAATTTTCTATGTTTATAGAGAAAAGATTGACAGTACGACAGAAAATCTACCTAATATATCAACTACAACACTCTTCTTTGTTTCATTTATTATTGATGTTAAGAATTCTAATCCATGAATCTATTTGGAATTTATGTTATCCTGATTAGACTGATTCGAAAAGTAAGTCCAATAGCTAATCGAACCTAGAAGATTAGTGGATAATGTGTTGGATGTTTGAAGTGAAAGACACTGGGTCCCCAAGTCTCGAAGTGAATAACGACATAGATACAACCACATTCAACTGTCGAGTCTCGAGTAGAATTCTACTGTTACCTATTACCAAACATTCCTTAAAAGCTCTTATTGATTGTTTTACGATCTTTATTGTTATTATTTAATAAGTTATATCACAATGATTGAATGTTTCTTTTATGAACAGAGGCATTAATTCCTTTCTATGTATATATCCAGTCATCGAATAAGTGATTTCATTTATTCATTCTTGGTTTTATAATGATTATAGTATGAATGCATCCAGATAGAAAAATCATTTTTCAAGTATTCAGGTAGTGTTTAACAGATATAGATTTCGTTTAAGGATTAACGTTTCATTATCCTAAATTTCGAGATCCTAGAATTGAATTTTTCTATTAAATATTGAGTAGTTGTTAGTATTGGAATTAAAGACATATCTTTTATCCTTTTTAAGACTTATCAACTGAATGTACCATTCATATCGACGTTCATATACACATTATAAAACATGTCTAACGTCAAAAACTACAGTGAAATTATTGCCCATCATTAGCCTTTATTCATAGTGTAACAGCTTACTACTTGATGTATGCACAAACAATATAGTTAAGTGATTATCAAGCTGTATGTATACATTTAAACATTTAGACAATCATCAATAATCGAAGTTATGTTAGCAAGTAAATGTTAAGAAACACAATGTTCAAAAGTTCTCATCTCCATTGATGAAAATCAAAAACTCAACAATCTACCTAACCCCACATTGATAATAACCATGTGTTCAATAAGGATTATCTTCTAGAGGTGATTCTCGGTTCTCTAGTGAGAAGCTGTGACTAGTGGGGCTAATCCTTGTCGGGTAGAGACAGGTATCTACCTCAGACAATGGAAGATGGTCGTGGATTGGTTGATGTTAGACAATTACACTATTGGATCACACCTCAGTTGTCTAGAGGTTAGGCATGAGACAGAAGATCCTGGGTTCGAGTCTCACGTGTGGGATCGTAGATGTGCATTGCTGTTGAGTCCCATACTAGAATGAAACGGCCGTCCAGTACTTCCAAGTTTTCAATAGTGGCTCAACATTGATCTATTCATGATTTCAATTAAAACTAAACAATATCCGCAACCCATACTGACAAGATTAACCATTAATCATTGTATTGTTGACGCAGAATTAATTAATAATACGAGGAATTCCCGAAATTCTGCTAAATTTATCATTATTTTAAATAATCTACTATTATATCATTTCCCAACTTGATCAGGATCAATTCACCTGTTTAGTCTATCAATTAGCATATTTTATTAAATTGTAACCATTTGAAGATAAATTCACTTATTGTTGTTTACGTGCATCTTCCCATTGTTATTTAGGACTGCGATTGATCAGCCTCTTGTTGGCACATGTGCATCCTGTGCGGACTGCCTCAATATTGCCTGAAGTCACAAGCTTTATAAGCAAAGATGTATAGTGGCTAGCAGTGGAATTCAGGACGCGCGTTTCGTTCTATTTGGAACTCGTCAGCTTAGTTTTCGGTTTAACAACCTTGGGTTTGGCGTCAGCAACTTTTTTTTCAGCTACTTTGAAGCTACCAGATGCGCCCTTACCCTTATTTCCAACCCGTATAAAAGCACCTTTCTCAACACCATGCACAATGCCACGGCGAATATGTGCTGCCTGCTTTTCGACATCAAACTTGTAATTCGTGGCTATGTATTTCTTGATTGTAGCGCGTGAGCTGCCCTTAAGATTCTTAACTGCCAAAATTGCCGCTGTAATCATGTTGATTACTGGCGGGTGACTAGCTGGCGTCTTCGGTTTCGACGACGTCTTTCGACCAGATGATTGTTCTTGTTTTACTGAAGAATTTACATAAACTGTAGAATGTAAGACGTACAGTTAAGACAGCAGAACTCATTAATGAAATAGTTCAATTTACTTCTCTTTAAACAATCATATATATACGAGAAATATTGAAATCAGTAATAACCGTAGAAAGAATCTTCTTCTTCTAATCTATTCAACTTACATCCATTAATAATGATTTAAGTTTATCCATATCAGTTATTTCTTCATATAATCGTTCAGATCGTGGAATACCAGGTCTTAGAAAATCACCAAATAAAATTGGATGCTTTGTAAATGTCTTTGTTTCTATAGTCTAGGGAGAAAAAAAAATTAATTTAAGATAAATTTGGATAATCTAAGACGAAGATTGTCAGAACGATGTGATGTATTAATGCAATACATTTCGAACAATCTGATCACACAGATACTTGTTAAGAATAAGACTAGACTCGAAATGGAAGATAAGAGAGGAGACAAAGATAATAAAGGAAATAATATGATAAAACGGTTTGAAACCTCATCACTCTGGATAAAAAGCTAATACTATCAGGGTAGGTGTTTCTAATGCCGGCTCAGTGGTCAAGAGGTTAAATACTCGCGCGCGAGACTGATAGGCCCTGAGTTGGAATCTTGCAAGGCGGGATCGTGGATGTGTACTGTTGAGGAGTCCCACAATAGAACGAAACGACCGTCCAGTGCTCCCAGGTTTTCCATGGTGGTCTAGCTTTAATTAACTCGTGATTTCAACTATAAAAGTTGTATATTACTCATTAGTAGTTCGTCTTAAATGCCACAATACAGTAAAAATGGCAGAAATGTTTTCGAATTTCTCTCATGTGGTCTCTTCCCAGGAACCCCTAATCACTACCCTTACTTGACAAGGGTTTTTCAACAAAATCGAGAGGTGAATATGAACTTTCAGCTTTTAACGCGGGTTAATAGATAAAAGGTATTCTATCAAAAGAATCTAAAAACATCAGCTTTAAAATATTGATTTGCATAGGCTTTATCATTATGAGACAATACTCAGTTACTAGTTCCCTTGGGACAGCACCTTTTGAAGTCACACCATAACCTTGTGAACCAAAATTTTACACCACAGGCTTCGCAGAGTGGCAATTTTAGAGAACTATAGGTTTGAGATTGGTCACTGATAAGGTGGGGAATAAATGACTCTGGTTGTAAGACCGCATATTTGTTGATTCATAAATGATCTACAAATCCGAATTCAATAAACATTTAACTTTCAAAAAAATTTTGATAATCAGAAGGGGTTTTGTGGAGATTTCAGTATTTTTCATAGTGAAATCATGAGTAAATTGAAGCTAGACCACCATGGAAAACCTGGAAGCACCGGACGGCCGTTTCGTCATATTATGGGACTCCTCAGTAGTGCGCATCCACGATCCCGCACTCGCGAGATTCGAACCCAGGACCTACCAGTCTCGAGCCAGGACGAAACGGCCTTCCAGTGCCTCCAGGTTTTCCATGATGGCCTACCTTTAATTTACTCATGATTTCAACTATGAAAAATTTTGATAATCCTTATTTTGTGTTAATTTTATTGTACATAAGTATCTCATTTTATTACATTAAATGACTTCTGCCTTCCTAATTACTATTCTATCTTTTGATGTACATTTCCTGTGGTATTGAATCGATTCTCAATAGTGAAGAGCACTGTACTTGGATAAAACATCTATCCAGTGCTCCTTGGTTTTCGATGTCACTCCAACTGGAAATAGTTCATGATGAGCTTACCCCCCCCTTAAAAAAATAAAGCCGATTTCCACAAAACCTCTCTAACTAAAATATAATAACTGTTGTCAATCAATAAAATTGATAAAAATGTAAGTCACTGAAATAATTTCTTGAAGACATTGAAACTATCTTATCACTCACACATGGTAAAATAAGCGATGTATAGTTTATTCCGAGAATTGACTTTCCTTAGACAACTGTTGAAATCCAAAAAGCACTGAACAGCTTTCAGAGGTGTAAACCACTGGATGTCGACTCAATGATATAATGGCTATACACTTGTTGAGAGACCTTATGGTTATGTGGTCAATTTATAGTAATATCGTAGATGTGAACTCCCACGGAGTCCTATATAACCAGTGCTTCTTGGTTTTGAATCATTGTTTAGGGTTGTAAAGACTGAACAGACAAACAAATAAGGAGAACTTACTTCACCGAAATATTTCAATGCCATTTCTGATAGAATTTGATTGAAAAACATTTTATCTTCTTGATTAATTAATCGATCATGAAATACTCGTTGAGCTTCATGATAAAATAATCGGCTAATTGATTGTTTATTACGAATAACAATTAAATCACCTTGTAAAACTCCTGTAAAGTTAAAAATAATAATGAAAGATGAATTCAGTTTTTTAATTATTTTAAAAAAAATTGCGATGAATGCGCATCGCTGAGGAGTCCCATACTAAGACGAAACGGCCGTTTAGTACTTCCAAGTTTTCCAGAGTGGTCTAGCTTCAATTGACTGATGGATTCAACTATTAAATTACTAAAATCTCCATAAAACCCTCTTCTGATAATTACGATTACTTCAATTCAGGCCTCGTAGGAAGAAATCAGGAAAAAGCGTTGGAAGTGGATAGGACACACATTGAGGAAATCACTCAACTGCGTCACAAGCCAAGCTTTCACATGGAATCCTGAAGGCCAGAGGAGAAGAGGAAGACCAAAGAACACATTACACCGAGAAATGGAGACAGATATGATAAGAATGAACAAAAATTGGATAGAACTAGAAAGGAAGGTCCAGGACAGAGTGGGTTGGAGAATGCTGGTCGGTGGCCTATGCTCTATTGGGAGTAACAGCGATAAGTAAGTAAGTAAGCGATTCAGGCCTCATCTGTAGTGATAGTGTAATGAACAAAAATATAAGTGGGGACAATCAATTATATTTTAATACAAAATTACAGAGCTCTTTTATAAAATATGAAAACCATATGTTCAGTACTTCATTTACAATTCCTTCATCAATTGTCTCAATCTTCATCGTTCCTTTATTGCTATAACAATGATTCGTTGTTCCCGTTCTCTTCGATTCGATCATCTTATGACACATTTTTACTTCGTTATTGATCAGTCAAAATATAGCTTATAGTGAATCACAAAGTATTACAATGGTTTAATGTTAGTTTTCTGTATCATTCAGGAGAACATCACTGACCTTCTGCCCCCTCTTCTGCATGATCATATCAGCGCTTTTAACTGATCTATTGCTTTGAACATTTTATCTTAACGTATTTCTATCATACAAGAATGGTAAACTTTCGTTAGACAACACCGATAGTAGTTGGTATGAAAAGACCTTTATTTCATTGTCAACTTCACTGATAATTATTGAGTGATTTATCAGTGCTTATTTATTCAGTTTTATTGTGTCTGTTCAGATGTCAAATGTCCACGTCAAACAACTTTAAGGTTCAAAATTTTAGTTATTGAGTAAAGAAAACACAGACACTGATATTGTATTTTGACAGAACCAGCTTTTAAACACTTGTAGATGTAAGCAAAGATGGATAGTGGCTAGCAGTGGAATCGAAGACGCGCATTCCATCCTATTTGGGACTTGTCAGCTGTATGTACCTGAATCTGAGAGTTGATGTTGACTCTGGGAATCGAACCCAGTACCTTTCACCTCAAACGCCATCACGTTATCCATTGAGCTACCGAGTGCTTGTGCATGTAAAATTAAGACAATATCGAGGCAATACGCACAGTATACACATATGCCAATAAAAGACTGACCAGTTGCAGTCCTAAACATCAATGGGAACATTCAAACAAATAATTCTAAGTAAACTTGTAGATGTAGTTCTTCTCAGATCTAATCGAATATCTACTACTTTTCTTACCTTGAATACATTTTGATAAATCTCTTAAATTGAATACATAATGAGATTTAGTTGGGGTAGGTAATAGTTCTTTAGCCATTCTAGTATATATTTCAACGGCAGCATTAACAATTGAATCACCAACACTACGGACACCTTGAGGAAATTCAAGTAGATAACCCTGAAAAGAGAAGAAAATATACAAAAGTAAGTAAATGAAAATTCATGTATGCCGTTTAAATTATCAATTAATCACTATGAAATCATTCCAATCAGTTATTGAGAATGTCAGGAGAGAATAAATTCTACCTATATGAGATTAATAATAATAAAACTTTTGTTTACTTCTTACAGTCGACTATCAGAGGTTACTTTTTGAATGCTAATATGGAAGTCATCATATTTTAAGTTTTAATTCCTAATGTTAGATAGTCTGAATAGTGATGATTTGGACCCGAATTTCATACTGATGATGTCGTTCAGGAGGACGATGAAAGTTCCACGACCAAATCATCCAGCTCAGAGAACAAAACTCCAACGAAATCATCCAACTGAGCTACAAATCTTCTCCATCATAATTTATTATGTGGCTAAACCAATAAGTACAAGCTAATCAACTGTTTTACCACTGGTATGTTAGATCAAAGGATTGGAGTAATAGCAACTGATATCATAGTATACCTATTTAATTGTTTGTTTGATTGTTAACTAAATTATGTATGCCACAGGTATATCAGAGCCTTTAACTTATATATTCCAACCACAAAATATCGAATAACTGAAAGCACTCAAAGTAACTTTTAAGCCACAACTACATGAGATCTGATAAATCATTAATTATCACTTCAGAATGAAGTTAGTAAAGACATTTAGTTCGAGTTTAGTTATGGGAATACAGTCATAGTTTTCCGTATGTTTTAATATGTAAAAGAAAGTTCAACAATTTTCATTCTATTGTAAGCAAACATGGATATTGGCTAGCAGTGAAATCCAGCTTGACGTGCGTTTTATCCAATTTGGAATTCATCAGCTGGATGTACCTGCATTTCAGAGTTGATGTTCACTCTGAAACTCAAACCCAGTACCTTTCGATTCAAACGCCATCGCGTTATTCACTTAGCTACTGAGTACTGATAGCCACTTGCTTGTGCAATGTGGTGAAGTTGAAATTTACATAGTATTGTTCATTTGGATCTTCCCATTGATGTTTTCAGGACTGCAACTGGTCAGTCTCTAATTGGCATATCTGCGTAATGTGGGTATCGCCTCGATATAGCCTAAATTTACAAGCAAAGATGGAGACTGACCAGTTGCAGTCCTAAAGCATCAATGGGAAGATTCAAACAAACAATACCAAGTGAATTTTCATTCTAGCTTTCAGAAGAAAAAAATTGACTAATAAACTTTGATGAAAAGTGATTGTGTAAAGAAAAGGCTACGAAAAACCAACATTATTTACATTAATAATTGAAGAAAATATTTGCTTTAAACTAATTTCTGATGGTGGTGGTATAGAAAATAATGCAAAATGTCGTATTAATCTTGGAGTTACTGGATTTCTTCCACCACCTGGTGGACCACAAGCTGCACATAATGTCATATCTTTGATTTTAATCCATTCTAATTTATCTCTATCATAAAATCCATGAAAATCTTGATATTGTCGTAATAATTCAATAGGTGGTTGACTTCCATATGTATCTTGTTTTGGCATATTCAAATCATCGACGAATAATATGACACGTTTATCTTTTGGTGCACCAAGAATATGTTTTTTCTTTTTCTCTAATTTACTTTCAATTATTTCTTGTGTACGATTACTAGTTGTTTGAGCAGAGAAATTTAAATAAGCCGGTACATAATTTTTGGATTCAGCTATATTGTTCAATGTTCCACGGACCACGACTGACTACATTTAAATAAACAAAGTAACAGTTAAAATAGCTAAGTGTTGGTAATGAATATAAAATGTTTAAAGTATGCTTTACAACTTCTCTTTGAGACTGCTTAACAGCATACAATCACACTAACACCAGGAGTCGAACCTACCGACATCAGGTTAAATGGAAAGCCCACTGTTTTTCAGCCAATATGTTACTTATTTCCAACAAATGGATTTGATCAGTATTTTATGAAGATGAATGGTGCTTAGTAATAGAATCAAATAGAGAATTTCATCAAATAACAATAATTTAGAAAAAGGTGATAGTAAGTGATACCATTGTTATTATGACTTTAGTGAATGAAAACGCAATGAAGAGAAACCAGTCAGTAAGTCATCTACAACGTAGGAACAGGCACACATATGCATCGATCCAAATTGCTATATCTCGTTAGCACAACAAGATGAACACCGAATTCATAGAAATAGTTAATTTAATTATAGTAATATATAAAAGAAAGTTTGTATATAAGGATACAGTATAGGAAGAAAGACAGATATGAAGTATTTTTAACCTCAAGGTTTAAGGGAAGATAAAGAGTGTATACACCTACGCCATTGCGATCGATTCTGAGCCATGTCACCTAGACTCTCCAACCACTGGTTACGATAGTTGCACGGACCAATCTATTGTTTTACGCAAAATCAAACAGTAGCTTCGTAAAATATGAAAATCATGCACTAAATACATCGTTTACATATCTTCGTCCAGTTGTCCTTCACATACTTCATCATTCTTTCGATCCTGTTCTGATTCCGATTGCTCTTCATTTTTACTTCCCCTTCTCTTTATTTCACTCTTCTGGTGGTAAGGATTCTACCTTCAGTTCATATCACATACTACTTATATTTTGTTCACATAAGTAGTGAACATCGCTCCACTACCAATACAAATACTTATGCTTGTTACTCCGCCTGTAGCTTTTCTAGAGTTACTACCGGTCCCAAGCCCGGATCAAGGAGGAGAGTTGGGTATGGGGTTAGCGACCCAATCCCGTAGAAAAACTAACTCGCTAAAAAACGCTAACCAGAACCAATAAAAATATTAATGTAATATCATTAATAATCAAAACAATAATAGCAATAATCATACTTTTCCAACTCCAGTCAAACCAGTAAACAGTACACTTTGATTTGCAGCTAATAATTTATCTAACATATATCCATATCTGACTGTATCTACAGTTGGTACAACCATATCAAAAAATGGTATTTGTTTATTATAAATAAATGTATTAATCATTTTATCCCAATTATCCATACGACGTGTATCCATATCAACAAAACAAGACCATAAATCAGAATGTTGAGGTAGCTAAAAAATAAGTAAGCATACAATAATAATGAAATATATTACATTTTTTAACTTAATATTATACTTATCAGAAGGGGGGTTTTTCTGTGGATTTAGTATTTTCATAGTTGAAAGCGTGAGTCAATTGAAACTAGACCACTAGGGAAAACCTGGAAGCACTGTACGGCCGTTTCGTCCAAGTGTGGGACTCCTCAGTGGCAGTGCGCATCCACGACCTCGCCTGGCGAGGTCTCGAGCCAGAGCACTTAACCGATAGATCACTGAGCCGGCATCATATGGTGCTTATGTATAACTTCAACCAATCCACGAAGTTGAGCAACCGTTCACCGATTGTTTTCAGTGAGTTGATATCTCGCAACAAACGTAGTTTGAACTCCACTGGTCACTGCTTCTCACTAGAAGGTCCTGGGTTTTAATCTAGCGAGGTGAGGTCGTGGATGCGCACTGCCACTGAGGAGTCCCACACTAGGACGAAACGGCCGTCTAGTGCTTCCAGGTTTTCCCTAGTGGTCTAGCTTTAATTGACTTACGCTTTCAACTATTAATATTATATCAGAAGGGGTTTTGTGGAGGTTTTAGTATTTTTATAGAGTTGAGATCATGAGTCAATTGAAGCTAGACTACCATGGAAAACCTGGAAGCACTGGGTTCGAATCCCGCGAGAGTGGGTTCGTGGACGCGCACTGCTGAGGAGTCCCATAATAGGACGAAACGGCCGTCCAGTGCTTCCAGGTTTTCCATGGTAGTCTAGCTTCAATTGACTCATGATCTCAACTCTATATTAATATTATACCTTTAAAATTAAGACTGTTTAACATATATTGTTTGATTGTTAGTACTCATCAGTAAGGTGCATCTGGGAACTTGAGGGGACAGAAGCTTCCTGTAGAATTCAAAATAATTTTATACAACTCTACAGAAGTTATCATTGAGTTATTCGGATAGTAAATGACATCCTGTAGGACTGAAATATTTACATTTGACTGATCATTGAGTAGCGACCAATTTAATATATATCTATGATTGTTATAAAACTATGAACTACTTAATTATTAGGTTAGATATAAAACCCTATCTATAGAGTAATACCTTATAGGTTGCCGATGATTGAGAGTTTCAAGCCGGAATCCAACTGATTCAGTTTAAGCAATTTTAGTTTTATCCACCAAACCTCAACCAAATCAATATATTTCAAAAATCAGTGATTTTTAAAATCGTTTACACTACTCTTCGATTGGATAATAATTTATGTATGTATTTAAGCTTTGTTTTGGTAGTTCTGTTCTTAGGTTTGAAGTCTATTCTCAATTGGTTTCATAATTTGAATCCACTTGAAGAAATGGCGAAGTGGCTAGGAAGGATTATACAACAGTGTCTTACTTGATGGTGATGTGAACCTGAAACCGGAGTAATTGGAAACTAGTTTTGAAAATGAAAGTTTCAAATCATTGAATCATCAGTTTTCAGTGGTTCACTGTTTAGGTTCGATTCTCTTTCAAAGTCAAGTATCAGTTATATTTAAAAGAATATTTGAAAATGCAAACTTTGCGACATTTTGGGTAAAGTTGAACACTGAATACCTACTCATTATTGAAAAATGAAGTTAGATAATCTAAGTATTTTCATCAACCATCGTTAGTCGCGTTAGATCAATAAGCAGAAAGTTTAAATGAATCCATGTCAACGTAAGTTTTATTTCGAAGTATGTTTCTGCCTGTAGCTCCTCTGGGGGTTACTGCCGGTCCCAAGCCTGGGTAAAGGAGGAGGGTTGAGCATAGGGTTAGCGACCCCATCCCGTAGAAAATCAACTCGCTAAAAAAACGCTAACCAGAAAAAGTTATTCAAACCATTTAAACTCTGCCCTGGGAGTAGAAGGAATAATTATGACGTCTCATGATGAAAGCTGAGTTCCTTCGGACGTCATGAGGCCGATGCACCTTCTTACAACCAGAGCGACAATTTTTGTAGGTATATGGAATGACCAGACAATGTGGGAGACTGAAAGAATCTTCCAAATGTTTCTGTCAAGAGTTGATATCAAAACGAGAACCATTGAAGCACTAGGGAAAATATTTCACACTCTTTCGGGAATCCTTTACTAGTGTGAATCTATGGTTTCTTCAAGAAAGAAACTAGGTTCCTAAGATCTAGCAATCTGTATGTCATTTAAAGATAATAAAGATGGAATTATTCACATTTCTAACTTTAATCAACCACTAATTTCAGTCAATGTTTACTTAGCTTAAATAAAAAAACACAACCTCCTACTGTTATATCCTAGTGAAAACGTAAGTACAGGTAACTTCCGGGACCTATTAATGGACGATTATTATATATGTTCACGCTTTCAACAATGATAAATACTAAATCTCCACAAAACCCCTTCTATAATTAATATATATATATATATATTCTTATTGTCTAACCATTGAGTAATTAGATTGTGTATATCTATATACATCTTATTATAAGCTTCACTTTGACCTCTAAATTATTATTATTATACGAATTACTGTCTCTAAATTATATTCAGTTTATTGATTATTGTCTCTCACGTTCACAGCCACATTTGGCTTGATTTTGTATAAATATTATTTCCTATTTTATGGTATGATGCGGTCTGTCCGTCTGGAATACAAACCAAGTATGCTTGAAATCAATGATTCGAATAGCTCAAGCCGTAATCGGTGTTTTTGGACTCAATTGGATGGGCTAGGCGGACGAGGAACCAATAAAGACTCTAGACTGCCTATACCAGTTGAACGTCATTGATTTAGCACAGTGTTAAAATTAGAAAAGTCGTATTCTGATTGGTGAATAAATCACATGATAAAAGCCGGATATAAAATTGGCAACCAATTGGCAACTGGCCTTCTTTTATAAAGACACAACCTCCTACTTTTTCGAACGAAGGTACTCAAATAAATATAAAGACTTCATAAACTAACTGATTTACATATAAATTAATAAAGTAAAAAAAACAAACAAAAAACTTAAACTTACTCTTGCATCACCTAAATCATCAAATAAATTACGTATAAATGCATCACATATATCCCAATTTGTATCTATTATATTACCAGCTAATCCCCATAATAATGAAAATACAAATGACATAGATAATAATGGATTTAATTTATTTTTATCTTCATTCATTAATGGATAACCTTTATGAGTTAATAGAACTTCTAATAATTTACACATTGTTTGTATTCGTGCAATAGGTACCTATTGTATTAAAGGTAAAATAATAAGTGAATGTACATCAATTAATTATGTTAATTATAGAAGGGATTTTGTGGAGATTTAGTATTTATCATTGTTGAAAGCGTGAGTCAATTGAAGCTAGACCACTATGGAAAACCTGGAAACACTGGACGGCCGTTTCGTCCTATTATAGGACTCCTAAGCAGTGCGCATCCACGAACCTGCTCTACTTCGTGGATCAGTTGAAGTTAGACATTAACATCGTTGGATGCCAGCTCAGTGGTCTATCGGTTAAGGGCTTCGGCTTGAGACTAGTAGGTCCTGGGTTCGAATCTCGCTCGCGAGAGCAGGTTCGTGGATGCGCACTGCTGAGGAGTCCCATAATAGGACGAAACGGCCGTCCAGTGTTTCCAGGTTTTCCATGGTGGTCTAGCTTCAATTGACTCACGCTTTCAACAATTAATTATGTATCTTGAGTAGAATGGAAAGAATCTAATAAACCTATAGGAGAAATAAGTTGAAATAATTATAGTATCAATAAAAGGTGTTAAGCCTTTTTATACTCGGGCTCGTGAACACCTTTCAGTGTGGTTAAGCAAAGGTGTAGTCAGAACGGTTAACAGCTTTCTTTTAGCCCATTTAGTTCAAACGGGACATAGAGCCAACATCGAGCAATCCTTCACAGTAATATATCGTGTTAATAATAGTCTACCTAATTCTATCAGACAGAGAATACTGCAAACGGCTGAGGCAATTGCTATTCGGATCAAAAAGCCAGAGCTCTGCATCCAAAAGAAATATGTACAGCCGCCAACTTCAGGGTCAACTTGTTAATGATCAATTTTGTAATATGGTGACATTAATTTGATTAATGTTCACTTATATATCTCAAACTTAGTTTATCTACACATCTTATCAGTCATTATTCTTATTATTCTTATTATCTTTATTATTATTATTACGATTATTATCACACTTGCTAACCTTTTAGAGAAATTTATTTAGGAGTCCCATAATAGGACGAAACGGCCGTCCAGTGCTTCCAGGTTTTCGATGGTGGTCTAGCTCCAATTGACTCATGATTTCAACTGTGAAAATACTAAATTCTCCACAAAACCCCCTCTAATATATAATCATATGCTCACTAGTGACTGACTTCAAGAGATATTTCCTTGAGTTCTAGTGGGAAGCAGTGGCCAGTGGAGTTCTACCAGGTCTGTTGTAGAGATATCATCTCACTGAAGACAATTGGTGAACGGTCGCTCAATATCGTGGATTGGTTGAAGTTAGACATTAACACCGTTGGACGCAAGCTCAGTGGTCTATCGGTTAAGGGCTTCGGCTCGAGACTGGTAGGTCCTGGGTTCGAATGTCGCTCGCGAGAGCAGGTTCGTGGATGCGCACTGCTGAGGAGTCCCATAATAGGACGAAACGGCCGTCCAGTGTTTCCAGGTTTTCGATGGTGGTCTAGCTCCAATTGACTCATGATTTCAACTGTGAAAATACTAAATTCTCCACAAAACCCCCTCTAAGAAATTTATTCGTCATCCACCCCTTATCTACTATATCTGACCTAATTTATATTATTCTACATATTACGTAATTTCTGATTTGTAATCCCATTTTTCTATCTCTCACCCCCATGTCAACTATATTTATTCTGATCATCTTTATGTTGGTTTGTTCTCTGAGCTGGATGGTTTGGTCGTGGAGCTTTCATCATCCTTCTGAACGACATCATCAGCACAAACTTCTGGTAGAAGTGAAGTGTTTGAATTTCTCCACATATGATTCACAGCTTGTCCTTTGCACTTCGATGTTGATTGGTTCTTATTGACATTAAATCTGTCATTGTTTATTTCTTTGTTTTGATTGTCTCTCCTATTGTTTTGATTTTTGTTCCTATGTTCCTGCATAATTTTCTTGATTGGTTGATAGATTGGATTGATTTCAATATGTTTTCTAATTTTCACAATGGGAATCTTTAATATTCAATATGCTGATTGACCTAAGTGCCAAGCTTCTAAAAATTCTCTGATATTTTTGGAATTGCCTCTGTTCAAAATCTGCACATTTTCCCAGTCTATTCTGATCATCATTTATCTTACGATTTCATTTCACCTATAAACTAATTCAAGTTAACACTTCATATAAGTCATCCTCAAAAACATTAACGATTCGATCTTATTTTATTTTATATGACAAACAATCCTTGATTCACATATTACAGTTTCTTAAATTGATGTATTCCGCCTTAAACTTGGTCAATCTTCTTTTATGGATTATTAATTTATAATTGTAGAACCTGATGAGAAATTCATTGAAAAGAATATTCTTCGTTCATATAAAAAAGAGGATCATTCAAAAGAAATCAATTTCAACTATTGAGGAGAAAAAAGAAAGAATAAGAAGGGGGGTTTTTGTGGAGATTTAATATTTTCATAGTTGAAAGCATGATTCAATTGAAGGACTCGAGATTGGTAGGTCCTGAGTCTGAACCTCACGAGGCAAGATCGTGAATGCGAACTGCTGAGGAGTCCCACAATAGGACGAAACAGCCTTCCAGTAATTATCTTAATTATCAGAAGGGGTTTTGTGGAGATTTAGTATTTATCATCTCGTTCCATAGTGGTCTAGCTTCAATTGACTAACGCTTTCAACAAATTCTTGATTCACATATTAAAATTAAATTGATGTACTCTGCCTTAAACTTGGTCAATCTTCTTTTATGGATTATTAATTTATAATTGTAGAACCTGATGAGAAATTCATTGAAAAGAATATTCTTCCGTTCATATAAAAAAGAGGATCATTCAAAAGAAATCAATTTCAACTATTGAGGAGAAAAAAGAAAGAATAAGAAGGGGGGTTTTTGTGGAGATTTAATATTTTCATAGTTGAAAGCATGATTCAATTGAAGGACTCGAGATTGGTAGGTCCTGAGTCTGAACCTCACGAGGCAAGATCGTGGATGCGAACTGCTGAGGAGTCCCACAATAGGACGAAACAGCCTTCCAGTAATTATCTTAATTATCAGAAGGGGTTTTGTGGAGATTTAGTATTTATCATCTCGTTCCATAGTGGTCTAGCTTCAATTGACTAACGCTTTCAACAAATTCTTGATTCACATATTAAAATTAAATTGATGTACTCTGCCTTAAACTTGGTCAATCTTCTTTTATGGATTATTAATTTATAATTGTAGAACCTGATGAGAAATTCATTGAAAAGAATATTCTTCCGTTCATATAAAAAAGAGGATCATTCAAAAGAAATCAATTTCAACTATTGAGGAGAAAAAAGAAAGAATAAGAAGGGGGGTTTTTGTGGAGATTTAATATTTTCATAGTTGAAAGCGTGATTCAATTGAAGGACTCGAGATTGGTAGGTCCTGAGTCTGAACCTCACGAGGCAAGATCGTGGATGCGAACTGCTGAGGAGTCCCACAATAGGACGAAACAGCCTTCCAGTAATTATCTTAATTATCAGAAGGGGTTTTGTGGAGATTTAGTATTTATCATCTCGTTCCATAGTGGTCTAGCTTCAATTGACTAACGCTTTCAACAAATTCTTGATTCACATATTAAAATTAAATTGATGTACTCTGCCTTAAACTTGGTCAATCTTCTTTTATGGATTATTAATTTATAATTGTAGAACCTGATGAGAAATTCATTGAAAAGAATATTCTTCGTTCATATAAAAAAGAGGATCATTCAAAAGAAATCAATTTCAACTATTGAGGAGAAAAAAGAAAGAATAAGAAGGGGGGTTTTTGTGGAGATTTAATATTTTCATAGTTGAAAGCATGATTCAATTGAAGGACTCGAGATTGGTAGGTCCTGAGTCTGAACCTCACGAGGCAAGATCGTGGATGCGAACTGCTGAGGAGTCCCACAATAGGACGAAACAGCCTTCCAGTAATTATCTTAATTATCAGAAGGGGTTTTGTGGAGATTTAGTATTTATCATCTCGTTCCATAGTGGTCTAGCTTCAATTGACTAACGCTTTCAACAAATCCTTGATTCACATATTAAAATTAAATTGATGTACTCTGCCTTAAACTTGATCAATCTTCTTTTATGGATTATTAATTTGGATTTGATCATTGTAGAATACCTGATGAGAAATTCATTGAAAAGAATATTCTTCCGTTCATATTAATTGTGTTTTAATATGATGGGAATTTTTTCAGCGATTAAAAAAAATAATACTTATTTCATCACTTTCGAATTCCATTAGACTACTTAACAAACTTAAAGTTCACCTCCTTGATTGAAAAGCTCTGAAATAAGTGAAAATATTCATGTACTTGGGAAGTATCATTAATGAACAAGGAGGATCTGATGTAGACAAAAAGATAAGGATTGGTAAAGTAAGGGAAACAATCCTACAATTGAAGAACATATGAAATTCAAAATAAATGTCAATCATTATTAAAGTCACAATCTTTAATAAGAATGTCAATATAGTTCTTTTGTATGAAGCTAAAACATGGAGAACTATTACAGCCATTATCAAGAAAGTTTAAGTATTTATAAAAAATTGTCTACGCAAGATAGTGAATGCCTGTTGACCGGATATCATCAGCAACAGTTTACTGTGGAAGGGAACAAACCAACTTACAGTCGAAGAGGAAATTAGGAAAAGAAATGGGAAGATACAAGTAAATAACACTATGTGAATTTGATTATATAGATAGTTATTATGATCATACACATTGTTGAATGATGTATATATTCACTTTGGTTAACTATTTATTTTCTTTTAATCTCCTATACTAAAAACAGTCATGTATTCACGAGTGACGAACGTCAAAACGCAATTCCTGGAATTTTAATGTAAATCAGTGACTAGTGGAGTCCAAACATATCAATCAGTTACTCATAATTGGCAATGGAAGATGGTTTATTAGTATCGGATATTGATGTAAGTTAGAAATTTAAACTGTTAGGTGTTGATTTTGTGGTTAAAAGGTTAAATACTCGCCGTGAGATCTGAAGTTTCTGCGTTTTTTCTCTTACGGGTTTGTAGGTATGCAACAACAGAGAAGTTTCGTAGTAAAATGTAACGCTGTCCTCTTCTTCCTGGTTTTCATTGATTGTTTGGGCAAATTCATTCAGTTACGTAAAATACATAAAACGTAACTGTTATGACTGAGTCTGATAGTAATATACAAAACTGCTTATATTCAAGCCCCTAACCGGCTACTGTAAGAAGACTAAGGGTGAAGGAGGAAGATTTTTGGGGTGATCCAAATCAAATTGTTGGGGAGATCTAGAAAATTCGTCGATAAAAAGCCAAAACTGGCTCTGAAAACTCTGAAAATCATCCTATCCAATCAGCATTCAATAGGAGTTTTGCCAGAAACATCTAAAAGTGAGAAGTCACATGCCGCGTTTCCGATTGGATAATTGCCTATACTGCTATTATGCTCAGTAGAGTTCTAGAATTTTCCGAAAACCCAAGGCCATCTAAAATGTTATAAATACCCTAGATTTTCTGCACATAAACAAACCTTGGAGTAAAGCGTTTCGCCCATATTTCGCGTCTTTTCTCCCGTGTTCAAGTCGTTGTGTAGATTTTGCCTGCAGATTACTAGAAGAGATTAGGAACCGAATCTAGCGTTCAGTTAGAGTACTTATCATTATTAAATATTGTCTATTTAGAGAATGAAACTGTTTCTTGACCAATTACATGTACTTGTCCATTTGGAGATTTTCGATTGACTTAACATTGGTTAGCGTTTTTGATTACTTCTTCCTGGTTAGTGTTTTTTCGCGAGTTAGTTTTCCATGAGATGAAGTCGCTAACCCCATGCCTAACCCGCCTTCTTTATCTGGGCTTGGGACCGGCAGTAGTCCCCGGATGGTCTTCAGGAGAAGTATCTCATTTGACATTACATACAAGTCATTATCTTAATTATCAGAAGGGGTTTTGTGGAGATTTAGTTTTTTTTTCATAGTAGAAAGCATGAGTCAATTGAAGCTAGACCACCATATTAAGTCGAAATTTCATAAATAAGAGAGAAAATATCGGAAGGGGCTTTTGTGGAGATTTTAATAATTTTATATAGTTGAAATCATGAGTCAATTAAAGCTAGATCACCATGGGAAACCTGGAAGCACTGAACGGCTGTTTCGTCCCATTGTGAGACTCCTCAACAGCGCGCATCCACGATACCGCCTCGATGGTAGTCTAGCTTCAATTGGCTCATGATTTCAACTATATAAAAGAGAAAATAATCAATAAGATAGTTGAAAATCTCTAAACTACCCTTTATATAATGTAAGCTATTAATGTTCAAATGAATACTTACTTGTGGAATGATTGTTGTACATTTGGTCATTACAAAATTCATAAAAGGATCAACATATTTTATAAAGAGATTCATAATATATTCAGTAACATAAGGAGTTAATTTTTCTTCAATTGTTTTTATCCACGTCTAAAATGAAGAAAGAATACCTTTTTTAATCATATATCTATACATTGAGAATGTTAGTAAGTACTTTAGAATGAAAGGTAACTACTGAGGAGTTCCACAGTAGGACAAACGGCCATCCAGTGCTTTTATTTTTTCCCTAGTGGTCTAGCATCAATTAACTCACACTTTCAACTATGAAAAGTAACTGTTTAATAGGATCTCGTGTTTACTGAAAGAAGTATGATGTAATCAGTAGAAATAACGGATAGGATTTTCAAGAATATTCATCATGATAGAACATGATGTTTCACTAGGTTATCCATAAAAGAATAAGAATTTCAGAAACCTTAGTCCACAACAATCTCTTTCGAAATTCTTCATATTTGTAATAACAGACTTTGTTGTGATTAATTATTCGTTGTTTAAAAACTTCATTGATACCCTCAAAAAATCAGGATTTTCAGTAACTTTCATGTTTTATTGTTTCCAAAATTATTCTAGTCCCTTCCTCTTTATCATAATTTTCTATTATGAGAACAAATTATAATCTTCATAAGCTATTTTTTTATTGAAAAAGCTGATTGATCAAACGTAGGGATCAACAGAGGACTGCTTAAACAACTGAAGTACCTGTTCTTGTCATCTATATATTTCAACATCATTATGGATATTATTCGCATAACCAATTCAGGTGAGTTTCTTAAAAGTGTACCACCTTTCACTGTAAAGGTTACAAATGACCTAATAAGAGATATCGTGGTTTCTGGCAGGCAATATACAGCGAAAAGAATGTGCACTGTTCAGATGTCGATTGACTGAGCTGCTCACTTCTAACTGACGATCACTCAATATTTATCGTCAGGATCGACGAAGAAGTAAGAAATGGCAACTTGTTCAGATACTTTGTGCTGAGAATTCTATATTATACCATAAATATAATATTGAATAAAGCTTATAATAATAAATAATAAATTAATTAACGACCAGAAATCTACGGATAGCTACTGTTTTATTTCAAGAAGCATTGTCATGAAACAGTAGCTATTTATCATCGTCAAAACCATCATCATTATCATTATCACGACACCGTTATCTCACATAAGACACACAAAGTATCCTCACAGGAAGTATCATTCACTGCTTTTCCTTCAAGAAGCAATTTATGTTAGGTATAAAATTAAAAGAGTAAAATAAATCTATTAATGATTGACTCATTCAATAATTAGAAGGGATTTTGTGGAGAGTTCAGTATTTTTATAGTTGAGATCATGAGTCATTTGAAGTTAGACCATTATGGAAAACCTGGAAGTCCTATTGTGAAAGTTCTCAGCAGTGCGCATCCACGATTCCGTCTCATGAGAATCGAACCCAGGATCTACCAGTCTTGCGCCAGAGCGCTTAACCACTAGGCCATTGAGCCAATATCCGATGGTGTCAATGTTTAACTTCAAGCAATCCACAAAGTTGAGCAACCATTCACCTATTGTCTTTAGTGAGTTACTATCTCATAATAAACATGGTCAAACTTCACTGGTCAATGCTTTTCACTAGAACTGAAGGAAATATTTCAATATTTTTACTTCGTAGATTATATTATTACAGATATATTGAATAGTCCATTGTGCTTATTTATTTGGCGTACTTATTTATGACGCGATTCACAAAGAACAAATAGTGTATCATTAATGAATTCCCTAATTAGTAAATAGATGTACTCAAAATATAAAACAATGAAATAGGTTCTATTCTCGCGAGGCGAAGTCGTGAATGCGCACAGCTGAGGAGTCCCACAATAGGACAAAATGGCCGTCAAGTGCTTCCAGGTTTTCCATAATGGTCTAGCTTCAATTGACTCATGATTTCAACTATGAAAAATACTGAAATCCCCACAATACCCCTTCTAATTAAATAAATGTTTTAAATTGTTGTAATTAACTTACTTTAACATATGGTAACCAACCTAAATCTTCTGAATCCACATAAACCATACCACAACGACTTACAGTTGCTGGTGATGCAACAGCTAAATCTTGTACTTCAAATAACATATGAACATAATTAGTTAATTTAATTCGTTCAGAATTAGCTAAACATAACATTTTATTATCATCTAATACTGTATTCATATTTTCAATCCATAATGCATCAACTGGACCATCACATATAACCCATTGATGATCTTGTGTAGGATCCTTCATAATGGAATGAATGAAGAAACAAAAAAAAGATATTTGTTCACTTTTAGGCTATTGTATTAATTGTTTGAATCTTCCAATTGATGTTTTAGGACTGCAACTGGTCAGTCTCTAATTTGCACAAGCAAGTGGCTATCATGACTTAGTAGGTGAATGGATAACGCGATGGCGTTTGAAGCGAAAGGTACTGGGTTCGAGTCCTAGAGTCAACATCAACTCTGAGATGCAGGTGCATCCAGCTGACGAGTCCTAAATAGGACGAAACGCGCGTCCTGGATTCCACTGCTAGCCACTATCCATCTCTGCTTACCATGCTTGTGAATTAAGGTATATCGAGGCAATACGCACAGTATGCACATATGCCAATTAGAGACTGACCAGTTGCAGTCCTAAACACCAATGGGAAGATTCAAACAATCGATACTAAGTGAATTTATTGTATTAATGTCTTTTTTTTGCATATGTTCATTTATTGACTAATTATCTTTATGTAGAATACATGTAATATTTCAAAAACAGTTTGGGCAACAAATTATGAAAAATAGAAGTAAGAAAAACAATCACAAGTATTATAAACAGGGATAGATGATCGGCAGTAGCTGAAGAATCGCAAACAGGACGAAACGCGCGTCAAACTGAAACCCATTACTAGTCACCACTCATCTCTGCTTATAATGCTTAAAATTTAAGGTAATTTTCGAGGCAATCTGATGTGAACCGCGAAACAAGAAGCCCTAACAAACTACGGAAGCTATTTTTGGGGATGTTATTTCATTTAATTCAAAGCTTGTAAAACTATAACATTTACTTTTGCCCCTAGCCTATTCTACAGATAATGAGATTTCGTTTGATGTGTGATTCACTGCCATAGCCTTTTCTGTTTGTTCCAAAGCTATTGTAATTTAGACGTAACCTTTTGTATTCTATTTTCTACTCTAATCCCCCAGTTTTGGACATCATTGTATTTTCATAATTATTGTATGTTGTGGTCAGGTTAGTCATCTATTTATTCAAGTGTCTTTTTACACTAATTCGAATTCGTAATTCAGGTGCCAGACCGAGATTGGAATAAAGCGATTAGTGTTCCAGTTGTCTTGTCTTCTCTCTCTCTGGCGTGCTTGTCAGCCAATCAGAGATAGAATAGTTTTCATCTCTCTACCTCCGCTTCGAACTCATGCATACTAACCTCAAAGTTAGGCCAGTCAGCCTATCCTGGTAAGGTCTTAATCTACATTAGACAAGTTATACTCGGCACTAATGTGGGTAGACATATTCAAGGACGTAACAAAATCCATACAAGATGCACATATACTAATAACAAACCGATCAATGACATTGCTAGATGTCCATGGGAAGATTCCAACAACTAATACAAAAGGAATTAATCGCCGACATTGTTCAATCAATGTTAAAACCTTGTTCTATTATAAGAATACACAATAACCCTGTCTTACTTACCACACATGTTTGCCTAACAATAGAAGCTAATAATCCATCATGCCATTCAAGTGTTAATTTATTTACTTCACCATATAATTCACCCATAGTTATAGATTTTGGATTTAAAACATACATTTTTACTGGTTGATATTCTGGTTTACTATCAATTAATTCAGCTGCATGTAAATTACTTAAAACTTTAGCTAGAACACGATAAACTGTCGTTTTTCCACCACCAGTTGGTCCAACTAACATAACACCATGACGTACAAGTAAAGTTTCATAGAATTGTATTACTTTACAAACTTGTTCTGTAATAATTTGTAAATTCATATCTTGTAGTACTGTTTCAATCTCTGCAAGGAATAGTCCATAATCATGTTCTGGTAATGTAATACCAGGGAAAAGATCTTGTAAAATTGCCTATATAAAATGATAAATATATTAAGGATTATTTTATGAGAAGAAATGGTGAGATTAGAATTGATGAATGAACTAATCAGATATAGAATAACAGATTTTAAATTTTGGCGCGAAATTCACTTATCTATTTGGGTAAATATTGTTCCGGCATTTTAGTTGATGTTAGTTTGTGATAAAAGCTCCAAATCTAGTTAAGATCATGAGTCAATTGAAGCTAGATCACAATCGAAAACCTGGAAGCACTGGAAGGCCGTTTCGTCATAGTGTGGGACTCCTCAGTGGCAGTGCGCACCCACGATCCTACCTCGCGGGATTCGAACCCAGGACCTACTAGTCACGCGCCAGAGCACTCAGCCGATAGACCACTGAGCTGGCATCCAGCAATGTTAATGTCTAACATTAACCAATCCACGAAATCGTGCGACCAACTTCCATTGTACTGAGGTAGATACCAGTCTCCACCTAACATAGATTAGCTCCACTGGTCACGGCTTCTCACTAGAACTCCAGGAATTACCTCAAGGGGCCAGTCACTAATTAGTATATGATCATTATCAGAAGGAAGTTCCGTGGAGATTTCAGTAATTTTATATAGTTAAGATCAGTGGAAGCACTGGACGGCTGGTTTGTCTTAGTATGGAACTCCTCAAAAGTGTGTATCCACGATCCCTCATGTGGGACTCGAACCCAGGATATCCGGTCTTGCACGTAGTATTCCTCTTGTGATTAGATAAACAATTCTTCTGACACCTGTTATCATCTTGTCATTTTGTTTCACACTGACTGATAGATTAAATATATATTAATGAATTTATTGCCTGAGAATCTGGTTGTTGATCAAGGTTTCTTATCATGGTGATTTAGTCGAGGTGTATTGGTTAAAAAATTTGTTCCTTGATGTTTTAGCATTCCAGATAAGTCGTTTAAGAAACTGTAAAACCGAGATCAACATATCTAAAAAATGAAGGAAAAGTAATATTGTCCTTTCTATTAAGCCGAGAGTCACTAAGCTATCTCTTTTAGGTAATTGGTATCACTAGGTGTTCTATCTTCTCATAGAACTATGGGTTGGTTTTGAAATGAACACACGTCATATTGCTTCATTCTAAGACCGGAAATAAATTATAAAATGTAAGGAATTTGTGCGTCAACTCATATGACAAGTGTCTTTAACCGACTATACAGTCAAACTTCCATAGCAACAAGATTTTCAATAATAATTTAGTTTTACTTTTAAGTTCATGTGAAAAGTAACTTTTTATAAAGTGGAAACATCTCTGACTGCATTCAAGATCATCTTGTTCAGAATCAAGCATTTCAGCTAAACCTAGAACTATACAAACTAATTCTAACGGTTAAAACATTTGAAGATCTATAACTTTATGACATCTGAATGAAACAGTACCAACCAAAATAAGATCATTTCTTTCATAACCCTAGTACTTATGGATAAGTCTTGCTGATTGAACGCTATACTCGGATCCTAAGCTAGTCTCCAGACCCCCAAGCTAGAACTACACAGCGACTCGAACACGAGAGAAAAGGCGCAAAGTATACGAAAAGCACTTTACACCAAAGGTTCATTTATGTACAGAAAATATAGGGTTTTTATAGTATTTTAGAGGTCCTTAAGTTTTCTTGAAAATTCTAGAATACTACTAAACATAGTAGTAGTGTAGTAATCAGTCAATCAGAAACTCTACATGTGACTTTTCATTTTAGCGATATTTCTAGGGCGGCCAGACCAAAACGTGGCACAAATCCATAAAGTCACTGACAGTTGAACTGAACCATGTTGGTAGGTGTAGACTACCGGGTTGGGATTCGCGAGATAATAGCAATCGATGGTTAGAGACCTTGAATGACATAGCTCAAAATCGTTTGCAATGGCGTAGGTGCATCCACTCTTTGTGTTCTAACTTTTTTTCTTTTTCCAAATTTATTTCACTGCATGCTTATACTCTCACTACTTCTACCACTATGGGATTCGAATCGACAACTTCATCTCTGTGCTAATGTGGTATGGCAACTCGAACTGATGTACGTACGTACGAAGTTCTAAGTTGTAACTGACTGACTCTAGCAAAACTTATAATTGAACGCTGATTGGATAGAATGTTTCTTAATGTTTTCCTGAGCTTGTCATGTCTATTGCGGGAGATCTTTAGCATCATCCCAACACTTATTTGCTTACCTCTTTTGAACAGGCAATCAGTTATTCATATTATCAATGTTTCCTATCTTTAGTTAAAACTTCATTTAATAACTTACTGTAAATAAGATAGAATCTTGTTTAAGAAATTTTGGTAAATTACTATCTCTTAAAGCACGTATTAATACAACATCTTCTGGTTTATCCGGGTTTTCACGTTTTAATGAACCAGCCATAACTAGCACTGATTTTAATGCTCTCATACCAAAATCATAATGATCTTGTTGTGATAATTGTTCACTGCATAATTTATACATTTGTGTCATTTTTAATGCTAATGTTTTAGATGATTCAAATCCTTCAGAATAAAGTATAACTTCAGCTATAAGACCTAGTTATAATAAAAAAGGGAGAAGATAAAAAATGTTAAAGAGAAACTGAGAAAGATAGAGAATAATGAACATTGAATAGACGCTGGAACTTACAATCTAATGGGGACTTTCAATGACTCCAATGATGATAGATGGCTAATGTGACCACCGGTCTGTGTTAATGAAAACACTGAATATTTATTGTCTTTTGAATGTTTTGAACTAAGTTCTACTGTTCTGATGATCATTAACTGGTTGACAGTACTGTGTGATCATGGTGTCTGATATAACATAGATTAGTGGATTACTGTAGATACACTTACGTTGATTCTGTTAACAAATGTTTGATGGATTCATTAACTTCCCACTTAGCTCCACCTACTTGTTAAAAACTCAATTTTGTATCATTTACTTAGTTAACTGGTTATTATTATTATTATTATTATTATTTAAACACATAAATATTGGTACTAAGGGGCCACCAGATATATATATGCGCCACACAAATCTCATTTGATTTGTGTGAGGGCTGTGATACTGCTCAGGTGCCCAAACTGAAGTAGGTGGTTTTCTTAAGGAGCCACACCTGGAGTCTTTAACCCGAAGGTCTAGTCCACAAGACAGCGGAGCATAGTAAGGAGATGCAGTCTCATGGTAGCCGGTGTCAACGATTGATTCATACAACATTTATTCCTTCACGATACTGGAACCCATGTGCATTATTGATTTGGAATCAGGGTTTTCCAACTCCATAGGTGGACTCGCCGTGTCCATCAACCCGGTTAAATCGCCAGACATTCGCTTTTCGTCCAATCAATTTCGTAAACAACAGTAATGCCACGAGAAGACAGTGAGTAGGACTTCCCTGGCCGAGGCTATATACGCGTGGCCATATGAAAGCATTTGGCCACGCATTGTATGAAGTAATCAGTCTGTTGTGTTGCAACCTCAATTGATTGTTATTCTTCTAATATACAATGGAATAATCATCTATACAAAAATATTAATGATGATGTTTATAGTAACGAAATGACATACGGTAATCGGGTACCATCATCGAAATTGGACGGAATAATGATTTTAAATTATCAGGCAATTCTGTACGTCCAGCATAACCAGGATTCATTGTAATGAAAGCAGCACATGTTGGCACTAATTTAATTTCACGTCCTTCAAACATGAATCTTGCAACCTATATATATTCAAACAAAAAAGCAAGCTAATTAACGAAATCGATTGAACGGATAAGTTGTTAGACATAAGTTTAGTTCATGATTTAACTTGGGTCTATCTCCTGTCGTTGAAAGATCATCTGATCCGGAAATTAATAATGGGAACTTAGATACTACGTGGATAGTAGTATATATGTGCGTGAAACTGGGCATAATATTGTTTGGATACGTAATATATCGTCCTCGAATTTCGAGAACATATGTATAAATAATCTCCTGGATCATTTATGGAGAGAGGTTAGTAATGTACTGTAAAGTAGAGATGGTGATTCGGTTGATAAATCTGGCAACCTTCTTCATGATTAAGGTATTTATTACACATTGGCAATCTACCCATATTCAGTACAGAAAACAGCTAGATCAAAACATATCATCAGTCTTCGAAGTTATTTACTACTGGCTTTGAGAGATAAAGGCAGCTAAAAACCTCTTGGGTGGGGACAACAAAATATCCCTTTTAAATGGTTAGTGAAATAATCCTAAATCTAGGATATGAATGAACTCAACAGAACTTCAAGTTATGTGATTGGATAATCTGTAAATGAAATTTGATTATTTTGAAATATCTTGCTGGAGACAATTAGGGGTAAATAGATTCGCTTTTTGGATGTAAATTAGAAATGTATAAAATTTGTTTTTAACAAGAATACAAACTTAGTCTGAGTTACAGATATGATACTACTTTTGTTACCTTCTAGTCAACCTATGTGAAGAACATATGGAACTCAAAACAACTATCAACTAAATTCAAAGTGAGAATCTTGAATACGAACGTCAAGACAGTTCTACTGTACGGAGCTGAAACGTGGAGAACTACTACAACGATCGTCAACAACGTACAAGTATTTATAAACAGTTGTTTACGCAAAATACTCAACATCCATTATTCCGATACTATCAGCAACAGCGTTCTATAGGATAGGACAAGTCAGCTTCCAGCTGAAGAGGATATTAGGAGAAGACGTTGAAAGTGGAGAAGACATACATTAAGGAAATCACCAATGTGCATTACAAGGCGATCCCTAACTTGGAATCCGGAAGGGAAGCAGAAAAGAGGAAGGCGAAAGAACACATTACGCCGGGAAATAGAAGCAGATATGAAAAGGACGAATAACAACTGGAATGAACTGGAAAGGAAGGCTCAGGACAGAGTTGGATGGAGAATGCTAGTAAGCGGCCCTCGACGAAGGGTAACGGGCGTAAGTAAGTAAGTAAGTCAACCTATGTATTGTGTACTCGATAAGGGGATATATCTGATTACAGATAAGCTCATTCACAGAGTCCTACTGAAGTTTATGAAGCACGGTAATAACAGTAACAATTTGAAAAGGGATAAAGAAAAACAATATTACTCACTCGCGCAGCTTTAGCATTTCGAATAGTGATCAATTGTTGAGCAATAACAGACAATACTTCAATATCAATACGATTGAATTCATCAAAACAACACCATGCCCCAGATTGAGATAAACCAGAAAAGAAACGACCCATCATTTTATAATCTAATCCATCGGAACAATTGAAAACAACGCATTGTTTTGCTACAGATTTAGCTAAATCTTTAGTTGTCTCCGTTTTACCAGTACCAGCTGGACCAGCGGGTGCACCGCCTAAATCTAATTGTAATGCACCCATTAAACATAGATAACATCTAAAACAAAATAAAAGAATTGATTAACCAAAAAAAGATATGAGTTTGTCATTAGAGATTAATTTGAGTTAATGAATGTTTACAAACTGTATACTACAGAATAATATCTATTTCACCTTAAGTTGAAACTCTTCAGGAGTATACAACCATAATGGAATCTATAGTCTACTGGTCCCATAGTAAGCAAAGTACCTCCCAATAATTAAAGAAGAGTTCATTAGTCTACATTTAAAAAGTAAGGCGATTTTCCAAATTGTTTAGTGACCATTTCATATCATCGGTGAGATGTTTTCTTTGGCTTTCAGTATGATTATACTCCATCTATTACAGGTGATTTTTATGCTATCAATGTGTAATTTCAGATTTAGGTATCGATCAGATGACATAAATACAAATTGTTTGACCCCTTACTTAAATAATATGTAGTCCAGTTTAACAAATCCTCGTCACTTGTCATTCAATCATTCCTCCTCAACAGCTAGATTGTGTTATATCCCCTGGTGAATTATGAATGACAACTCTAAAGTCTAATTATCGACCAATGTATTATGCCTATTTCCTATTGTACAACTGATACGTAACTGAACTATTCATATTTGCATTCCCTTAGTATTGATTGTTTGGATCTTCCCATCGATGTGTTTAGGACTGCAACTGGTCAGTCTCTAATTGGCATATGTGCATACTGTGCGTATTGCCTCGATATACCTTAATTCGATATACCTTAATTCGAGTCCCAGAGTGAACATCAACTCTGAGATGCAGGTACATCCAGCTGACGAGTCCCAAATAGGACGAAACGCGCGTCCTGCATTCCACTGCTAGCCACTATCCATCTCTGCTTACCATGCTTGTGAATTAAGGTATATCGAGGCAATACGCACAGTATGCACATATGCCAATTAGAGACTGACCAGTTGCAGTCCTAAACACATCGATGGGAAGATCCAAACAATCAATACTAAGTGAATTCAAACTTCACCCCATCGCACAAGCAAGTGGCTATCAGGACTCAGTGGCCGAGTGGATAACGCGATGGCGTTTGAAGCGAGGGTACTGTGTTCGAGTCCCAGAGTGAACATCAACTCTGAGATGCAGGTACATCCAGCTGACGAGTCCCAAATAGGGCGAAACGCGCGTCCTGGATTCCACTGCTAGCCACTATCCATCTCTGCTTACTATTCATATTTGCGTTTCTCTTATCATGAGCTTTATTTTGATCTTTGATTTATTATCATACGATTCTTGAGTTATAATCAGTTTATTGATTACTTTGGTTTGTATAAAAACCCAGTATGTTTGTAAATAATGATTGATACCACTGAGGCGTTATTGGTGTTTTGGACTTAATTGGCTGGGCTAGGCAGATCACCGGACCGGTTAGCACTCTAGTCTGCTCGTACGGGTTTCGTGTCACTGTTCCAATCGACAATTCGCTGCTCCCTAATCGGCGGTCTTATCGCGTCATACATCAACTAGGCATCCACTCGGCCACAAGCATGACAGATTGATAAGAAATCTTAATTCAGAGTAAAGTCAGGGAATAACGAAACTCATAGAATCATTATATCAAGTATCATGAATTAGTAACTCATCGATTGTTCATCTACAATCTAAGGGTAACCATCAACTCGTTATCGCAAAAATCAATAGCTATGTACATTAAATAATCTAGTCAGGAATCAATCACAGCGAAATAGACGTAGTTTCATCTAAATACTTCCATTTATCTAGGTATTTCATGACTTTAAGTTACTTATAGTTGGTTAATTGCTCACGTTTTCGTCTAAACAGATTTCAATATATCAGGATAGGTTTAAGAAAAAGCATTTAGCTTAAGCTTCATTTATTCTAGTGCTTCACGTCGAGTTGTATTTTCAAAAAAGTTTAATCTCAAATAATTAGGAGGTGTAGTAGATCTTATTACTTAACAGTATATCAGTCAATAAAATTTATTAGGACTGTATTATCAAAATTTAGGAAAGATTGTTGATCAGAATGAGGTTTGTGCAGATTGTAGTGACTTTAATAGTTGAATTTAAGCTATACCATCACTGAAAACCTGAGAGCCCCGGACAGCTGTTTCGTTCTGGCATAGGACTCATTAGCAGTGTGCATCTACGATCCAGCACAAGGGACTCGAACCAAGGATCTTTGATCATGCTCTTGGATGCTTAACCTCTAGATAACTAAGTCAGTATCCAACAGTGTTAATGTCTAACTTCAATCGACCCGTGAATTTACACTTGACATTTATTGATTGATTACGCCTAATACTCTCAATGGAGCACCGACCAGCGTTCTCCAACCCACACGGCCTTGAGCCTTCTTTTCTAGTTCTATCCAATTTTTGTTCATTCTTCTCATGTAAGTCTCGGCGTTATGTATTCTTTGGTCTCCCTCTTTTCCTTTGACCTTCAGGATCCAATGTGAGGGCTTGCTTTGTGACGCAGTTAGCTGCTTTCCTCAATATGTGTCCTATCCACTCTCAACGCTTCTTTCTGATTTCTTCCCCCACTGGAATCTGATTTGTTCTCTTCCACAGTAGAATATTACTTATAGTTTCTGGCCAACGAATCCGAAGTATTTTGCGCAGACAACTGTTAATAAACACATGTACCTTCTGGATGATCTATTTAATTGTTGAAAACGTGAGTCGATTGAGGCTAGACCACCATGGAAAACCTGAAAGCACTGGACGCCCATTTCGTCCTATTATGTGACGCCTCAGTAGTGCGCGTCCACTACCAGTGGAATTCAAACCACGTCTGTCGTGAGATATCAACTCATTGAAGACAATTAGTGAACGGTTGCTCAACTTCGTGGATTGGTTGAAGTTAGACATTAACACCGTTGGATACTGGCCAGCTCAGTGGTCTATCGGTTAAAGGCTCTGTCTTGAGACTGGTAGGTCCTAGGTTCGAATCTCGCGAGTGCCGGATCGTGCATTGCACACTGCTGAGGAGTCCGAAAATTAGGACGAAACCGCCGTTCAGTACTTCCAGGATTTCCATGATGCTCTAGCTTCAATTGACTCATGTTTTCAACTATGAAAATACTGAAATCTTCACAAAACCCTTTCTGATCTATTTTTGATCCTTCAAAGGTTTTCAAAACTTCATCTATTCACATGAATTGATAATAAATATTATACAATAAATATCTTCATTACAAATAACTTTTCATATATTTACCTATCAGTTAATGGTGTTATAACTAAACGTGGTGATGCACCTAAATATTCATAACCATATATATAACATGAATTAGCCATTTTCACAACACATGTATCTAAATCTAAATCCCAATAATAACGAAGTTGACGTTGCCAATCAAAATGATCTAATGTATTCACTTGATTATTTACTAATTCTGTTACTATATCACGTGAATGTACATCAATTGTAATTAATGCACATAATAATGAACGAAATAATTTGGGTAATTCTTCACGAACTAAAGTAGCAAGTTTGTTAAGTCCCTAAAAAAAAAGAAAAGAAAATTTGAAAGAAAAACAAATAGGTGGGGTGGGGGGAAGTTAACGATCAATATTATATTATCTTGTATTATAATTAAATTGTAATTTTTTTATAAAGTGATAAGTCTTGCTGATTGAATGCTATATTCGAATCCCTGAGCTAGTCTCCAGACCCCCAAGCTAAATCTATACAGCGACACGAATACGAGATAAATCTCATTTGATTTGTGTGAGGGCTGTGATACTGCTCAGGTGACCAGACTGAAGCAGGTGGTTTTCTTAGGGGGCCACACCCGGAGCCTTTGACCGAAAGATCTGATCCACAAGGCAGTGGAGCATCGTGAGGAGATGCAGTCCCATGGTAGCCGGTGATCAACGGTTGATTAGTACGCCATTTGTTCCTTGAGGATACTGGAGCCCATGTGCACCATTGGTTTGGAATCAGGGTTTTCCAACTCCCCTAGGCGGACACTCCATGTCCACTAACCCGGTTAAAGCGCCGGACATTCGCTTTTCGTCCTCTCACTTTCGTAAACAACACCCCCGCCACGAGAAGGCAGTGAGTAGGACACGAATACGAGAGAAAAGTATACGAGAAGCACTTTACACCAAAGGTTCATTTATGTACAGGAAATATAGGGTTTTTATAGTATTAAAGTAATCTTTGGGTTTTCCTGAAAATTTTAGAATACTACTAAACATAGTAGTAGTGTAGTAATCAGTCAATCAGAAACTTTACATGTGACTTTTCATTTTTGCGATATTTCTAGCAAAACTTTTAATTAAACGCTGATTGGATAAAATACTTCTGAATGTTTCCTAAGCTCATTGTGTCTATGGCGAGAAATTTTCAGGATCATCCCAACATAAAGGTTGAATAGATCGATTCCGTTTTTATTCAAGTATATGAGTTGACTAATTTACTGGAATAAAATCCTTCTTCATAGTAACCAGTGAAAAAATCTCTAATGAGAAGTTAGAATCTTTCAAGATTGAAAGGATTCCTTGATTATTAATGCTAAATAATATGAAAGAGAGCTTTCTAGCGGTTACTATCAACCATTTCACATGTTAACGATACATATTAACTATTTAACGAAACTCTTTTACAGTTATAAGCAAAGATGGATGGTGACTAGCAGTAGATTCCAGGATGCGCATCTCGTCCTATTTGGAACTCGTCGGCTGGATGTACCTTAATCTCAGATTAGCTAGGTGAATAAGTCGACGGCGTTTGAATCTAACGGTACTTGGTTCGAGTCCCAGAGCGAATATCAACTCTGAGATGCAGGTACATCCAGCTGACGAGTCCTAGATTCCACTGCTAGCCACTATCCATCTTTGCTTATTTATTTGATGAATTAATTTTCAAAGCCTTATTATTAGAAATCGGAAATTGTTATACTGTTTTTAATAGGTCCGCTTATTCTGTAATACCCCATGAATTGCCGAAATATATAATAAAGACCTGAAAATATAAGGACATTACATATATTTTAAAGACGATAACAAAATCCACATGGACAAAACTATAATAGAATACTGTCCTTAAGCAATTTTCAAGTTCGTCAATCAGAATATAGTTGATTACTTAATGATGGGCAATATCGAGGCAATACGCAAAGTATACACATATGTCAATAAGGGGCTGATCAATTACAGTCCTAAATATCAATGGGAAGAATTAAGCAAACAATACTAAGTGAATTTAACCACCTATTTATTTAAAATAACCTACTTACTTTATAACATTTCTCTTCATATTCTTTTAAACCATCAAGACGATCTTCTAGGAGAGGATCTTCTAAAATTAATGTGATATCACGTGACCACATTAATTGTTCTACTGTTAAAACAATTTGATTTGCATGTGCTTTTAACCATTCTTCACGTTGTAAACTTTCAAAATCATTTATAGCAATTTTCATTAATTTACGAAGATTTGTAAACATTGCTTCTTCAACTTTACCTAACCAATCTTCAACATTACCTCTAGCCTTTAAACCCTTTAATAAAAGCGAAAGTATACAAAAGATAAGATTTGGTTAAACTATATTGATATGAAAGTTTGAATGAGAGAAATTAGTTGCATGACATTATAATCATTCAATAAAATTATAATTATTGTTATATCTAGAGCTTTGATGCTTACTGTACCGCGTACTACTAGACTGCTCGAACGATAGAACCTGCAAAGTCGCAAGAGAGAAGACAGAAGACTAGTAAGTAGGAATTTTATTCCGCCAAAACAGTGTCAAAATATAGTATAGAAATCTCATGTATTTATAGTTATTGGCTGAAAGTAAATCATCATTTCGGACATCCAATAGGTACATAGGGGGTCATTCTTATCCATCCAATTGGAAAGCTATAAGTCGACATTCTAGAATATTCCCCCAGCAGTGATTAGATGGAATGTCTTCGGCTCTTTCTGGACTTTCTGAGGCTTCCTAGAGTTTGCCATCTAGCCATCCTTACAATTATGAAACCAGATGTTTGTGAGAATCTCACGTAAATAGGTAATAGCAGATTATTATTAACAGTAGATAATCAGACACAACAATGTGATTATGAATTACCTTGTGAGGCAGTGACTTACTGAAGACAATAGTGAACGGTGGCGCAATTTCGTGGAATGGTTGAAGTTAGAAATTAATATCATTAGATACCGACTCGGTGGTCTGGAGGTTAAGGGTTCAAGTGCGAGACCAAAGATCATTGTTTCGAGTCCTTTGTGTGTGATCGTGGTTGCACACTGCTGATGAGTCCCATACATGTATGAAACGGCCGTTTAATGCTTCCAGGTTTCTCATGATGGTCTAGCTTAAATAGACTCATGAATCCAACTATGAACTTATTTTACAATTAGTAAACTGTACATCTTGAACGGAAATATAAGACATGGAATAATTAGTGAAGCTTGCAATTCTGACAGCTATAATAAAGTTATAAAAACTGAAAAACTACTGAAAACTACGAGTCATTTAAACATAATATTACATCGAAGGACAACATTCCGGTAGTCTTCACAAGGTCTACAAGTCAATTGATTACTGCAATTACAAATAAAGGAACTTCTTAGTAGTCCTATTTATTGTAGCCGCTTAATTGTCACGTCTTCTCTAAAATCCTCTTAACCGATTGTACATGAGCATCAGGTACTGAAATTGGCACCGCAACTTCGAAATTCCTTAAACGCTTCTGACTGTCTCGTCCATAAATTATAGTCTCGCCGTTTTTATTATCTAATGTCATTAACCATAGAATATAGTTGTATCACAAATAACAACTAGAAAGTTAACATCACTTTGATATGGTATAGTTCAAGCGTTAACAACTTTATAGACCCTTTCCGTGTATTGATCCTACCTCATGTAGATTTTTTTTATTCACTCACTATTGTATTAATCAGTTGTCGTAGTCACTTTAAGGAATGAACATTCGACGAAATACCCAAAATTAGAAGATAAGTAATGATTAAATTCATTTAGTGTTGTTTGTTTGAATCTTCCCATCGATGTGTTTGGACTGCAACTGGTCAGTCTCTAAGTAATGATTTCCATTAAAATGACTGACTAGGAGACTTTTCTACAGTGTTTATATACTTAGATATTGAAATACCACAGTTTTACACTAGGTGCATTACAGATATTTGAGAAATTATAGTACAATTCTAATTAGTAGTTTATTATCTATGTAGCAGGAAAATAACAATGTGTAACTTTAGTTTAGTGAATTATGAAATGGTGGAGAAGATTTGTAGCTCAGATAGATGATTTTGATGGAGTTTTGTTCCCTCAGAACAAACGTCTAACCGATGTTTATGCACAGAGAACAAAATTCCATTAAAATTAGTGAATTATATAAATAGTTTGATCGTCTAAAACTATAACAGTCCAGAGTTTAATGCTCAATAAGTTCGAGTGTGAATATAGTTGATCAATCTAAAATAGATCTAAAAAAAGAAACGTTTACGTTATGATCAATCTTTAACATTGAACCATATTAAATCACCTTGCCAAGTGAGACACGTTCACCTTCAGGTGAAAGCATAGCTAATATATCATTTGTATAAACAGGTTCATCTAAAAAGAAAAAAAGCGATTAAAAGTTGGATCGAATTTAAAAATATACTAACAAGAATAACAGTAGATTGTTTACAATCATGTATATTAGTTAAACTATCCAAAATAAACATTAACAATCTTGAAAAGAATCATGGTCTAAGTCAGATTGGTGAGACTATAATGTATAGCCAACCTTTGAGTGACGCTAAAGTAACCTTGAGAATGTCCACCATTAGCAAGAAGGTACAAGTATTTATAAACAGTTGTCTACGCAAGATACTCAATATCCGTAAACTGAATATCATCAGCAACAGTCTACTGTGGGAGAGAACAAACGAACTTCCAGTTGAAGAGGAAATTAGGAAAAGGCGTTGGAAGTGGATAGGGCATATATTGAGGAAATCATCAAAGTGCATCACGAGTCAAGTACTAACTTGGAATTTTGAAGGGAACAAGAAAAGTGAAAGACCAAGGAGTACACTGCATCGGGAATTGGAAGCAGATGTGGAAAGGATGAATATCAATTAGAAAGAACTGGAAAGCATTGCCCAGGACAGAGTTTGATGGAGGATATTGGTGATTGACCTATGCTCCTCAATGAATGGTAACAAGCCTAAGTAAATAAATATGTTCTGACCAATTCTGAACGAAGTTCACACTTGATACACAGAATATTATCTTGAATAAACATCGTAGTGGTATAAAATCACTAATATAATGAACAAAATATCGTAGCAAAAATAAAATGAATTCTATACTGAGCACTTATTTGATAATCAGAAGGGGTTTTTTGTGAATATTTTAGTAATTTTATAGTTGAAATCATCAGTCAATTGAAGCTAGACCACCATGAAAAACCTGGAAGCGCTGGATGTCCGTTTCGTCTTATTGTGAGTCTCCTCAGCAGTGTACATCCACGATCCCGCCTTGCGAGATTCAAAGCCAGGACCTATTGGTCTAAAATAAAACACGATCTCAAAGTTTCACCAAGTCCTTTAAGTATTATCTTTTGATGAATTTTATGAAAGTTTATACCTCTTAATTACATGATCTGTAGAAGCCTTCGATAATTGAGATAAAGTTAGAAGGGGTTTTGTGGAGATTTCAGTATATTCCCAGTTGAAATCATGAATGAATTGAAGCTAGACCACCATGGAAAACCCAGAAGCACTGGACGGCCGTTTCGACCTATTGTGGGACTCCTCAACAGTGCGCATCCACGAATTCGCCTCTCGACATTCGAAGCCAGGAAACATCAGTCTGAAATAAAACACGACTTCCTAGTTTCACCTAATCCCAAAGTATTATCAATTACATGATTTGTAGAAGCGTTCGATAATTGTGATAAAGTTGAAACATTTTACAATATAGAATAATTTTGAAAATGTAATAAGGCTTAATTAATGAATATCAAAATTTTCAGTGTATATTTAAATAACATGGTAACCAGTGATACATATCATCTCAATCCAATCCAATATTCAATGTTACCATTTTACAAGCCCTAAATTGGAATCCGAAAGGGGACCTGAAAATAGGAAGGCCGGGAAATAGAAACAGATATGAAAAGAATGAATAAGAATTGGATAGGATTTCCGAGAACAAGGTTAAATGGAGAATACTGGTGTTAGGCCTATGTTTCTCCACGAGGGGTAACAGGCGTGAGTGCACGCTTGAGTAAGTAATATGTCTCAATTACATGATTTGTAGAATCGTTCGTGAATTCAGATAAAATTGAAACATTTTCAAAATCTACCAGGATTTAACTCATGAATATAAAACTTTTTCAATGTATATTTGAATAACATGGTAACCAGTGGTACCTATCATCTCAGCTCAATTCAATATTCAATGTTACCATGGTTACTTGAACATAAAAGAAAAATTGAAAAAAAAGAGAATAAAATAAAAATAAAAATAATATTATTACGATGATGTAATAAGAAGACGAAGATTATCCGGACTACGTAATGATAAGATTAGCGCAATACATTTCGACTAATCTGATCACATCTAATATACTTGTTAAGAACATTTATATCTAAAAATAGAATGGAACGTGAGCTGGGTTTAGACCGTCGTAAGATAACTTTGGTTTTACCCTATTAAAGATTACATCAGTAAAGTACAATCTAGCCGTTAATATGCTAATCCTGTTTTTGTACGAGAGGAACCGCTGGTTCAGATAATTGGTATATGTTCCTAGGGTGGGGTAATGTGAAACCAATTCGAAATCTAATCACTATGGATACTCTTCATTTTCTTCTTATTACATTATTATTATTATAATAATATCAAAAGGGGTACTAATTATTTTAATAATAATTACCTTTATTTATTGAATCTGATGTTAAACCAAATTCTAACTTGATAATAGCATCAAAACATTTTCTTAAATGAGGTTGTACAGCTAATGGATTACGTGTTTGTGCTAATATTTCTAATAATTCATCATTAGATAAAAAATAAAAACGTGAAAATATTGAACGTTTCGATTCTAAATATGCTTCTAAACATTTTTGTATTTGATCTAATAATTGATTATTATTACGTAATGTATCATATAAACCAGGTTGAATTGTAGCACGCATAGCTAATGGTACTTTTTGTATTTTACGCATTATATCTTTATATGATTTATCAACTGATATAAAACTTTTTGATTCACTAGGTAATTGACGTTGTATATCTGGTGCTGAAAATATACTTTCTAAATAAAGCCAATTTCTTTGACATTGCATCCATTCATCCTTTAAGAAAGAATGAAAATTTTAAATTAATCAATAATTTAGAAGGGGATTTGTAAAGATTTCAGTATTTTTCAAATTTGAAATCATGAGATAATTGAGGCTAGAAACCAAGGAAAACTTGGAAGCACTGTTTTAAGGCCATTTCATCCTATTATGGGACTCTTCAATAGTGCACATCCATGATCCCGCATTTGCAAGATTCGAACCCAGGACCTATCAGTCTCGCGCCAGAGCATTTAACCGAAAGATCACTAGTGACTGACTTCAAGTGTTGTTTCCTTGAAATCTGTGAGAAGCAGTAACCAGTGGAATTCAACCAAGTTTGTTGTAGAGATATCAACTCACTGAAGACAATTGGTGAACGGTTGTTCAAAATCGTGGATTGGTTGAAGTTAGACATTAACACTGTTGGATGCCGGCTCAGTGATCTATCGGTTAAGTGCTCTGGTGCGAAACTGGTGGGTCCTGAGTTTGAAACTCACTCGCGAGGCGGGATCGCGGATGCGCATTGCCACTGAGGAGTCCCATGATAGGATGAAACGGCTGTCCAGTGCTTTCAGGTTTTCCATGGTGGTCTAGCATCAATTGACTCATGATTTCAAATATAGTCAATAATTTTCAGTGTAAAATTGTTGTTATTATCAATTAATCGAAGATAACTGTCAAAAATCTGGAAGCACTAAACGAATATTTCGTTTCAGTATATAGCTACTCAGCAGCGTGTATTAATGACGAGGACTGGAAATAAAAACCCTGACCTTCAGTCTCGCATGTAAATATTTAACCTTTATAACACTGAGCAGGATCAAGCAATGTCATGGATTAAGTGAAGTTAGACTAGTACATCATCGGGTTTCAGTTTAGCTGTCTAGAGTTTAGATGTTTACATACGAGACCGAAGATCCTTGGCTCTGTTCCTTGTTGTGGGATCGTGGATGCATAATGCTGAATAGTCTCGTGCTAGGACAAGACAGTCGTTCATTGCTCCCACGTTTTCAATGGTTATATAACATGAGTCGGTTAGTGATCTCAATAAAAATTATTAAATAGAACATGTACAATATATTAGACAGTAAAACCTATAATTCTTTGTAGCTAACGTCTTCAATCATACGAACAAACTATCATGAAAAGCATGGATATGAATACATAATGAAGATGTTCATTTATTAGATTCTTGTGAATTATTGTTGGGTTTCAGTGTCACTACGCTGAAACGTCACTTGATCCTACTATGAAAACAAATAACTTAGCATGCTGACCTATGTGGTAAGTAACTACTGGAAATATATTTTATGATTATTTTAGAAGTTATATGTGATGGAACTTATTTCTTTAAGCTTACTTACAAACAAATTTAATAATTTGACTTTCCTAGTGATCAGTGTAACCTTTGAGTACACCATCCATCACATCACAATTTGGGTAGTAAGTAAGTGGAAACCCCAAAAGTATTAGAAATCTGTATTGTTTTAGTATGGAACTTTTCATTGGTGGGCATTCATGACCCAGACGGAAGTCAAACTCAGGACTTTTGGGACTCTTGACAATCATTTAACTTCAAGATTATGGAGTTGGTATTTGATAGTTTATATTTAGAGCTTCACTCAATTCATAGTATTACACAACTTTGATCAACTGTCATTGATGACATCTGTCTCATTCCTAACTTGCTTAAATTCCTCTGATCACAACTTCTCACTAGATTCCAGGGAATGACCTCTCGAGTTACATCTATCGTGATGTTAAATTAGTTAGTTTTATTGCACGTAAATACTGAAGAAACACCAGTGGGCGTCGATGATATTTTAGTCATCTAAGCTTAATCAGCCTAGCAGCCTCCTTCTTTTATGCCTATACACTAAAAGAAATACTGTATTCTATTCTACACCAGTCGTTAATTTAATATTTTTAATTGATAATAGACTAAGCGACTACGAAATATTCGAGTCCTACGACTTGTATCCCTATTCTATTGTACCAAATTCATTTTAAGCATAATACGTTCCATAAGTAAGTAAATGAGGACTGAGTTACCAAGGTTCTTCCAAATAATTCTAGCATAGTTTGCCATTCATCAACACGATTTTTTATTGGACCAACATGACGTGATGAAGCAATTGTTGATATATTAATGTTAGAATCATCCCATAATTGTTGTATTTCATCAGTTCCACCAATAATAAAAACATCTTTACTATCTTTATATGGTAGAACAATAAATTCAGTTGATTTCCATGATTCTTCAACCTTGAATAAATTGAATGAATGATAGCACAAGTGACTTAGTTAAACAATATCATATGATTATGAGCAATAAACGAATCTGACGCAAGTGTGCAGTACATCAGGACTTACTTACTTACTTACGTCTGTTACTCCCAATGGGGCATAGGCCGCCGACCAGCATAATACATCAAGACAATGAGATCAAATTATCAAAAGAGATAACAGAGTAGGCCGGTTAATACTAATACTAGTGACAGTAATTAGATTGAACAAAGGATATATGATTAGAAACGAGAAAAAACAAATTCTTGCAAAGCGATTTTTAACACCGCTTATGTTAATATCACAGTAAATATAGAAAAAGTGGTAACCTCTGATCCTATCTTACAGAATATTGTCGCATATATATTATTCAGTAACTAGATTATCATATTTCTAAACTCCTCTAATTGTAAGCTTTTATTCTCTATCATTCATAGCTTGATTGTGTGTAAAGTGAAATTCCTAATTTGAAGATTGCTACAGTCTGATTATTCATTAACGCTTTAAATATAGCAATAGAAGGTTCAATTGATTCTGTCTTCTTTTACTGAATTCAATAGGGTGAAAGTAGGACTCGAATCTAGGTAAATAAATTTTTAGATTACCTTATGACTGTTGAAGATTAGTCGTTGTCAATTAAAGTTAGTAAATCATTTAACCTTAAGACTATGGTCTGTAAGCGAAAAAGTATACTCAAAGTAGAAATTATAATTCGAATTCTGAATGGCAGACGTTTTCTGTCTATAGATTAAGATGTGCATAAGGACCACAACGACTGAGAAAAGCGAAAGATGAACATGTTTAATGGTCAATTTCTTAACATCCCTTCCTAGTGTCAAACAATCTTCTACTCATGATCTTTTGACAGCATAGGTTTGGAAGTAGATTAAATTAATGTCCACTTAGGAAGATTAAAGCGAAATCTATTGTTTTCTATCAGTCTATTGTAAGTTTCAATTGGCTGTTAATTAGTCGAATTATGTTCAGTATTATTTTCTGAATTTAGAAAACTATTTGAAGGTTTTCCCAGCAATAAAAAGAGGAGAGTAGCCGAAGTATTTAACATAGTGCTTAATCACTGAAGCGGCATCCAACAGTGTTAATATCTAACTTCAACCAATCCATGTTTCTAGTTATTTTTAAACTCTTCAAACGTTTATAATGTTCATTTTGTATTGTTTGTTTGAATCTTTCCATTGATGTTTAAAACTGTAATTGATCAATCTCGGAGTGAATATCAACTCTGGTATCCGGATACATCCAACTGACGAGTCCCATATGGGACGAAACGCGCGTCCTAGATTCCAATGCTAATCACCACTCATCTTTGTTTATATTGTTTATGATTTTCCTTAGATGAATGCAGCCAACTCTATTAAGGACATCAAAGAGTTTGAGATTTTCAATAATAATAATTCTACTTCTACTATGGTTAATGAAGTATCGAAATGATTCTTCTCTTTTAACATTTATAATCATTTCAATAATCAATATAAACTGTTGTATCCCGTGGAGAATAATGAATGATAACTTTGAGAACTATTTATGGACCCATATGGTACATATATTTCCTATTGTATAATTGCTAAGTGACTAAACTATTCATATTCATGTTCCTCTTATTATAAGCTTTATTTTGACCCTTGGATTATTATTGTATGATTTACCATTCCTAAGTTATAAACAGTCTACTAAATACTGTTCCCCCTATTCACAGTCACATTTGACCAAATCTTGTACATATGTTATTTTCTATTTTATGGTACGATGTGGTCTGTTTAGTTGGTATATAAACCCAGTATGTTTGAGAATAATGATTCATATTGCAGAGGATGTTATTGGTGTTCTGGACTTAACTGGCTGGACTAGGCAGAAAGCAGGACCGACAGGTACTCAATAATGCTCATACGGATATTGTGTATCATTGGATCCGATCAATAAATCACTGCTCGCTCTCTGATTGGATGGTCATATAACGTTCATATATCAAACAGGGAACGTAAACGCATCCACACGATATAACATAAACATATATTGTACTTACCTTTTTAAGTAACATTTCTAAACTTGATTCAGAACTAGCTTGACCTGAAATTTCTTGAATTTGTTCAGCTTTGTTAAATGCTTTCAATTCATTTAAATAACCTAAACTTAAAGGTGTTTCCAATTCAGACATTTGAAAACCGATTAATTCTTCTAATACTTTCCAATGACGTGGTTTTAATGATGGATTACGTAAATCCATAATAGTAGTTAACTTTAAATAAATAAAAAACAAACAATTTGATGATGATTTTTATTTATTTATTTAAACAAATAAATATTGGTACAAGGAAGCACCAGATATATATGGGCACACAAATCTTATTTGATTTGTGTGAGTGCTGTGATACTGCCCAGTTGCCCAAACTGAAGCACGTGGTTTCCTTAGGGAGCCACACCCAGAGCCTTCGACCTAAAGATCTGATCCACAAGGCAGTGGAGCATCTTGAGGAGATGCAGTCTCATGGTAGCCGGTGATCAACGATTGATTGGAACCCATGTGCATCAGTGGTTTGTAATCAGGATTTTTCAACTCCCCTAGGTGGACTCACAGTGTCCACTAATCCGGTTAAAGCGCCGGACATACGCTTTTCGTCCTCTCAATTTCGTAAACGACAGTAATGCCACGACAAGGCAATGAGTAGGATTTCCCTGGTAGATGCTATGTACGCGTGGGCATGTGAGAGCATTTGGAGAGGGAGAGGGGGCTCTCCTCGCTCTCGACCTTACCAGAGCATTTGGGGGCAGATAAATATAAATATTTATAAAACAATGGTCACGTACACCGGATATACGATGAACAAGTATTTTCCATTGTAATTTCAAGGTAAAGAAATACGTTGTGTAGTATACAGATAAACACTTCACCACAAAACTCAGAACATGGATTATTTTGCATAGTAGTTCTTTGAAAAAATCAGTTAGACAAAGCTACAATTAGTATTTTCTAAGAATGCCGAATAATACCCAGAAGGTAAGTCCAAATAACTAGACTAATGGATATAATTTGTATGTATCCTCTCAACTATTTTTAAACTTGGACAATTTTTTAACGGTGGACAAATCAATCAGGAAACATTCAATAATAACATACAATGGTTTTTGTACATGAACGACGGAATATGTAGACAATATCATTATTTCACACTCCAGCATTTATAGCATACCTTTCAGTTTAAAGAAATGGACAGTAATATTTAGTCGCAAATTTTGAGCATACTGACATTCCATAACAAAGAGTATCAGAATTCCTGATTGAAGTGATTTTCACCATCAATTGTTAACATCTGCCAATAAGTGCCATAATAAGATAACTTACTAATGAACCCTCTGGATTAAGACAGTCAGTTAGTCAGTCAGCCACAACGTAGAACTTTGTACGTATGTGCATCAGTTCGAGTCGCCGTACCACATTAACACAGAGATTCAGCTGTCGATTCAAATCCCATAGTAGTGGTAGAATTAGTAAGAGTATAAGCAGTAATCGGAAAGATTGTATGTATGAATTGAACCTACTTTCACCCTCATATCATCTACTTACTAATGAATACTCTGGATTAAGACATGTAGCTTATCAAACTAAAATATTTACACCGATTCATTACTGAACACTAATTGATATTGTAGGGCCATTGAAATGTCAGTGAACCCCAGCCAAATCATTCGGCAGTTGGGTCACTAAATATCGAACAGATCATCGATTCCCTTCAAGGTCAAGGACAATCAACGCGCATCAGATAATTATACGCCATGGACTGGCCCATGCGGCAGTGGTTCTACTTTCGCTTGTACCTACTTTAACTAATATATTCCTGTAATAACGTCCTTTGTGTTGTACAGTCTTCAGAGCATCCATGGTCCCTTGATACGTCGATGGGGCAATCTACGTAAGGTGCTGATCGTGAGGTGTGATTTAGAAGTTAGCTTACACCGTTCCCGTCTAACTCGAGTAAGCCTCCAATCATTCAACATAGATCATCAACGTTGATGGTCTACAATATTATATTGGTCTAGTTCTTAGAGCTCATTGAATGTAATCTATGAATTATCAATTTAACTACTTATATAAGTGATTCGATAGTGTCAATTGCATCTTCCTATCTAAAATAAAATACACTGTAAAGTTTGGTCACTTAGAATTGTCGAGGAATTGATATAATTGTTCCAATACTAAGAATCAAATAATAGGATATTCATTATACACAGAAACCCATATATATGTATGAATTAAACCTACTTTCACTCTCATATCATCTACTTTCTCTTTTAATAATGGTACTACAGTATTTGGTGGTAAACCTTTTTCCATTATTGATACTGATTTTACATATTTCATAGTTATATTTGTTAAATCTTCTGTATTTAATTTGAAAAAATCAGCTATCATCCATTCTTTAATTGTTTCATCCCATTCATCAAGTGAATTCCATAATAAATATTTTAATTTCATTTCATTCACTATAGCTTCTAATTCTTCAAAACGTGGTGATTCCGACTTGAAATGAGAAATATAGAGAAAAAAGAGAGAAGAATAAGTAACATTACGTAGTTGATTCCTATGTTTATTCAGTGAAGAATTTCGAGTTTAGCTACCGCCTTAATGTACTGATCAGGCTTATACATTACGATGATCTTATCTAAATTACATTGATTGAAGCACTAGTTACTAGATGTTCTATCATGTTAGGATGTTTGATTGGAAAGTTATGAATTTAAGAGTAGCAAACTTGAGATCTGAGAGTGAAGTCACAGAGATGACTGTAAGGTCTCTCCCTCAAAAAACCAGTATCTGTAGATACTCTGTATCTACATAATAAGAGAAAGGAGCTAGAAAACATTGATTGATCTCCAACTTCATGATTATCCATCATAAGTTTTAAAATCTGAAAAACACTGGGATTCTTTATTAGAAAATTCTCATAAAAATACTGTGTAAGACCAGGTTCCAACAGTCAATCTATGAATTCTTTCTAGATCTTTTCAGGAGTAATAAAATGAAACGATTATATTTGGTACTATGTTCACAGTCCAAATTGCCATATTAATGAAATTCTAATTTGAATACAGAAGTAAAGCTCAAAAAAGAAAATGAAGTTGAAAGTATAAACCAATATTAGAAAGTAATGTGGTGTGGGTTACTTATATCTACATAAGTAGTATGTGATTATCGTCAGGCATACAATGTATTCCAGCAGAAGATGGATAACGAAAGAACGGAAACAAAACGCAATTGGTATGAAAATGCATGAACAATAAAATCAGATACGATCGACTGGTATTTGCAGAAGGAATGATCAAGATTGAGACAATGGATTGATAGTTTCCAAATTAACTATTTACTGTATGGCTGTCAGATTTTACTGAGATAGTCTGTAAATTTCGTGTCAAATACAATCGATTGTCCCCAATCGTCTTCTTGTTCACTACAGTAAGATATCGAATAAATACATTTGATCAACTCAGGTAATGTTATCAAATGTATCCTGTAACTTCTTAAAGTCGTTACATAAATCTTGATTAGGAATATTACATCTGATAATCACATTAACCAACAGTTGATGGATTCACTTAGTATTATTTGTTTGTATCTTCCCATCGATGTTTAGGACTGCAACTGGTCAGTCTCTTATTGACCATATATGCATACTCTGCATTTGAAACGAAAGGTACTGAGTTCGAGTCCCAGAGTGAACATCAACTCTGAGATGCAGGTACATCCAGCTGACGAGTCCCAAATAGGACGAAACGCACGTGAAACTGGATTCCACTGCTAGCCACTATCCATCTTTGCTTACAACAGTTAATGATTATATAAAATTGAAACTTACAATCATTTTTTTTAGGTTTCATTACCATGGTTTAACTTGATAACTTTGAATAAATTGAGCATTACGTAGATTGTTATAAGTAAAAATAATAATAATATCTCTATGAGCAGAAAAATTAGATTTTCTGATGTTTCGTCACTCAATGTAAACCACTTCTTCAGAATAAATAAATAATCAAATCAAAATTAATCCAGATTTAAATAGTACAAGCAAACTACTCAAGAAAATTATGTGCGATCAATCAGAGAACAGGTCTGAACGAGTCAATGTGATATCATTTCGATCGAGGTGATTTATAAGTGTCGTGGATGTAAATTTGTTTGTATGTGTGCATGGTTAGAGACGAAAAAAGATGTGACCATTGTGGTGAGGAAGGATAGACGTTAATTTGTATGTACGATAATAGTGTGAATTGTGAATAATATCAGACACGGTAGCTTGAATAGATAATTCAAGTCAGATGTATAGTGAGGCCTTCTATTCTATTGAGAGTAGTAGGATTAAGCAATATATGGAAAGCTTCAGCTATTCTCCCTTCTTTGTAGTCGGAAAAATTAATTTGTAATATTTAGATGTTTTTGAAATCCATTTGATACTTACTTACGCCTGTCACCCCTCTCGGAGAAGCATAGGCCGCCCACCACCATGTAACTCTGTACTGGTCAATCCTTTCCAGTTGCTATTAATCATTTACAAATCTGCTTCTATTTCCAGGCGTAATTTGTTATTTGGTCCTCCTATTTTCTGCTTCCCTTCCGGATTTCAAGTAAGGGCTTGCCTCGCGATCCAATTTGGTGATTTCGCTCATGTATGTCCTATCCACTTCCAACGTCATTTCCTAATTTCCTCTTCAACTGGAAGTTCGTTTGTCCTCTCCCAAATAAGGCTTTTGCTAATAGTATCCAGCAGATGAATGTTAAGTATTTTGCATAGACAACGGTTTATAAATACTTGTACCTTCTTGAAGATGGTTGTAGTAGTTCTCCACTTTCAGCTCCGTACTAAAGAACTAACTGTCTTGACGTTCATATCGAATATTCTCACTTTGAATTAGTTGACAGTTGTTTTGAGTTCCATATGTTCTTCGATTGAAGAAATGCTGCCCTTGCTTTGCCAATCCTCGCCTTTACATCTGCATCAGATCATCCTTGTTTACCAATGAGGCTTCCCAGGTAATTGAAAGTTTCCATCTCTTCCAGAGTTTCGCCAACAAGTGTGACTGGGTCAGTGTTCTCCGTGTTGTATTTGAGAGTCTTGCTTTTTCCTTTGTGTATGTTAAGGCCTATCGATGCAGAAGCTTCTGCTACATTTGCTGTCTTCGTCTTTAAATCAATTTGGTAGTTGTTGGAAATAGCGTGAACTGCTATTGCCGATCTAATTTTAAGTCTATCCAGTTTTACAGGATTATTAGGTGGTTTCTTTGTGTGCCGAATGTGTTCTTTGACTCAAGTCAAGATTTCATGAGATGACTCTACAATATATAGCACGCATTACAATCGACACATCCTAATTTGTACACATTATTCTGTGTTGATATAAAGTGGATTTTTTCTTTTAAGCGAACTAAAGTATTTCTAATTATGTTCATTGTTTTGTAATATACTTTAATTTTGGGTTGTTTTAAAATTCTTTGAAGTTCTTCTGTTTGTAGTGTCGGTCGATATGTTAAGCCCGTATACTTTATTCTAGCTTGTGGAGAAGCCAATTTACCTATTCATCTTGAGTTATGTTTTGACCTTGTTAATTATTCACTTATTAACCTTAGCTATTTTTATATGAGCGTATATGTGTGTACACTTCTTATTCTATTCACCACATGTCTATAACTTATTCTTATCTCACCATAAACATCGATTAACGCTTGGTAAAAGTGAGTTGCCTTACCCCTCCCCCACCCATCTCCAATGTGCGTCGTTTTTGCTTCGCTCGCTAAAATTTGCTTATGTACTTATATCCTTTTGGCCTGCATTATTTGACAATGAACTGTAGTTGCCGCTTCTCTTTGCCTTCTGATTTTATGCACCGTTAAGATTTCTATTATAACGGTTATCCAGGTGAACGTTTAACGAAGCATGGCACTACAGAATATTTTACCATGCTGGTACTGCAGTTTTATCATACCTAACTTGTTCAGACCCGGGTGTTTTTTTTTAACTGATCATATAATATTCTTGTGTTGTTCCTTTGTACTTTTTAAACTTTGATTAATTTTGATTTAGTTATTTATTTACTCTAAAGAAGTAACTTACATTGAATCACGAAACATCATTCAAGAAATAACTTCAATAAAAACAAACTAGAACTTGAACAATAATATCAACAAACTCATCAATTACTAACCTTTATAAGTTTTGGAAAACGTTTAATTAAATACTTCTAAAATATATATTTACAAAATACTTTAATGTCAAATATATTTTTTTAGAATATGGATAGAGAAAAACAAAAGTACATAGTCAATACATTTCACTTACCACAAATGATGAAGCTTTGACACCAGCTCGTGCAAGTATTTGATCCTAGAATTATTGGAAAAGTATAAAGTGTTCAGTTATCAAGCAATTATAGTCAGTCAGCTACAACGTAGAACCAGGTACATATATGCATCGGTCTAAGTTGCCTTACCTCGTTAGCACAAGAAGATCAACACCGGATTCATAGAAGTAGTTAATTTAGTGATGGTAGTATATAAAAGATAGGCTGTATATAAGGATATAGTATAGGAAGGAAGAAAGTTATGAAACAATTTTGATCTCAAGATTTAAGGGAAGATAAAGAGTGTATACATCCACGCCATTGTGATCGATTCTGAGCCATGTCACACACAGTCTCCGACCATTGGTTAAGATAGTCACGCGGACCCCAACCAAGTAGTCTGCATCTACCTACATGGCTCAGACTGGAAGTTAGTGACTTCAAGCACTGATGCCACGTTTTGGTTTGGCCGCCCCTAACTCTCTTCTAACCACTGCCATTACTAGTCAGCATAGCGCATCGTTTTAATCGGTGTTTAGGCATACAGAGTCAAATGCTTTCAAGCCAAGTCCTAAGCAATTATAAATGATGTAAATATGAAAATAAATGTCCTTCTTTTGAATTCTATGCTTTAAAATGTGACTTTCTACACTTGCCAGTATCGATTCACATCTATTTATATTTATCTAAACTTTTTAAACTTATATTACATCAAATCAATACTACTGTAGTGTGTGCTACTGATAATGACACATATAAGTAGTATGTAACAACAATTGGAAGTGGAATATCTGTCAGTAGAAAATTGAATGGAAGAGAAATAACAAAAATCTTCTAGTTTATCCGAGATCATGTCATGAATATGTTATTTTCATAGTCCACAAAACGAAGTACCTAGAATGGTAATTCATATTGACTCTGTGAACTGTACATTCTATGATAAAAATATCATCTTTTAACCAATGAATATATTTACAGTATTCAGTGTTTATTGAAGAGGGCTTTCAACTCAGTGTCTTGTTGTGCTAAAGAGGTATGGCAAGTCGGACCGATGCATATATATGGCTGGCACTACGTTGCAGCTGACTGACTGAAATTTAAGCACTATGAAAGCCAACAACTTCAAATGTTGAATTCATGAGTCGATGTAGGCTAGAGCACTATTGAAAACCTGGAAGTACTAGAAGGCCATTTCATCCTAGTTTAAGACTTCTCTGCAGTGCACATCCACGATCCCCCTTGCGCGACTCTAGCTCACATTGATTCATGAATTCAACTTCAAATGTGACCCATTATATGTGTACTGTTATGTACAAATCCATGTCGTCGACCAAATTTCCAAATCTGTTCAATCTTCTGAATTTGTCTGAATAATAGCCATATTCAAAAGTTTCGATGCGTTGATAACCATATTTCATACTGAATATATGCATCGAATGTTAGTCATAAAATGATTACAGTAGATGAAAAAGTAAATAACGTTTTGTTATACATAATGAATTATTGGAAAAAGTGAAATCTTAAGTTATTGAACGATAAATCATGGAATGATCTACGTTAAACAACCGTTGAAAACCTGGAAACAGTAGATTTCCGTTTTGTTCCAGAATGGAACTTCTCATTAGTGTTCATCCATGATACCACATCCTGGAATCGAGTCCAGAATCTTCATTCTCACTCGTAAACGCTTAACTTCTAGACTAATGAGATAGTATACAACGAAATCCCATACTACGACGTAACGACCATCCGATGCTCCCAGGTTTTCAATATTGATCTAGCTAAGATAATATGGTAATTTAGAGCAAATTCTGTATATCATGATAATAATAATCATGTACTCACTATCGACTAGCTTCAAGATGTAAATCATGGACTTCAAGTATGAATTATTGACTAGTGGAGTTTATTCCGTGTTGGATGTGAAACAGTTATCCTCTACAGTTAGTAAATGAAAGATTAAACGATATCGTGGATTAATCAAAGCTAGACATTAACACGGTTGGATCACAGCTCAGTAGTTTAGATGTTAAACGTTCGTAAGCAAGACCGTAAATCTCGAACTCAATTCCTGAGTGCGAAGTCATAGATGCTTACTGCTGAGAAGTCTCATGCTACAATATAAAAGCCATTCATTACTTTCAAGTTTTCAATGGCTGTCTAATTTAGATCGGTTCATAATCTTAATGGAACTCGATAGTCCCTACAACTCTATACTGACAGTATTATAGTAGAAGTCTATTTGGCAAATTTTTATGCATTTTGTTTTTTAGAAATATACTATTTGAAAAATAGTGTTAACAATATTAATATAACAAAAAAACCTTGATGATAACGTTAAATACTACTTATTAAAATGCTATACATAATCGAATGCTTATTAACTTACTTCAATTGATGTACCCGTTAAAGCTTGTGCAAGATCCTAAAAAAAATAAAGTAGATTGTTCAATTAATAAAAATATAATTTATGACAGTATTAATAAAAGATAATAGTATGATGTGGGCTACTTATATCCACATAAGTAGTATGTGACGATGATTGAGCATGGAATGTATTTCAGTAGAAGATCAATAAGGAGAGAACGGCAACAGAACAAAATCTGTATGAAAATGTATGAACAATAATAATAAGAAACTATGAACTGATATTTGCAGAAGGAATAGTCAAGATTGAGACAATTGATAGTTTGCAAATTAACTGTTTACCATATGAATTCAACTTCGTATTGTTTGTTTGAATCTTCCCATCGATTTGTTAGGACTGCAACTGGTCAGTCTCTAATTGGCATATGTGCATACTGTGCGTATTGCCTCGATATACCTTAATTCACAAGCATGGTAAGCAGAGATGGATAGTGGCTAGCAGTGGAATCCCAGAGTGAACATCAACTCTGAGATGCAGGTACATCCAGCTGACGAGTCCCAAATAGGACGAAACGCGCGTCCTGGATTCCACTGCTAGCCACTATCCATCTCTGCTTACCATGCTTGTTTACCATATGGTTATCAGATTTTAGTGTGATATTTTGCAATTTTCGTATCGAATACATTCAAATTACCTCACCTGTATTCTGTTCATTACAATAGTAGCCAATTTATTAGAATAAATACTATTAACTAATCTCTAAGATTCAACTCAATCATTAATATTATTAGTCAGTTTATTTGAAGTCCATAACCATCGAGAATAATAACTATTCAATAATGAAGGGATGTACTGGATTGTGTTCATTTCTCATATCATTTTACTAAAAAATATTTATAGGAAACATATTACCATTTTATTATTACCATAGTAGTTAATTGTTCATGAATAATCATGATAAGATTTGTATGTATTGATTTTGGATAATTGAGAAACCTTGGCTTATGTTTAGTTCTAGTTGTTAGGGACTAGAAAGTTATTTATTCAGTCTCTCGAGAACTGATTATTATTATAATTATTGCGAAGACCAAAGAACACATTACTCCGGGAAATAGAAGCAGATTTGAAAAGGATGAATGTTAACTGGAAAGAACTGAAAAGGATTGCCCAGAACAGGGTTGGATGGAGAATGCTGGTGTGTGGCCTATGCTCCTTTACGAGGGGTAACAGGCGTAAGTAAGTAAGTAATTATTGCGTTATTTAAACTAACAGTTTTCAATGTTAGAATCAGAAATGTCACGATTGAGTTGTTCAAAATACTGCTGATCAATTTGCTTATCACATTCAATCACTTGAGATTAAACAGACTACACGTAATATTGAACATTTAGACTGTTAATAATCAGACATGATTGTTCCTTCATTTCCATACAGATCACCCTCTGTTCTCATTCTCTTCACTTTGATTTACTCAAGCTTATGCCACCAGGCATTCCATTTCCGATTGTTGATACATACTATTTATATCTGTCAACATCAGCAGCACATACCACACTCATATCCGCCATTATATGCAGCATACACCACAGTAGTATTCTCATTTTTAATTTACTAACTACTCTAAGCTAGATCAATACTGAAAACCTTGAAGCATTGGGTGGTTATTCCGTCTCAGTATGGGACTCTGTTGTATGCTCTCTCAGTAGTTTAGAAGTTAGGCGTATGTGAGTTAGACCGGAGATTCTGAACTCCATTACAGGATGTGATATCGTCGATGCAAACTAATGAGAAGTCCTGTTCTGGAATTAAACGACTATCCATTGTTTCCAGTTTTTCAATGCTGATTTAGCTAAGATTAATTCATGATTTAAAACTACTGGTTTTGAATCAGGGTTTTCCAACTACCCTATGTGGATTCTACGTATTCACCAACCTGGTTAACTAGCTAGATGTTCGTTTTTCGTCCTCTCAATCTCGTAAACAACACCTCCGGTGGCGCGAGAAGGCAGTGAGCTGGACTTTCCTGCCAGGGGTTGTATGCACGTGGCTATATGAGAGCATTTTGAGAGGTTGAGCTGACTCTTCCCTTCCTCGGGCGTATCAGGGTATTTGGAGGCTCTTAAGTTCAACAATTAAGTGGACTATCTCAGTGAAACAGTACATAAGTTTATATGCAATAATATGTATATAGGATGAAAGAAATTGAATAATGGGGTAACTGGGTTAGACTGATTTACTAGTGAATGTTTGAGAATTACTCACATTGATTAGATGCGTTCACTTACTTTAAATTTTCGATGATACATTTTATAGGTTGTAGCTCTGTTTTGTAACTCATCTGTTATTATCTTTAATCTAGATAATTCAGAACGAATAGTTTCACGTTCTGCTGTAACATCTAAAAGTATCGGGTTCTGTGAACAAGTACATACATAAAAAACAAAAAAAATATAATTCATGTTTAAAAGATCTAATCAGTTAGTATCATATTTAGTAAATATTGTACTTAGAATAATGGCAGAATATAATCAATCAATTGTGATTACATCTCAGTCCTAAAGGAGGTCGACTGCAGCCCGAATAGCTCAGTGGTAATGTCTCTGACTGTGAAGCTGAGTGATACGGGATTGAATCCGTCAGGGAGCACCAGTTCCTTCAAGATTACAGGTACACTTTGCTGACCAGTGCCAAGTAGCACGAAACCTGGGTCCAAGGTTTCCTGTTGACCACCTCCAACCACCATCTTATCTCAACATAGTGCACGTAATATCGAGCCACATTGCAACTTGATCGATAGCATTCGATCAGCACTAAGAAGGACTTGACACGCATGACATTGATCACCACCCAGTGATCAATCGATTGTGATAATCTAACAAATAATCAAAGGAACTCTCAGAACACTGGACAGCTATAAAGTATTTTTTCTGGATGTATTCAGATAATTGAATGTAATGGTTCACTTTGAGACTTTCATTAAGACCTTTAGAATCTATCAAGAGTATGGTACCTTTTATAATGATAGTTAACTTTATTTAGTTCCTATGGGAGTTCAGGCTCTTGATTGCGATGAATAACCGTGAAAACACCAATAAACTGGGATCAAATAAATCATTTACCGAAGGACAGCAGTATTAGTTATAAACTAATATGTTTAAACTTATATGGAAATAATGTTAAGACAGTTGAATAAACTAATAGTCGAATTAAAAAGAGATAAAGTTTTCCTTTCAAATCTACGACGATTATACACATGGGTAGTATATTGAAGGGTATCAGTATAAGATGTACCATATATGTTTAAAGTATGTTTAACCTATATGGTTGTTTATGCATTTTTCAATTAAAGCTGTGAATAACTAGATATTGATAGAAATTGAATCACCACATACCGATTCTGTGTTAAAGTCAAAATCCAGAGTCTAATTTACAAATGTAACAGTTCTCAGAGTTTTGATATTTTGAAGCTATAGGATAAAGATGAGCCAATAGATAATAAAATGCTCTTGAGGCGGGGTCGTAGATGCGCACTGCTGAGAAGTCCCACAATAGGACGAAACGGCCGTCCAGTACTTCCAGGTTTTTCATGGTGTTTTAGCTTCAATTGACTCATGATTTCAACTATAACAAATTGAAATGTTTACTCTAATCGATATCCATCTATTGATCAGTCAATATCAGATTAGAATCTTAGATTACTATAATTCAGTCTAAGTTACCACAACCCTAGCCACCATATCGATAGAGGAAACAATAAAAATGACAAGCTGAGGAATATGAATAGCGTTAACTACAAAATAACTCCGAAACCGAAAAGTAAACTTCAAGAGAAATAAATCCGATTAGGAAGTTATAATTGAGATTAAACTCAAGATTTAAAGTAATATAGAGAATGAATGCTACTGAAACTAATCTCGTGCTACGCTGACCTATTTTTCCAATCTCTGTTTACGATTACTGTGGAAGTACGGACCAAAAATCCTCCACCTAGAGACAGGCTTTAAGCCATTAATTATTGACTTCATAGACTTTAAGACAAATCATGAATTTATGTCTTGATATACTTGTATCTAGTTTTCAAGAAATCAACATCTATGTTAGTCAATATTTCATATTGTCGTGATCAACAGTAATAGTTGTGCGAGAAGGTTACCTCAAAATAATTAAATCAGATTAGTCATTATTTTATTACCATAGTTCAGTATTAACAATCAACATCGTAAAAATTGACTTGGTATTGTTTGATTGATTGTCCGATTGATGTTTACGACTGCGATTGATCAGTTTCTTATTGGTATTTGTTCATACTATACGCATTGCCTCGATGTTACCTTAATTCACAAGCATTGTAAGCGAAGATGGATAGTGACTAAAAGTGGAATCCAGTTTTACGCGCGTTTCGTCCTATCTGGGACTCGTCAGCTGGATGGACTTTCATCACAGAGTTGGTGTTCACTCTGTGACTCTAACCCAGTACCATTCACTTCAAACACCATCGCGTTATCCGCTCAGCTACTGAGTCCTGATAGCCATAGTACTGTTAGCTCTATCGAGGGAATACGCAAGGTATAAACATATGCCAATAAGAGACTGATCAATTGCAGTCCTAAACATCAATGGAAAGATTCAAGTAAACAACACCAAGTGAATTTAAACTTCACCTCATTTCATTTCGGATCAGCACCTAAGTGGATAGCACGATGGCATTTGAAGTGGATCATACCGTGTTCGATTCGCGAAGTGATCATCACCTGTGAGATGCAGGTATATCCAGCTGACGAGTCCCAGATAGGACGAAACGCGCGTCTTGGATTCCACTACTAGCCACTATCCATCTTTGCTTACAATCAACATCTTAGTTTACGATTTTTTTAATATCGGTATTGGGAGGTATTGTGAAATTCAAGTAAATTAATAAATTATAAAAGTCCAAGGAATGTAAATTCATGCTATCTATCTATATAATTGCGTTACATAACAACTCAAAAATTGTCACTTATGGTTGATTTCAATCTTGAATAATCCTTAATTCATCTTTTTATTGTTTGTTTGAATATTCCTATTGATATTTAAGACTACAATTGATCAGTCTTAGAGTGAACATCGACTCTGGGATGTACGTACATCCAGATGACGAGTCCCAAATAGGACGAAACCCAAGTCCTAGATTTCACTGCTAACCACCGTCCATTTTTAAATAATTCTGTATTTTGAAACTTTCTCCATCTTACTAGTTCAAACTATCTCTTTAATGATTAACGAACAGTAAGGGTATTGAACAGAAACTAAATACTGTGATCTAAAATTACATGATTCAATGTATAGATTACTACTTTATGAATGCAATAATAAATAGAATTACTTACATTCACAGCTTGTTTTACTTCTTTAATATCATGAATTAATTCATTGACATCTTTTTCCAAAGAACCAAAAAATTTATCAACACATACATCACGATCACCAAGTGCTCTATCCATAGCATTTTTAGCTCGATCAATAGATGGTATAAGAGTCTTAAAGATGAAAGAGAATATTCAACATTATTTATATATAATTAACATACCATGTAACTGGATTCATTATGAAACATGAGGACTCAAAAAAACATCTTCACTTGTTTAGATCTTGAATTTATCCAATCAAAGACTAGAAGAAATGATTGCAGTGATTATAAATGCCTATGTGTATGCCTATGGGTATACACTTACACATTACTTACTTACTTTACTTTGTAAGTAATGTGTAAGTGTATACCCATAGAAATTCATCGTAAAGTACGCTGAAATGAATGAACACGTCTGGTACTGAACAGTTCACAAGAAAATCTCCTTCATATATCTTGACTTTGAAGAAAGTAGAACCATTGGATAAATCAGTCATAGAATTAACGGCATGAAATGACATGCACAGTAAAACAAATAAATATATCGTCGAGTACTCTTTTTTTAGTTTCTCCAATCCGACTTTTCAATTTGCTTATACATTCCAAGAGTATATACATTGAAAGAACAGAGAGGGAGGGATACATTTTTGTATTTGTAAGTATGCCCTAAACAACTTGAGATTAAAATATCCCACAGCCTTAAACAGTTCACTTGCTCGACATTAAACTGGCAATTGAGAATCATAAATCTTCGGGTTTTTTTTCCCATATTTTTTTATGATTCGTTAATATGGGATCATGAATAAGAACTCATTCCTTCTAGAATTCAGATAAACAATGTAAGTATTTTTCAACGGAAGAAATGAACCTAATATATTAGAATATTGTCAAATCTTTATTTTTATTATCAGAAAGGGTTTTGTGGAGATTTAGTATTTTCATAGCTGAAATCATGAGTCAATTGAAGCTAGACTACCATGGAAAACCTGGAAGCACTGGACGGCCGTTTGACTCACGCTTTCAACTATGAAAATACTAAATCTCCACAAAACCCCTTTTGATAATAATAATCATATGCTCACTAGTGACTGACTTCGAGAGGTAAATCCAGGAGTTCTAGTGAGAAGCAGTAATCAGTGGAGTTCAAACCACGTCTGTTGTGAGATATCAACTCACTGAAGACAATTGGTGAACGGTTGCTCAACTTCATCGATCAGTTGAAGTTAGACATTAACACCGTTGGATGCCGGCTCAGTGATCTATTAGTTAAGTGCTCTGCCGTGAGACTGGTAGGTCCTAGGTTCGAATCCCGTTCGCGAGGCGGGATCGTGGATGCGCACTGCTGAGGAGTTCTATTATAGGGCGAAAAAGCCTTAAAGCAGTGCTTCCAGGTTTTCCATGATGGTGTAGCTTCCATTGATTCGCTCTTTCAACTATGAAAATCTTTATTTAATGACAATATGAACATACTTGATAGATTGCATAATCTTCTGGTGGTACTGGAATAATGAATGATTCAACCATTTCATATAGTTCTTTAATAACTTCAGCTTCTTTTTCAATTGGTTCAATCTAAAATTAAATAAATAAATTTTTTGAGAAGTTTAATTGTAAAGAAAAAATGAAATTTACAGTTGAACAGACATAGCAATAAAAATGTAGATAGATGGATATACAAATTACTTATTAACGCCTGTTAACTCTCATGAAGTAGCATAGGCCGCCCATGAGCATACTCCATCCAACACTATTCTGAGCAATTCTTTTCAGTTCTTCCCAGTTGTTATTCATGCTTTTCATGTCTGCTCCCAACATTTGACGCAGCGTATTCTTTTGGTTTTCTCTTTTCCTCTTCCCTTTAAAATTACAAGTTAGCACTTATCTCGTGATGCAGTTTGATGATTTCCTCAATGTATGTCCCATCCATTTCCACTGTCTCTTCCTAATTTCCCCTTCAACTGGAAGTTGGTTTGTTCTCTCCCACAGTAGGTTATACCAATAATATTCGGTTAACGGATATTGAGTGTCTTGAGTAGACAATTGTTTATAAATACTTTTCCTGTTTTGATGATGATTATAGTAGTTCTCCATGTTTCAGCTTCATACAGTAGAACTATCTTGACGCTAGTATTGAAGATTGCGACTTTGATATTGGTTGACAATTGTTTTGAGTTCTATATGTTCTTCAACTGTAGGAATGTTGTTGTTGCCTTGCCAATCTTTGCCTTTACGTCTGCACCGGATCCTCCCCGTTCATTGATGATGCTACACAGGTGTGTGAATGTTTCTACCTCTCCCAGAGTTTATCCATCAAATGTGATTAAGTTGATATTCTCCATGTTGTATTTGAGGATCTTACTTTTTCGCTTGAGCATGTTGAAACCTAATGATGCAGAGACTGTCACTACACTAGTTTTCTTCATGTGCATTAGTTGACGTGTGCGCCGTAGAAAGGTCAGGTGAAATCAAATGACATTTAGTATGAGATTAAAACAGTTTAAACATATTTAGAAAACGACAAGTTTATTATGCAATGTTTAATATAAATTATGTAATTAGATTATAGATTTTAGAGTATAACTCAAATGTAGAATAATTCTTGAAATGGATTTAATTTATAAATGAAATGACACAATAACTTTAAAATTGATGTGAATGATTATACACTATGTCCTCATGCAATTGTACACTTAATGAACAGTATTGTATTTATTAAACAATTGTCTACTCAAGATAGTAAATGTCCGTTGACCGGATGCCATCAGCAACAGTCTACTTTAGGAAAGTCAGTTACGAGTGCTGTTAGAGGTATGACGCAGTTATCACTTTCCGTTTACCCATATCGTAAAAGGGTTCTTCTAGAGGTATCTGAAAAAGAAATTGGATTAGGGGTGGTCTTATTGATCCGAGAGCTTGACCGCTGTGCCAAGGGAAAACTGCTTGAGGTCAGTCACACATGACTTTTTTGTGGATAATTTTTGTGTTAGCTCCATACTTGTTGGGATCTTACCGCCGGAGACAGATATCCGTAAGATAAGGAGAGGTGTACATTTTTAGGCTCGATCTTTTCTAACCCTACCTCTCCTTGTAGGAAGGCAGCATCGCTGTTATGTTGGTTGTTTGAAGGAAATACCTTCCTGCTGTCACACCTCTATACAGTCAGCAGTTCGACTACGTCTTCGGACCTTGGGTTCACAGCTTTTAGTCTCACTGCTCTTCAACCGACCTGTCTAGCATGGTAGGACCTTGAGGAATATAGCTCGATTGGTTCATCACGATAGGCAAGTCCAACCACTACGTCAAAGTAGCAGCAACGGTCCGGACTGTGGGAGAGAATAAATCAGCTTTCAGCTGACACAAAAATAAAGAAAAGGCATACATTATGGAATACATCAAACTGCATCATGAGATAAGCCATAACTTGAAATCTTGAAAGGAAACAGAAAAGAGAAAGGCTAAAGAATATATTGTGTCGAGAATTGGAAGTAGACATGAAAGGGATGAACAGCAACTGGAAAGGATTGCCTAGATCAGAGTTATATGGAAAATGCTGATGGTTGATGTATGCTCCTCCATGAAGATTCACAGTTGTAAATCAATAATTGTAAATTATTAAATATTAAATATTGAATAATATCTTACTCTATTTTGTATTTGATTTAAAAATATAAAATAATTAACATAATCCAATGTATTCGATGGTAACATTGATAATGTATATTCAGCTTCTTGGGTTTCATTAATTAATCTATTCATTTCATTATGTATATATAATGGTAATAAATGATGTAATATCATTAAACATTTATTAGGTGATGGTAATAAACATGTATGTAATGCTTTAGTATCCATTAAAAATAATCCAATTGATTTAGTCATGGGTACAAGTTTAGCTATTTTAATTTGACGATGATATTTGAGTAGATTTCGTTTAAAATATTGTAAAGCTTTGAATAGAAGAAGAAAGAAAGAAAGAAAAAAAGATCAGTGAATGTTTACATTTTATTCATGAGTTAAATGAAACTCGACCATCAGGGAGGACCTGAAAGGACTGGATGACCATTTTGTCCTATTGTTGGACTCTTCAGCAATTTACATCCATGATTCCACCTCGCGAGATTCGAACCCAGGACATATCAGTCTCGCTCCAGAGCACTGCTGAGGAGTCACACAATAGGACGAAACAGTTGTACAATGTTTCCAGGTTTTCGATGGTGATTTACTTTTAATTGATTCATGATTTTAATTATGAAAAATACTGAAATCTCCACAAAACCCCTTTGTTTACGTTTTTTATTGAATAAATATCCAAATTGAATGATTTATGAGACAGTATAATTTAGTATAACTGATAGTTAGAAGTTATAATTTCATAGAGTTTTATAAACCTAGATGGATAGTGGTTAGCATTGGAATCCAAGATACGCATTTCATTCTATTTGGAACTCGTCAGATGGGTGTACCTGTGACACGAACCTAGTACTGTTCGCTTCAAATGTCATCGTGCTATCCACTTAGCTACTGAGTCCTGATAGCCATCTGCTTGTGCAATGCGGACAGGTTTAAATTCACTTGGTATTGATAGGTTGAATCGTCCTATTGATGCTTAAGACTGCAACTGATCAGATCAAATAGGATGAAACGTGCGTCCTAGATTCCACCGCTAGGTACTATCCTTCTTTGCTTATAATGCTTGTGAACTAAGGGAACATCGATGCAATCTGCACATTAGCACATATGCCAATAAGAGACTGATCAATTGCAGTACTAAAAAAGGTAGAAGCAAACAACATCAAGTGAATCTATAGAATTTTAGTTGACTCTAGTTTATACTCTAGGAAATTCATTGGAATTCAATGAAAATGCTAAATAATGTAGTATGATTGAATAACCAACACGTGCTTCCTTAACACTTGACTAGCTTACTATGTATACATAGAGAGATTAAGACTTAAGTAAGAAGCTTTATTTACCGATATGATGTGAACTAGGGAGTTTCATTAACCGGACAACTGATTCAGTCAGTCATGATCAGTGTAGAGTTTGGCATATATATTCTCCATTAATCTTCTCTAACTAAATTAGAATTTTGTGAAAAAGATGCTACTTCAAGGTATTTAATTCGACAGTTACTCAATGCTTCTTTCGACGACTCATCTTGTTTATTTACTCCGTAAATAGTTATGTGTTACATATTTGAACATCTTCAGGTTTACGGATAATGTACTTAACGGTAAACAATCATCACCTTGGATTATATTGACCTGGCTTGTGAAATATTCATACGAACTCGATTAATATTTGTACATTGGCTAAAAAATTTATGTTTTGCACGAGATAAATCCTGATAATGTTGGTTAGAATGTTAGTGAAGTCTTTGGAATTACATAAGCCGGCTCATATCATAAAATGGCATGCTTGCTAGTTGACTTGTTTTAGTTTTGATTAATAATAAATTGGTTTTCATTTGACTTATAATTAGTAATCGCTACAATGATTGTTTGTTTAGCATAGATAGTTTCTACCTTTGTTCAGATTAAATCTGCCTGTAGCACTTCTAGAGTTACTGCCAGTTCTAAGTCCAGGTAAAGGAGGAGAGTTGAACATGGATCAACAACCCCAAAAACGCTAACCAGAATAATTAATTTAAACCACTTAAACTCTGCCCCACGAGTTCAAAGAAGAATTATGACGTCTCATGATGAAAGACCAGATTCTTCAGAAGTCACGAGGTCGATGCCCATTCTAACAACCAGAGCAACAATTAATATAGGTACACTGAATGTCTGGATAACTTGAGAGACTGGGTGGATCAGTCAAACAGCAACGGAAATGAGGAGATACAACTTGACAGTACTTATGTAGTAAACTATCAATCAATTGTCTCAATCCTGACTGTTCCTTCTGTAAATATCAGTCCATAGTCTCCGATTATTATTGTTCATGCATTTTCATATAAATCGCATCTCGTTTCCGTTCTTTTGTTATCCAACTTCTGCTGAAATACATTGTATGCCTAACGATTATCTTATACTACTTATGTGGATATAAGTAAACCAAAACACACTCAGAACTAGTGAAACTCATTGGATCCAAGCTGAACAAAGAACAAACTAACTTCCATCTAAGGAAGAAATTAGGAAAACACACTGAAAGTGGATAGGACCTAAATCACAGAAATCATCTAACTCCATCACTAGACTAGCATCAACTTGAAATCTTGAAGGGAAATGAAAAAGAGAAAGACCAAAGAACACACTGCGTCAGGAATTAGAATTAAATATGAAAATGATGAATATCAACTGAAAAGAACTAGATAGTATTGCATAAAACGGAATTGGATAGAGATTGTTGGTTGGTGGTCTATGCTCCTTAACGAGGGGTAACAGGCGTATGTAACTAAGTTGCTCATATCGATACTCAAGATATATTTGTACTTGTAGTGTTATGAACAAGTTATTTATTTCAGTATTCATAGTAATCAATGTTCACTATAAACAAGATCATGAACTCATTACGAAAAAAATAATTGAGAACTCACTTTCATTAAGACGTTCTACATGATTCATTCCATTAATCTTTGCTAAATTACAAATGAAGGAGAAAAAAATTTAAAAGAAAAAGGATAATCAACAGATAGATCCCTTGTTTTTGTTTTAAAATATCTTTCCTATTTTAGATGATCCAAATGTATGTTCTGATTGGATTGAAGTAATTTGAGAGAAGAGGAAGATCAAAGAATACAATACGCCAAGAAATAGAGACAGATATGAGAAGAATGAACAAAAGTTGGATAAAACTAGAAAGGAAAGCATATGACAGAGTGGGTTGGAGAATGCTGTTCAGTGGCCTATGCTCGATTGGGAGTAACAGGCGTAAGTAAGTAAGTTAGTAAGTAAGTAAGTAAGTAAGTAAGTAAGTAAGTAACTAATTTGAGAAAAGTAGACATTTTAATTCAGTTTATGCACATGTCAATGTTGATAGATAATGAGAATGTAAAGTTATTTCACTATAGGAATCATTGATATAAAAGAAAGCTCAGAAAACATTGTTGAATGTAGATAATATCTGTTTCCTCAGCTCTCATAACTTAAATGTCTTTTATTTTTTGCATTTTATATGTAGTCAGTCAGTTAGTCGCCTACAACATAGAATCAGGCACTCATATGCATCAGTCCAAGTTGCTATATCTCGTTAGCACAACAACATGAACATCGAATTCATAGAAGTAGTTAATTTAGTGGTGGTAATATATAAAATATAGGTTCTATATAAGTATATAGTACAAAAAGATAGAAACATATGAGGCAAATTTTATTCTCATAGTTTAAGGGAAGACAAATAGTGTATACACGTACACCATTGTGATCGAAACTGAGCCATGTCACCTAGAGTCTCCAACCATTGGTTACGATAGTCACACGGATCCCAAGCAAGTAGTCTGAATCTACCAACATGGCTCAGACTAGAAGTTAGTGACTTCAAGCATTAATGTCACATTTTGGTTTGACAGCCCCTAACTTTCTTTTAACCATCCCCTACACTTGTCAGCATAGCGCGTTGTGGTAATCGGTGTTCAGGCATACGTAACACGTGGCCCAACCGTCTCAATCGATGAAGATTCATCACCTCATCAATTGATTTACCATCATTCCCTAATACCCTGTGTCTAACCTCACTATTACTTACCCGGTGATCCCAGCAGATGAGAGCAATATTTCTAAGGCATCTGTGGTCAAATACTAGTAACTTAAGAGTATCCGTTTTATATGTAACAAGATTATGTAAGCAAATATATGTCATGTTAAAGTTTACCTCATATCTATGAAATTGGAAAGTTACAGTTCTGTATTTATAGATAAATGTAGAGAATGGACAAAACCTTCTTAGAAACTTAACTCTTCTATTGATCAGCAATCAGAAAACATGTTAACTCATCATTGAATGCAACGAATAGTAAAATACTGTAAGCTTAAAAATCAGATGACAGAATACCTACTCATTTTCCCTATCTATTTTTTTGTCGAACATTCTTTTCGTTTTAAATTTTAAAATTAAAAACCAAACGAATCATTTTCAAAAATTTCATGTAATCAGTTGTTAGTCAGCATTACAAATAAACAAAGACAAATAGTACTAACAATGAAAATCGGGATATGCGTTTCATCCCATTTGGGACTCGTCAGCTGGATGTACCTGCATCTTAAAGTTGGTGTTCACTTCGAGGCTCGAAACTAGTATCATTCGCTTAAAACGCCATCGCGTTATCTACTTAGCTATTGAGTACTGATAGCCACAAGTTTATGCAATGGGGTCAAGTTTAAATTCACTTGGTATTGTTTACTTGAATCTTCTCATTGATGTTTAGGACTGCAATTGACCAGTCTGTTATCAGCATATGTGCATACCGTGCGTATTGCCTTATTTCACAAACGAAAGGTACTGAGTTCGAGTCCCCGAAAAAACATCAATTCTGAGTTGCAAATATATTCAGTTGACGAGTCCCAAACAGAACAAAACGTTAGTCCTAGATTCCACTGCTAGTCATTATCTATGTTTGCTTATAATGCATGTGAATTAAGACAATAACGAGGAAATACGTACAGTATGTACACATAACAATAAAAGACTGATCAATTATAATCCTTAACATCAATAAGAAGATTCAAGTAAACAATATCATATGAATTAAACATTTCAAAATAATTAAATATAATCATAGTTGAAATCATGAGTCATTTGAAGCTAGACCATCATAGAAAACCTGGAAGCACTGATTTAAGGACATTTCATCTTATTGTGGGACTCCTCATCAGTACGCATCTACGATTCCACCATCAGATACTAGCTCAATAGTTTAGTGGTTAAGCGCTCGACCGCGATACTGATAAGTTCTGGATTCGAATCATGCAACGCGGGATTATGGATGCGTACTGTTGAATAGTTCCATAATAAAACGAAACCGCCGTGCAGTGCTTCCAGGTTTTCCATAATGGTCTACCTTCAATTAATTCATACTTTCAATTATGAGTGTACTAAATTCTTCACAAAATCTCGTCACCTTACTAATTCAATATAAGTAGTATAGAAAGAAAAACAAACAAACAATATTTTACCTAAATATTCATTTTGTATAGTTTCCATGGTGATTTCATTATTTTCTTGAAAGAATTTTTGTATTTCTTCAAATGTTTGTTTATAACAATTAACAGCTTTAAATGAATAATTTAATGAATATTGAATATTTTCAATAATTTTTTGTAATTTTATATCTTCTATAAAAATTTGTTTTAATTGTGGTCCATCACCACAAAATTTCTCTTCAAATTTATTATTAATTAATGGACGTGTAAAGGCGTCAAAATATGGATCAGATGTTAAATTTTTAATATTAAATATTTGTTCCTAAATAAAGAAAAAAAAATTAGAGATAAGATATATATATATGAATGGATCTAAGATAGATTACTTGTGATGATGGTCCATAAATGAAGTCGAGGAAGCTTTTAGAAGCCAACAAGGAACCCGACATATTCCATCCAATCAGGTTTGAGAAGAATATTCTAGAATTGCTACGTGGAACTTCCCTATTGGACAATACTAATAACTCCCTGTGTGTAGATTGGATAATTATAATGATGATTTTGTTTCTACTAAAAACTATAAATACCTGACAATGTTGTAACATAATCGACACTGTTTGGAATAATATTCTTTATACTTGCCTTCTGTCTTCCGATTTATGACTTGAGAGGTTCCTAGCGTTCGAGTGCTCAAGTATCGTTCGATAGACTAGAAAATCTAAGTTCGAGATACAACATTACTATTGAAAGCATGGAATCATTTAATGATTATCTCGTCTTAGTATAAAACTTCTTAGCAGCGTGCACGTGGAGCTCAAGCCCAGGATATTTAGTTTCATGCGTAAACGCCTAACCTCTAGACTCATGAAACGGCATCCAACGATGTTAATGTCTAACTTCAATTAATCTATGATCTTGCACAATCTTTTATCCATTATCTGAGGTAGATAACTGTCTCCAAACTACACGAATTGGATTTTACTGGTTACGAATTCAACTGTTATGATTACTACAATTTCTTTAAAATCCCAATTCTGTGTGTGCACTTTTGATTCCGCACGCGGAGCTCAAACCCAGGATCTTTGGTTTTGTACGCGAATGCTTAACCTCTAGACTCATGAGCCGGCATCCAACGATGTTAATGGCTAACTTCCATCAATCCATAATCTTGCGCAAACTTCATCTATTTTTCAGGTGGATGACTGTCTCTAACCTACACAGATTGAACTCTAATGACTACGATTTCATCTATTAAAATTATCACAGTTTCTACAAATCCCCATTTTGTGTGTGCACTTATGAATCCGTACGCGGAGCTCCAACTCAGGATTTCATAAAATTCATTAGACTAAATAAATATCAATCAAATGTAGAAAACTGATTTATATTGTATTTCTTCTATATCACTATACATATATGTACTACAAAGTGAATATCAAATCAATTCTAAACTCCTTTCTTTAGAAAACCATATACTTCAGTAGTGTAAACCTCATGTTGTTCGAAAAGGTTGATTATACTATACAATGACATCTTCTCATTAAGATTCTATTTATTGAAATACTAACAGATAACATTTAGACATTATCATTTGAGTGAATACAACTGTATTTGATTAAGGAAGGTTGTACATTTGTGGTGTGCGTTACTGATGTCGATAGATATATAAGTAGTATGTATCATCGATTGAAAGTGAAATGCTTGATGGCAGAATGTTAAGAAGATCAAAGAAAAGAAAACGAGAACAGAGAATGATTGGTCTGAAAGTGAAGGAACGATGAAGTCTGTGACAATTGACCGATATTTTGCAAATAAATTAATAATATATGGTTCTCAGATTGGTTCATACGTCATTTGTTCCTTTAGGATCCTGGAGTTCATGTGCACCACTGGTTTAGAATAAGGGTTTTTCGACTCCTCTCGTTTGACCCTTCGTGCCCACCAACCGGGTTAAAGAACCCGACATTCTCTTTTCGTCCTCTCAATCTTGTAAACAACACCGCCGTGAGAAGGCAGTGAGTTGGAATACCCTGGCAATGGCTATATACGCGTAACCTTGTGAGAGCATTTCATGAAGGAGAGCGGACTCTCCTTACCCACAGCTGGTATCATTTGGAGGTGAACAAAAAATCAATATTAACCATACATTCTATTATAAAAAAAAACATAACCACAAATAATTTACTTGAAATTTATTAATAATTTCCATAATTCCATCATGAAATAAAGATTCATCAGGAACTAATTGTAAACAAGATGGTTCCAATATAATTTCCAACATAAAAAGTGGTGATAATTTTAATTCTTCATCAATTTCATTACCAGATATGTTTATTTGAACCTATTCATTGAAGTATAAATAGTATATAATGAATAATTGAATGAATGTATAAAGAAGTGTACAATTATAGATAATGAGCTAAACGAGCTATTTCCTCAATTATTTTGTATTTGTAAATGTTTAAATGGGATAGTTCCGATGTTAATTAGTCGTCAGTCAGTCAAACACAACGTGAAATATGAAATAATCGTTCCTGACAACGATTTGCTATCATCATTGACTGGCAATCTCTAACTTGAAATCCGGAAAGGAAGCAGAAAAGAGGAAGGCCAAAGAACACATTACTCCGGGAAATAGAAACAGATATGAATAAAAACTGGAAAGAACTGGAAAGGAAGGTGTTAAGTCGGCTTCCCGCGAACTCCAACAGATCCCCCAGAGGCTCAAAAAGAGTCCCAACCAATCAGAGTACGACAGAACATTCTGGAGTTCCAACGTGGCACGCTACCATTGGTCAGTAGCAATATATGTCGTTTATTGGATTGGCTGAATTAGGATGTTGATTTAACTTAAGCAAACATCTATAAATACTTACGATTTTCTGTACAAAACTGATCCTTGCAGTAAAGGTTTTCTCTGCTACTCGTGTCTTCTCTCTGGTCTTCAAGTTGCTGAGTAGTGCTAGCCTGGGGTTATCCGAATAGCTTAGGATCTGAATAAGCGTTCAACCCACAAGACATATCAGAAGGCTTATGACAGAATTGGATGGAAAATGCTGGTAAGCGGCCTATGCTCCTCAACGAGGGGTAACAGGCATAAGTAAGTAAGCTGACCGTATCAGTGGTGTCCAAGAAGAGAATTTATACAATGTTAATGTACTACTTTTCTACATTTTCTAAAAATAATACTGCCAAATAACCTTACAATCAACAGAACCAAGTGCCGCTTTAACTACCGTTTCAGAAACTGAGGAAAGGTAAATGTTTAATGTATAAATCTATGTACAGATCTGTAACCAGCATGCTCTTGTCAGGTTTACTCTTCATTGAAGTTTAAACATTATATAATTATTGATTGTATGATTGCATAAAGAAATGTACAATCATAGATAATGAGTCAAATGTAAAAGGAATATTTCCTCAATCATTTTGTATTTGTAACTGTTTGAATGAAGCAATTCCAATATTATTGAGTTAACAGACAGTCAAACACAACGTGGAACGTGATACGTGTGTACATCAGTTCAAATTACTGTACCTTCATATAATAGCCAAATGAAATTTTGAGAGCAAATCCCAAGGTAGTAGAAATGGTAACAGTATTAGTGGGAGAAGAAAAATGAAAAAAATAAACGATACAATTTACCAAAAGAAAAACTGCTGTAATACAAAGATTGTGAGCCATCTCATTTATAGTTTCTAGTCCCTCGTTACGATAATCACGCCAACATTAACCACATAGTCTAAACCTGTTAACACGGCTCAGTCTACTTGTCAGTAACTTCATGCACTGGTGTTATGTTTTGGTTTGGCCATCTTTAGCTATCTTCTGACATTATCGTAGGCGGTGGTTGGGTATAGGTCGCATACATCTCAACCACCTCATTCGACAAAGATTTACCACCACATCTATCGATTTGCTACCTTTTCCTAGTTCCCTGCTCCCAAACCAGAAATTGTTTACTCTGTGGTTTCAAAATAAACAAGCAGTGCTTCGAAAACGCCCAAAAAGTAGAACAGAGAGAACTTTTGAGCAGTAAACTCATCTTTTGGTCGAGAGACGAATATTTTGTCTACACCACAAGTGATGCAAGTTGGCACAGCAAATCGAGTCTTCTGAATACTTCCCAAGTTTTTGTCAGACACCAGTCCATAAGGACTGATGAGACACCAAAAACAAATGAAGTGGTTCATACGCTCGAGTAAATCATTCTCTATCATTAATTCTGAAGTTATATTTTACATTTGGAGGGAGAGAATCTTATCCTAAACATGCTTGTATTGTTAAGTAAGGTGATCAGATGACTATGGATATTTTCAGAGTCATCATCAAGCAGAACTATATCATCTGAGTATTTTAAGTCAACAAGCGAATCCCTGAAAATTCTACTTATCAAAGCATTATCGCTAAAAAACATGTCTGTGATAGAGTTAAATGAAAATGTTGAAAACGAAAAACTCTGAAATTATCGTTCCCAACGACAATTTACCATCATCTCTGACCTGATCAATGGTATTCAAGTAGAGAGTTTGTACAAGGTTATTGTATTACTTTTCTACACCTTTCAATAAAAATACTATCAAAGAACCTTACAATCAACATAGCCGAATGCCGCTTTAACTACTGTTGGATATCGAAAAAGGCGTCTGTTTCAGAACCTGCCGAAAGATAAATATTTGATATATAACTCCATGTGCATAACTGAAACCAACATGCTCTTCTCAGGTTCACTCTTGACGAACTCTAGTTGGATGTCAAAATCTTGTTGAGGCTAGTATTTTAGACACTATATAACTCAAACTGATTTCTATTTGATTGTTACAAGACAATTGCTATACTTTCTTATAGAGTGAGAACCATTGTATACACTTACACCATTGTGATCGATTTCAGCCATGCCACGCAGAGTCTCCAACCACTGGTTACGATACTCACGCGGAACCCAACCAAGTAGTGTGTATCTACAAACGTGTTTCAGACTAGAAGTTAGTGACTTCAAGCACTGATGCTACGTTTTTGGTGTGACCGCCCCAACTAAACACCGATATGTCTACTGTTAAAAATGTTTGTAAATACTCTTTTTAGAAAAACTGTAGGGACTGATACTATGTCAAGTACGCATAGGCTATTCTAGCCTATGGACAGACCAATTTATTCATTCTTCTAAAGCCACATTTCAACCTTGTCACGTATTCGCCAATTAATCCTGACTGTTTTTATTATGGGATTGTATGTATGCTAATCACTTATCTTATTCATTATGGGTCTGTAACTTATTTTTCTTCGGCTATATGACTCAATTGCCTTCTCTATTGTGCGTCATTTTGTTTCGCTTCGCTTTCTGATTAATGATTGTATTCAAATATCCATTCTCGTATTTAACTTATTTAATTCCATTATTCACTAAGACGAGTTAAGTCGATCATCCTATACGAGGGTAGCCGGGATGTATACTTCGATAGCAATCATTCGTTAACGATCATTCTAACTGAAGTCAGGTATTCAAAAGTCACAAAAAAAAAACAAGAGCTGGATGCTAAAAGAATCAAGGTTTTGTTTCATCCATAAAATCACATGACTATTGATTACATCTAATATGATCCAAGTCAGTAAACATTTTCTTCATTTAATACGAATATGATTAAAAAGATCCTATCACACTATTATATCCTAGCGAAAAATTAGGTCTGGGTAACTTCCAGGACATATTGATGGACTACTATTCTATATATATATTCTTATTGATTAACTAATGAGTAATTAGATTGTGTATATCTATATTCATCTTACTATAAGCTTCATTTCGACCTATGGATTATTATGATACGAATTACTGTCCCTAAATTATATTCAGTTTATTGATTATTGTCTCCTACGTTCACAGTCGCATTTGGCTTGATCTTGTACAGACATTATTTACTATTTTATGGTGTGATGTGGTCTGTCTGGTATGTAAACCGAGTATGCTTGAAATAAATTATTCACATAGCAAAAGCTGTCATTGGTGTTTTTGGACTCAACTGGAGGAGCTAGGCGAACAAGGGAACAATAAAGACGCTAGATTGCTCATACGTCATTTTTTTGGCACAGTGTTAAGGTCGGGAGATCCTATTTCAATTGGTGGATAATTCACGTCAAAGAAGGCGAATACAAAATCAATAACGAATCAGCATACATCCTTTGTTTATTTCTTGTAAAGTCATAACCATTAGCGACGACCTTAGTCAAGTCATAACACACATCATTTAAAAGAAAAAAAAAACAGGTTAACTTACTGGTTTTTTAAAAGACTCTTTACGTTTCTCTGTACTACTTAAGCTTATATTTAAATCATTAGATGGAGCTTCAACTAATTCATCCACTTCAATTTTATATCCTTCAATTTCATTTAATGTTGGTGTATTATGTAAATGTTCATTGAAACAATCTAATATTGTATTAATGGAATTCACTGTTAATGTATGTAATGTACTAACAATAAGATAATCTGCAAGACGTATAAAACTATAAGATGAGTAAAAAAAAGCAAAACAAGTTTATTGAAGAAATAGTGTCAGTTTTTAAAATAATTTAATTAAGATGAACATTTAGATAGAAGGTAGTGGTAGGAGGTAGTCGACAGAAAACTCTGGAACTTAGTTCCATACTATTCAGCACTCATCAGCAAGGTATACATGTAATCTTGAAGGAATTGATGCTCCCAGGCGAATCCGATCTCGTGTTTCATCCCGTTTCACAGAGAGAATGCCACGGTGATATCCGGGTATTGACTGATCTCTTGTCTGATATTTTCTGTCACAACTTTATATCTCAACATAGTGCACATGTTGTCAAGTCACCTAGACTAGTGGCCATATTAAAAATTGATCATTAAAATTCAATCTACACTAAGAAGGACCCGACCCAAATGAGATTGGTCACTTCTCAGTGATCCATTAACTGTAAATAGATATTCAAATGACTGACATTTCAAGGCTCAATGTAAGTTGTTCTTTACAATAAATTGGCAAGAATATTAACGAAATTTAAAACAAGGGGGTTTTGTTGAGATTTTAGTAATTTTAAATAGTTAAGATCATGAGTGACTGGCTCTATGAGGTAATTTCTGGAGTTCTAGTGAGAAGTCGTGGCTAGTGGAGCTAATCCATGTCAGGTGGAGACAGGTATCTACCTCAGTACAATGGACGTTGGTTGCGCAATTTCGTGGATTGGTTGAAGTTAGACATTAACACCGATGGATGCCGGCCGGCTCAGTGGTCTATCAGTTAAGTGCTCTGGTGCGGGACTGGTAGGTCCTGAGTTCGAATCCCGCGAGGTGGGGTCGTAGATGTGCACTGCTGAGGAGTCCCATAACAGAACGAAACGGCCGTCCAGTGTTTCCAGGTTTTCCATGGTGGTCTAGCTTCAATTGGCTCATGATCTTAACTATATGAAGTTTAAAACATTGGAAGTCGACTGAATTCAGACATTCAACAGTGTTTCCAGCAACATAATAGGTGGAAATTCAACCGACTAGGTGAGAACAAGTAAAAATAGCTATTATAGACATAAGACCTCTTACATATGAGGAGTTAGCTCCATTATATTTAGGTAACTTAATCTTTAATATACATTCATGAACTTATGAAATATACATATAACTAGAATCGGGACAAAACACAACAACAGCATTTGTAAACGAATGCATACTTATAAAATTAATCATAGGTAGGTGTCTACAATTTACTTTGTTACCTATGAAGTCTTCACAAATGATCCTAATCGCCAACAAATGTCAGCAAATATATACTCAGGTTTCGATAAGCTAGGTATCAACTTTTCTAAATAATGTTGTAGCTGTAAATAATTCCCCAAAATCAATAGCTTTGTAAGTATTCGACATTGTATGCTGACCACATTAGTCTTAGTGCACTTGTTTAGCTGAAGGCGTTCAGTTATGCATCCGTACCAGATCACGTTACATCTCCTACGATCATAAGCCAGATTAGATCAATCGCTTCTCAATATATTGATAACTCATCAAATATATCTTCCAACCCCTTCGCTTCTGACTTCTGATTTTAACTTGGTGGGGCACGATTCGTTTATAGAAGTTGTTACTGGTTAATAGTTGTCAAACTACAATACTGATGGTATCTTCAATGTACTGACTGATATTGAACTGATATGATGATCATTAAAATGAACAGTAATTAGATGTGAGACTACCTCCGACTTAATATAGTGCACAAAATAACGAGTCAACAGTAGCTACATTGAAACATGATCAAAAGAATTTGGTTGACAAAAAAAGAGTAGAGAAACATGACATTATTCACAACTCATTCATACCAAGTTAAACGTTGACAATATTGACGTTTCGTAGCCATTTCTGTAAAAGTCATTTTTTCTGGTGTATCTGATAATACTTCCATATCACAAGCTGAAGAAACATAGCTTGTTCCAATAACTAAAGGATCTGAAATAAGAATTAAGATACGAAACATGATTTCATCTTTATCTACATATATGAATGGATCTTTTCGAAAAAAAATTGGGGAAACTTAAAAGAGAACATCCACTAACTGAAGAGCTTTTAATGTACGTGCAACAAAAGTGTGAATACACTGTTTAGAAGTCAGAATCACAATTATCAAAACAAAAACAATCAGGATTTTAAATTTCTTTACATGATATTTCCGTTTAGACTGAATATTTTTAGCTTGGTCGGTTTATAAATAAACAAATTTCAACATCAATCAATTTTCGGTAAATAGTTTAACTACTTATAATGAAAAAAGTAGTTAAAGTAAGTTCATAAAATTTATTTGCAATAGGTCTTCTAAAGCATTTTTAATTTTTTTTTTTCATATACCTACAATTTATTTCTGCAACATGAAATAGTATTATTCGGTACGGCAATTATTTATTATCCTCATGGAAGCACTGGACATCCGTTTTATCCGAGTATAGGACTCCTTAACGATGAGTATCCACGATCCTTCACACAGCATTCAAACATAATATCTGTCGTTCTCGTATACTAACTCTTTACCTCTAGATCACTCCACAAAATCCATTAAAAAATAAAATAAAACATTGATTGAAATATAAATATTTTTTTTTAATAAATGAAAATTACCTGTTTTTAAATTTTCTATATTATCTCCATTATTTATTAAATAATCATCTGGTATAAAACCATATTCTAATAATGCTGTACGACATGCTCCACGTATAATTTCTTTAATCAATTCACGAAATTCATACAGTTTTGTACATACATTATTTAATTGTTGAATTTGATTAGTTAAAAATTCTAATAATGTATAAATTTTATCTTTATTTTTATTATTTAATTTACATAAATTCATTTCTTTAATACGATAACACATTTCATGAATATTTAATATAGCTGGTCTTAATGATGAATTTAATATAAATAAATTATTAATTAATAATTTTTTATTTTGTTCCATTTTTATATAATTTATAATTTTACGCCATTTTATAAAACCTTTCCATAAAAAAAATTTTGAAAATGTTGGTATCTATAGTGAAAAAAAAGAAAGAAAAATAAAAAAAAAAGAATTGATTTAAGAGTAGAAAAGGGGGGTGGAGAAACGGAAGGTGGAAGGAGGGGGGTTATCATTTTTTTTTCTTTTTTTTTTTACTTTTTAAATATGATTTTAATATTAAGAGTAAACCAGTGTAATTATTCCTAAACTGGATATTGACAAGATTATAATTTATGGATAAGCTAATCAGGTAATAACAAGTCACAGATTTTGTTGAGAAATTCATTGATTCATTTGAGTAAATAACATTTTGATATTATAGTTTATATTAGTTTGTAATGAAAACCATAAATTTAATTCCTAAGCATTATTTTTAACTGTAAATCATAAATCTATATCCCTGCACCGGTTTATAACTTTTAATAGAATCAAGTAAGTAGGTGGACATTTTCAAGATCACTTTGGAGTTATTCAAAGGTTGTCCATAAATTATAGTCCCACCGAGATATTAATTGACCATAAATTTGACTCCAGATATGTTGTTTGAATGATTGATATTGAGATATATTGATATTGACTTAATCAGGCGTATATAAATATTGAATTAACTGGTGTCAGTGTGTAACAGAATTAAATAAGTCAAATGCGAGAATGATTTACAAAGACGTATATTTCGTACACTCATCTATCCGGACAAACATTCACAAGGATAAAGCGAATAAAAAAAAAGCGAAGCGAAATGACGTCGAGCAAGGCAGTATAATTTTTGCCTTTTAGATATGTATTCAAAATTAAAAGTAAAGAAATCTAATAGTCTTAAAACTGAATCCTATTGAGAGTACTGACATGATTATAATTTATAGATGAACTAATCAGGTATAAGATAATAAGTCATGTATTTTATCAGGAAATTCATTTACTCATTTGGCTGAATACCATTTTGGCATTATAGCTGATGTCAGTTCGTGATGAAAAACATAAATCTTATTTTTAACCTTAACGATCAACTGTAAATCATATTTCGGCGGGACTATAATTTATGGACAATCTTTGAACGAATCCTAAGTGACCTTGAGAAGTAATAGCCAATCATTAAACAGTCATTAGACAATAAAAATTTATTATACAAAACCAAATCATTGAAATCGATACAGTTATTTTATATAGTTCAAAAAGTTAGAAAAAGTTTCAAAAGTTCCGAAATCGTAATGCTAATGGTAGAGGAACTCGCCCATAAAAGTCAGTTTTTGGAGCCATAATAAGATCATAAAAACTCTATCAGCCTCGACCACAGCTTCAATATTGTTTATGTGTACTTTGGTTGTGTAAGTTTGTCATTTTTATTATGGATATGTCCCTATAATACTCATACCACTGAACAGCCAAAGCTTTAGTAACATATACGATTATTACAGCCAATGTTACTGGTGCCTTTATTATACAGTTGGCGGTAATCATTATAATATTGCCTTAATCTCAATCTGGATCAAGCAATAAAGGTTCCTATCCTAACAAACGTCTTCCTTCAACATATATTACATAGAAAGACAACATGATGGTAGTCTTCACAAGGTCTACAAGTCATTTAATTACAAATAAAGGAACTTTTTAGTAGTCCCATTTATTGTAGTCGCTTAATTGTCAAGTCTACTCTAAAATCCTCTGTGAACCGATTGTACTTTAGCATCAGATACTGAGACCGGTTGCTGTGACCTTGAAATTCCTCAAACGTTTCTGATTGTCTTGTCCATAAATCATAATCTCACCCATATTTCTAATTCATCACACTGCTTTATAACTTTCGTTTCGTCGTAGTAGGTGACATTCTCAAGGTCACTTTAGCGTCACTCAAAAATCGTCCATAAATTATAGTCTCATCAAGATATTTAATGGCCTTAAATCTGACTTCAATTACATCGTATGAATGATTGATATTGAGATATACATATAGACTTGATTCGTGTACATAAACATTGACTTAACTCGCGTTAGTATATAATGGAAATAAGTTTAATAGGAGAATAGATTTTTAAATATACATATTTTGTACACTTATCAATCTAGACAGACAATCAGAGGGACGAAGCATAGAGAAGAGAAAGAAGGGAAATGACGCACAGTGAAGATGGCGGGTAAGCCAATTCTATTTAATCAACCGTTAGATAATAATTATAGTCACACAAAAATAAGCTACAAATATGTGATGAGTAGGATAAGATGTACAATCACACATATATTCATAAAAAAAACAGTCAGAGTTGATAAGTGGAATAATTCACAAGGTCAATATGTAACTTATGTAGAAAGAATAACTTTACAAATCCAATAGCTAGAATAAGGTATTTAGGCTTAAGGTAATAACCAACATTACAGATAACTGAATTTATTGCCCAAACTCGATGCAGGATCATCATCAATTTATAATAAATGAGTTGACAAAGTTTTTGAATTTAATTCAACAATGAAAGTTCGTTTGCTTCTTCAATGTTTTACTCGGTAGTTTGAAATATGTCAATTATAAATTATGGCTGATTAGACAATGAAATTTTGACGAATGTAAATTAGGATCAAGTGTCAAAACGACAAATTTTTGTTGATGATCTACTTTTCACGATGAGAACGCGATTGGTATAATGGAAACAATTATTATAATAACCAATTGTACCAGTGGTTTGTTTAACTGTATCAAAATCACTTTTCGTCCGCTGTCCATCTTGTTGGTTCGAACTTTCTTACGCTCTGACATTTTGCTTGTACTCTATGGCACGTCTTGGTATTCTTTCAATACTACGAGATCGCCAATAAATATACCTTATCTGGACCAATAATAACCTTCTGGTTTTCAGCCTATCGAGGGATTCAAGTCGTTATCTTGCGCGTAATCTTATTGTCGTAGTGATCATAGTCAATCGGGACTCGACTCCAACTACACTCTTTTGATAGTAGATACTTCAAGTGGTGTTGTATTCTATGATAATTGAGATTTACAACTTTCAGTATTAAGGCTATAAATCATACCATACCAGTATCACAACAAAATTATGTACTACTTCAAATAGTTTGCATATTATATATTTAAATGTAACCTCTCAGGTTTAGCAAACTAAAGTGTGATATGTTTTATAAGTAGTTATGCCCCTACAACTTCCTCGATGTCATTTAGTGACTACTATGCACATCGTTTGAAGTTGGCTAAAGATGAATACAAACCAAAACATCAATTAACAACTTCATTGAGTTAGAGTTTAAACTATCTATGGGGATATAGATTTTTTAAGTGAGGTCAACTCTACAAATTAAATCAATGGTTGATTACCTTAAATCATAAGGCCCAAAACTGATTGTATTGCAGATTTCTATATCTCTAATTTCACCCTATATATTACATACATACATTTGATTATTTACACCGAAATTGTATTCCCTTTGTTTCATAATGGTATTTTTTTTATTTCAATACATAAATATTGGTACAAAAAGGCACCAGATACATATGCGCCGCACAAATCTCATTCGATTTGTATGAGGGCTGCGATACTGTCCAGGTGCCCAAACTGAAGCAGGTGGTTTTCTTAGAGGGCGACACTCGGAGCCTCCGACTAAAAGATCTGATCGACAGGGCAGTGGAGCATCGTGAGGAAATGCAGTCCCATAGAAGCCGGTGACAAAAGATTGATTCATACGCCATTTGTTCCCTCAGGATATTCGAGCCCATGTGCACCATTGGTTTGGAATCAGGGTTTTCCAACTCTCCTAGGTGAACTTTCCGTGTCCACCAACCCTGTGGAAGCGCCGGACATTCACTTTTCGTCCTCTCACTTTCATAGACAACACCTGTGGCGCGAGAAGGCAGTGAGCAGGACTTCCCTGGCAGAGTCTATATATACGCGTGGACATGTGAGAGCATTTGGAGAGGGAGAGCGGACTTTCCCTACTCTCGGCCGTACCAGGGCATTTGGGGGCCAATGGTACAGAAACGTGCAAAAAAGTGGTTAATATACCAGTTTAGAAAACAATTTCCATTTCATTAGAGACTTGTCAAAAAAGATGTATCTTTGTTCTAATGTTGATATTCACAGTGGAAATTAAATACAATACTCAACAATTTAACTGCTGATGTGTTATCTATTAAAGTTCAGAAGGAGTTTTTGTGAACATTTCAGTATTTTCATAGTTGAAATCATGAGTCAATTGAAGCTAGACCATCATGGAGAACCTGGAAGCACTGGACGGCCGTTTCGTCCTATTGTGGGACTCCTCAGCAGCGCACATCCTCGACCTCGTCTCGCGAGATTCTAACCCAGGACCTACCAGTCTCGAGCCAGAGCACTTAACCGACAGACCACTGAGCTGGCCGGCATCCAACGGTGTTAATGTCTAACTTTAACCAATCCACTATGTTTGAGCAACCGTTCTATTAAAGTGTAGATATAAAAAAAAACACAACCCAGTTAACTACTTACCTGACATATTTGTTTAAATGTTTTATATTCTTTTTCAAAATGTTCCAACGTAATATGTTCTATATCATCATTTGCTATTAAATGTGTACAACCATTTAGGCTTAATGTATAATAATCATCACGATTAATATTTTGAAAGCTGACAACCCTGTTTTATAAGTAGTGATAAGAATGGGAAACGGGAAATGGGGGAGAAATGACGAGAATATTCATGTTAAATAATAATAGTCACATCAATGTTTAATAACTTTCATTAAGAATATTGTATATTGAAACATAATTTTGAAAGTGGCTAGCTGTCCCAAAACATCATGATTTGCTTGCAATTCTTCTTTGTATATTGTTTCACTACTTATTATATTTCAGTAGTTTCAGTTATTTTCAAATATTTATATGTCACTGGTCCTGTAAGAAGTAGCGTCTTTGTGTTGTAATATTAGGTTATTTCATCATTTGAAACCTAGAGATATTTATCTATCAAATATACCAAATTTTGGATCAGAACAGCAGGATTTAAAATTAACAGGGTAAGAAACATTTGAATTGAAAGAGTGATATTAATTAGGCACACTCGATGGAGAAACTCTGGAAGATGTCAAAATATTCACCTATCTGGGAAGCATCGTTGATAAATAAAGAGGATCGGATGCAGATGTATAGGCGAGGATTGGCAAAGCAATGGCAGCACTTTTACAACTGAAGAACATATGAAACTCAAAACAACTGTCAACTAACTTCAAAGTGAGAATCTTCAATACGAATGTCAGGACAGTCCTACTGTACGGAGCTGAAACGTTGAGAACTACTACAACCATCGTTAAGAAGGAACAAGTATTTATCAACAGTTGTATTCGCAAAATACTCAACATTCACTGGCCGGATACCATCAGCAACAGCTTTTTATGAGAGAGAACAAACCAGCTTTCAGCCCTAGAGGAAATTAAGAAAAGACGTTGGAAGTGGATGGAACATAAATTGAGGAAATCACCAAACGGCATCACGAGGCAAGCCCTAACTTGGAATCCGGAAGGGAAGCGGAAAAGAGGAAGGCCAAAGAACTCATTACTCCGGGAAATAGAAGCAGCTATGGAAAGGATGAGTGATAACTGGAAAGAACTGGAAAGGATTGCCCAGGACAGAGTTGGATGAAGAATGCTAGTGTGTGTTCTATGCTTCACGACGAGGGGTAACAGGCGTAAGTAAGTAAGTAAGTATTAATTACAATAGAAAGTTAAGCAAGAAAAACTTAGTCCGAAAGGCGAGAACAGATTCGGAGAATGAAAAGTATGAATGGACAATAAACCTAATATTTGGACGAAAGTAAACGATCAATAAAACTCAACCATGAAACCTAATGATTCTAACCATAGATTATGATTATTTCTTAGATCTTGACTTAAGAGTCTGTACTATTCGATATTTCTGAGTGTACGTCAATCACTTCACAAAATGATGATATATGTTTAAGCCAGCCAGTATTACTCTCAAATGCCACAGCCGTCTGACACGTTATGTATTAACGGCATCATACATAAGCTTACTACTAGTAGTAATGCTTACTATTACTAATGCTAGTACTAGTACCAAAATCCGTACATCCGATATAACGATTACACAATAAGTGGTTTTTTTAGACAGTCTATGATGAACCAAGAATAAGGGATGTGAAGCGGACTATTAAATAGGGTGGATAAGGTTATAATATTTAGAAATTTATCTCTTAGACTGTTGATTTAAAGTGGATCTTCAGATGACGGCATTACTAATACTTTTACAACTTCAATAGCTTAACAAGATGAATAGTTTTAAGCAGCTTAAAGGATATTGGTCCATCTGAAGATAGTTACTATTATAGGTGACCATAATATACTCAATTTCTGATTATTGGAAGATCAAAAAGGGTTGGATATTATCTAGTGTATAGTTTATTCCACAGACATGTTGAGAGAGTAATGTGTGCAAAGTAGAATATTCGACTCTAATATGGTGTCAAAATTATATAATATTTAGTTATACCCACAAAACAATGGCTTTACAATTCATCGAGAGAACAGCTCTCATTCACTACGAGGAAACATTCGATTAGGCCAACAACATGGAGTCTTCTTCAACACTACGGCGTGCCTGAGAGATAGTCAACATCATACGGAATTCCAATGATGGATTACACTGCGAAATCGTGCATGAAAGACAGCTCATAGACTTGTTCGAAGCAAAGACCATTGTCAGGCAAGATTGCTTACTTTCACCCTCTCTCTTTCTCCTGATGATCGACTGGATCATGAGGAGGGAAGTACGGGGTACAATGAACAACTAGGAAACAACTGGACGATCTAGACTTCGCAGATGATCTAGCTCTTTTATCGCACACGCAACAACAAATGCAGGAGAAGCCAACCAGTGTAGCAGCAGCCTTAGCAGCAACAGGTCTCAATATAAACAAAGGGAAAAGCAACACTCTCCGATACAACACAACATGCATCAATGGAATTACATTTGACGGAGAAGCTTTTAGGTATTTAAAACCCTTTACACATCTGGTCAGCATCATTGATGAACACAGTGGATCTGATGCAGATGTGAAGGTGTGGATCAGCAAAGCAAGAGCAGCATTTTTACAATTGAACAACATATGGAACTCAAAACAACTCTCAACCAATTTCAAAGTGAGAATCTTCAATATGAACATCAAGACAGTCCTACTGTATGAGGGGCGAAAATCTGGAGAACTACGAAAGTCATGATCCAGAAGATACAAGTGATTATTAACAGTTGTCTATTCAAAATACTTGGATCCGTTGTCCAGGTACTATCAGCAACAGCCGACCATAAGGTGGAATAAACCAGATTTCAGCGGAGGAAGAAATCAGGTAGCGCTGAAGGTGATACGACACACATTGAGGAAAGCACCCAACTACGTCACCAGGCGAACCCTAATTTGGAATCCTTAAGGCCAAAAGAGAAGAAGAAGACCAAAAAACACATTACGCCGAGAAATGGAGACAGACACGATAAGAATGAACAAAAGTTGGATAGAACTAGAAAAGAAGGCCCAGAACATAGTGGGTTGGAGAATGCTGGTCGGCGGCCTATGCTTTGTTGGTGGTAACTGTCACAAATGGAATGAAATCGAGTGAATACAAGTGAAAAACATATTTATATTTTTACTACATTGCACTTTTTCAATGTTTAAATTTACAAATCAGGATGATTATCAGTATAAGGTTTTGAAGACTGTTACGTTTAAATTGATATCACAAATAGATCAATGTTAAACCACTACTGAGAACCTGGAAGTACCAGACATCGGTTTCGTCCCAGCATAGTACTCTTCAACACTGCACATTCATTCATAATAACAATTTAAAATCAAGATAAGATATAAATAGTTCAGTCATTTAGTCAGCTACAACGTAGGACCAGGCACATTTATGCATCAGTCCAAGTTGCCATACCTCATTAGCACAACAAGATCAACACCGAATTCATAGAAGTAATTAATTTAGTGATGGTAGTATATAAAAGATAGATTGTATATAAAGATATAGTATAGGAAGGAAGAAAGTTATGTAGCAATTTTAATTTCAAGGTTTAAAGGAAGATAAAGATTGTATACACCTACGCCATTGTGATCGATTCTGAACCATGTCACACAGAGTCTCCAACCATTGGTTACGATAGTCACGCGGAACCCAACTAAGTAGTCTACATCTACTAACATGGATCAGACTAGAAGTTAGTGACTTCAAGTACTGATGCTACGTTTTTAGTTTGGTCGCTCCTAACTTTCTTCCAACCATCCCCTACACTAGTCAGCATCGCTCATCGTGGTAATCGGTGTTCAGGCATACGCACACCAATTATAATAAGAAAACTTAGTTATTTGAAACAACAACAAAAAAATTCCACATATACTTACTTAAGATTATAAAAATGATATTTAGTTGATCGTTTTGGTAAGGAATTGGTTAAATAAAAGAATTTGATACGTTTATTTTCACGTAGGATATTAATGATTTTCAATATATCATTTTCTCCTTCATAACTTGCAACTTCTAGAAAGTCAATCAATCATAAAGGTCTATATAATAGTTGACTATGTTATGCAGTTTAATATTGATATATTAACAAAAATTAATTATGGTATACTTACTCAGTAACAAAAGTACGATTTCATGTAAATATTTCTAAAAACTTGTGTTACTGTGATGTATGCTACTGATGTTGACAGATATAGGTAGTATGTATCATCAATTGAAAGTGAAATGTCTAGTGGCAGAAAATTAAGAATATCAAAGAGACGAAAACGAGAACAGAGAGTGATCGGTATGGAAACGAAGGAATAATCAAGTCTGGGTATTTTCTAAATAAAGTATTTACTGTATGGTTCTCAGGTTTTACCAATATATTTTGCAATGTTGACTTATGACGTTTGGTTGTCATCACTGTGTTCTAGTTGATAACATGAGGAGGTCACCTACTTTCTATCGACAAGAAACGATGCTTGCAGTCTATTAAAAAACATTTTCACTTCCTGAAAAGCCTATTTCACTTCTCTGCGCAACACCTAATGAACTACCACTAAATCATGTTAAGTTTACAAATTTTGAATGCTACGAAGAGCAAAATTACCCGAAATGATTTGTCAAGACAACCAGTGGGTTAAAAATTTTATCCTCGAGTTGCAGAAACAAGTTGTCAAGTATACTTTTGGAGATCAACTTCGTGCCTAGCTGCGTGGTCGAATAATTGCAGGAATTACCATACCAAATCTTGGCAAAATAGAGCTCATGCAAATTCTCAGGTGTTCATTTCAAGATTCTAGGACTGTGTGTTAATTACACCGCAGTGCATGAAACTGACTTGCAGGACATCAAGAATTCTACTACATTACTTAATTATCCCAATCCGATTCGTGCTCAGGGTTGTAGGGATAGGCGTTTAGTTGATGGCAATCCTTACTTACTTACTTAATCATACCAAATACTTTCACTGCGGCAAAAGGGGACAAATTCAGTCGGTTCGTGAAACCACTAATCACTTCGAAGCGAGCAAAACTAAACTTTGATTCAGATCCCACAAACTCGGGTAATTTTACTAATCATATACTACCCTTTCTTAAAACTACAAGTAATTCGCTTCATATTCAAAAACAACTATATTTTGCCAGGGGTGCTATTCAAGATTTTATTATTGATAACGGTAGTATTCAATCCATCATTTTAGTTGTAAAGTTGAAGTCATTAAATCTCGACGCCATAGTTAAGTCTAACAAAGTTACTATTTTTAGTAACAACGGTCATGAAATTCTTGTTTTTGGGTGTTGTAACTTAGTAATTACAGATGATAAATCTTAAATCTCACCACTGGTTGTGGACCATCTATCTTGTGTCTAGGAAATTTAGGGATGCTCCAGGGTCAGTTTTCCTTATTGACCACCGAAGACGGTCCTAATTAAATATTCGATAACTTGTTAAATATGTGGTAGAAGTGCAGAGGATTACGCATACCATCAAAGCCCTCTCATTCTAATGCAGAAGTAAAAGATGGCAAGATCCTGAAAGCAAACATTGATTCTATTACTGCTGTGAAATTCATAGACCCGGACAGGAGAACAGATAAGGTCTGTCAGCGTAGAATCACTAGACTTTACACAGAAAATCAATGATAATAAAACTGTCAAAGCGAAGATTTCTTCGTTTTGATAGAAAGCATTCACAGTCAGTCGATTTTACAAACTATCGAAGAACTGATTTTCCACAACCAACAAGAGGTCTGCTTAAGATGATTGATAAACCTATGGTTCATATTCAAGCCAGTCACAACAACCGAATACGTTACAAAGGCCAAGGTGAGTTCATTTCAAATTCCGTTGTTCATTCTGAAACTGATGAGTACATTTTAGATTATAAAAGGTCTATACATATTACACAGATCACAGACATGATGGACCCAAGGAGAAAACTAATTACAAAAACAAGGCGTCCAGTAGTGTTCAAATTGCCTCAAATTTCGCCATTTGAGGTGTTATTAGTTAGCATACGAATTCAAAAGCTTTTAATTTTCATAAAAATACACGAACTCTAGAATGGAAACAACATTTAAACAGCCAGAATGAAGCAATAAAGCATTTATAAAGCAATCATGAAGAGATCTCAAATACTTACCATCTAGTACTTCTGAAACGGAACAAGTACCTGTTTAGAAATAAAAGTAAGATGTGAAACAGAGAATACTATATGTTTATTTAGAAATTACCTGGATGTGTTCTGTATGGATGAGACCTAAGTAAGCTACTAGGTTTAGCTTTTTCATCTCCTTCGACTAGTCCTGAGTTAGACAATTTCTTCTAAATGAGCTTTATAGAACTATGCGCCTACCTCCGGCAAGAACGAAATTTCTGAACTCTGAGGCACAATACCCACTGATGGTCGTTCTCTGTCGATAGGCATGACCCTACGGATCTTCTCATCCTTGTGGAAAACATGAGAGTCAGTTGCTAAAAGTGATTCACGCGCTCTCTTTTGTATTGATTCAGGTTTGTTGAACTCCTGAAATTCCTGTAACTGTGACTGAAGAATACATAAATATCCCCATAAATAAATAGTTCACATTACTAATGGTTCAACGAAAGGATGTGCTGGAATAGAAAGCCTTTTCGCTTGAGCGACAGTGGGCTTCTTAAAACATAACCTTTCTTTTATCCTATCCTCTATATTCAGTCTAACATTTACATCCCGCGTAACCATCTATTTTCGATGATTGACCGTGTTTTGTAAATTTACCAGCCTAATCTCTATAACGCTTAGTAATATGGCGTATTAAAACAAAATGCCACTAAATCAATCTTGATTCGTAACTTATATGTATCTTGCATACAAAATCTTAGCGTGACTAGTTGTTTATTAATAAACTGACCCTCATACTACATTTTTTACTCACAATCCCCTAGTATAAAAAGATGCTCAAGGAACAAAATGAGTAGTAGAAAAACTGATCATTAAACCACTGTCCTCTCAAAGTTACTTTATGTACAAGCAGTCTTCCAAGTTCCAGATAGATGTTATCAGTTCTTCTAGACGAAACGAAATTAGTTAACCGACTTTAGGCTTTATTCTTCGCACTACCGTATAATTTAGGCCGCCACTTGATCTTTAACAGGTCCATATTTCATACTACAGACACAGACACATGAATGAAAAGATATTTTTACCTTCTTTATGCCATGTGATTTGAACACCACGATCATGCACAAGTTCTCCTTTCATAACTACTTGGGTATGGTACATATTACTGGATATTCGAGGCTTTTTATATAAGGTTTATGACTAATTGAACCAAATACCTCATTCTTAAACTAATTGAAATTAAAGAGAAATCTTCCTGAAAAGATTTTCTACAAACTAACGCACAAGACCTGAGCTTATTTTTTCCCGTCATATTGTAGGTAGCTATTTTGAAATAATTTTGGTGTCATTTGTCAGCTACATTGAATGACGGTTAAAGTGGATAGAATTAGTTTGGTAATGGGCTCTTCATACCAACCACAGGAATTGATTGGCAGTCCCTGATTACTTTGTGATATTCTGTATGGATATTCATAACGTTATATATATGCCTGGATCCTAACTTGTCCAACATATTCCTGACCTTTATTGTGTGATAATGAACTCTTGGGTAGATATAATCGTGTACTAATTTTTAGCCCCAGATTATAACAATCTATATAATTAATGATGTCAGTCCACTTCATACTCTTTCTTATAAATATTTTTTTTACTTTCACAAAATTGCTTCAACTCCATAAACATACGGGTTAGAAACAGTCCGATTCGATCTTTTTTAATTGCCAAACTAATATGGGCCTAAAAATGCCATAGGAATTCGGAGTTTGATGACGTCGTTACACGTTCTTAGTTACCTACTTACGCCTGTTACACCCAGTGAAGCATAGGCCACCGGCCAGCATTCTCCAACCCACTCTATCTTGAACCTTCCTTTTTAGCTCTGTCCAACTTTCGTTCACTCTTCTTCCGCTTCTATTTCTCAAAGTAGGTGTTCTTTGGCCTTCAAGATTCCATGTGGGGAATCGCCTTGTGACGCAGTTGGGTGCTTACCTCAGTGCGTGTGCTATCCACTTTCCGCGCTTCTTCCTGAATTATTCATCTACGGGAATCTTGTTTCTTTTCAAACATAGTAAGTTGTTGCTAATAGTGTCTGGAAAACTGATCTGAAGTATTTTGCGTAGACATCTATTATTACACACTTGTATCTTCTGTATGGTGGCTTTCATAGTTCTCTAGGTTTCCATCCTTCATACAGTAAAACTGTCTTGACATAGATATTGAAAACTATGACTTTAGTGTTGGTTGACGGTTGTTGAGTTGACTTCCAGATGTTGTTCAATTGTAGAAATGCTGCTCTTGCTTTGCTGATCCACACCTTCACATCTGCATCAGATCCACTGTGTTCATCAATGATGCTAACCAGATGTGTAAAGGGTTTTAAATACCTAAAAGCTTCTCCGTCAAATGTAATTCCATTGATGCATGTTGTGTTGTATCGGAGAGTGTTGCTTTTCCCTTTGTTTATATTGAGACCTGTTGCTGCTAAGGCTGCTGCTACACTGGTTGGCTTCTCCTGCATTTGTTGTTGCGTGTGCGATAAAAGAGCTAGATCATCTGCGAAGTCTAGATCGTCCAGTTGTTTCCTAGTTGTTCATTGTACCCCGTACTTCCCTCCACATGATCCAGTCGATCATCAGGAGAAAGAGAGAGGGTGAAAGTAAGCAATCTTGCCTGACAATGGTCTTTGCTTCGAACAAGTCTATGAGCTGTCTTTCATGCACGATTTCGCAGTGTAATCCATCATTGGAATTCCGTATGATGTTGACTATCTCTCAGGCACGCCGTAGTGTTGACGAAGATTCCATGTTGTTGTCCAGTCTACGCTATCAAATGCTTTCTCGTAGTCAGTGAATGTGATTTATAGTGATGAATTTCATTCACATGATTGCTCCACAATGATTCGTAGAGTTGCGATTCGGTCTGCACACGATTGATCCTTATGAAATCCAACCCGTTGGTCTCGAGGCCAGGCGTTTACATAGTCCCTCATTCTGTTTTACAACATCCTGTTGAAGACTTTTGCTGGTACTGAGAGAAGAGTGATGCCTCTGCAGTTATCACACCTGCTGAGATCGCCTTTTTTAGTATTTTGATCAGAAGTCCTTCTTCCCAGTCTATTGGTACTTGTTCTTCATCCCAAATCTTACTGAAGAGAATGTAGAGTATTTCTACATCTACAGCTGCTTTCAGTGCCTCTGCCGGAATGTTGTCTGATCCTGCTGCTTTGACGCTCCTGAAATGCCTGATGGCCATGCTGATCTCTTCAATTGTTGGTGGGTCAACATTGATGGCGAGGTCGGTGGGTGCTGCTTCGATGTTGGGTGGGTTCAGTGGAGCTGATCGACTGAAGAGTTCCTTAAAGTGCTCTACCCACCTGTTTCACTGTTCTTCAATGTTGGTGATTACTTTGCCTTCCTTGCTTTTCACTGGTCGTTCTGGTTTACGATAATTTCCATCGAGCTTCTTTGTTGTATTATGCAATTGTCTCATGTTTTCATTCTCTTGCAGTCTTTTCAGCTGTCATTGCCAGATTTTCCACATATTTACGCTTGTCAGTTCTGATGCTTGCTTTGTTTACTGCTGTGTATTCGGTTTGTGCCTTGGCTTTTTCTACTCTTGTTCGGTTAGTATTGATTGTTGCCTTCTCGTTCCTCTTTTCTTCAGTCTTATCTAGTGTATCAACAGTGATCCATTCCTTGTGATGGTGCTTCTTGTGGTCCAGAACCTCATGACATGTTGAAATGATTGCCTCCTTGATCCCCTTCCAGTTGATCTCCATAGCGGTTCCTTCTCTATTGAGTAGATCATGAAAGGCCTGGAACTTATTGTTGAGGGATATCTTGAATTTGTTACGTTTGTCAGTATCCCGAAGAAAAGCTGTATTAAACTTTTGTGTTGTCCATCCCGTTGTTCAGTGCTTCGTAAGTTTTAATTTTATCTTGGCGACCAGCAAGTGTTGATCTGATGCTATATCAGCTCCTTTCCTAGTTTTTACATCCTCCACCGTAGTCCTGAACTTTTTGGTAATGCAGATATGATCGATTTGGTTTGTAGTGTGGTCCGATGAAGTCCATGTAGTTTTGTGAATGCGTTTGTGTGGGAATATAGGGACGCCTATGAACAGTTTATTGAATGCACATAGGTTTGCAAATCTCTCACCATTTTTGTTCCATTCTCCTGGTTAATCCATGTCGTCTCATGATATCTTCGTATCTAGTGTTGTCCATTTCATCCTTGGCAGTTAGATCTCCCATGGGAATGATCAAGTCCTTTGTTGGGCATTTTTCTACGGTTCACTGAAGGCTATCGTAGAGTTGATCTTTAACGTCTTCATTGTAGTGGTTGGTCGGTGCATAGAATTGTAATACCCCCTGTCTTAGTGTTGAAAAGGGCTTTGATGATCCTTGGTCCATGAGATTCTCATCCTATAAGTGCATTTTGTGTTTGTTTGAACATCATCAGTGCAACGCTTTCTATATGTGAAGCACTTTCTTCTTTATAGCCGGAGCATATCAGTATCTCTCCCGAAGCTAGTCGTTGTTGTCAAATGTGCTTCACTGATTCCAAGAAACTGCAAGTTGTATCTCCTCATTTCTGCAGCAATTTGAAAGACTCTCCCAGTCTCCCACATTGTACGAGCATATGCCTAGATAAATGGTTGCTCTGGCCGTCAGAAGTGGCATCAGACTCGTGACTTCCGAAGGAACTCGGCTTTCATCATGAGGGGTCATAACTCTTCTAAATGAAGACTTCTAACTTCCAGGGCAGAGTTTAAGTGCTTTTCTGGTTGTCATTTTTTGGCGACTCGGTTTTCTACAGGATGGGATCACTAACCCCACGCCCGACCCGCCCCCTTTATTCTGACTTGGGACCGGCAGTAGCCCCCGTAGGGTCCACAGGTGGAATTGGAACTAATATAAGATCCATTTTGAAAGTTTTGTGTGAGGACATCCCTCCATGCGTACATTTACAACTTGTTCTTAATGGTTTCTTTGGTTGTACATTTTTGTTAGTCTTTTTGATGCCATTTGAGATTTTAATGTTTCATTTCATAACAGTTTTAGAATTTTCTCTTCGCTTTCACCGGGTTTCTATGCTTCTTTTTGAATTGTATCTATGTTGTTTTAGATAACACTTAATCTTGGCGGCAGCCATTTGATTGTTCCCCCTTTGATTGTGTCGCTTGAATCGACTAGGATCATACATTTTGGTTGTGAATTGAAGCACTTTCCCAGAACTGGAAAGCAAAAAATTATTATCTTTTGAATGGAATTTTACTTGATCTATCCAGAAAGGACAAAATTACACTTTTTTTGCGTTCGATCGATTATTGTGGGAACAATTATTGGTTGAATAATTGAGCGGTAATATTTGTTTAGAACCGTTGTTTCCCCAATCACCTTCTTCTGAATTCGATTGGGATACACGCGTCTCTTCTCACCCAGACAGTTATTCTTCAGCCAAACCTAGTTTGTATCTTACAATAATTTAACACCTTTGTGATTGACAGATGTCAACACAGTCAAATCAGAAGTCAGAATGTATATTCGGGAAGCTTTCGATGTTTTGAGAGCCGCTTGACCCTAACCAGCTAGCGGTTTCAAGGGATGAAAAGCACGGAGTAACCTTTAGTGATTTAGTGCTAATGTGTGACCTAGCGCTTTCAGCTAGAGCGTGTCTACTAAAA